GGGGAGAACAACAGAACAGGCAGCCCGTGTCCTCGAGGTGCCCTCGTCGTCAAATCAGTCCACTGTCCTTGCCATGTACGAGGTCCCTTTCGAAGAAGCAACCCCTACCACGTGACTCAAAAGAAAAGCTCAAAAGCTAGACTACCAATACTCCTGCGGCGAAAAGATATCCACCTGCGCCGGGTACCGAACGATCCCCTTGGAATCCACCCGGGCACCTAGAGTTTCCTCACTGCTCTGCGAGTCATCATCATCACATCCATATGACATGCCGACCACGCCACGCGCCCGAGCACTGCTTCTCAACGAGGCGGTGGTGGCGAGAGGTTCAAGCGGGACGTCCATCCCGGGTCGAGTATTCCAATACCCTACCGCGTCGATGCGCTGGATCACCGTCCTGGCTAGACGGAGCATATCTCCGAGACCGGCGTGACCGATGTCTTTGGCGACGGCACTGGGAGTCTCGTCTTCGGTCTTACCCTCGTTTGTCGTTGTGTCATGGATCAAAGCAGCAGCGTCGCGGCCGAACAGGTCAATTCCGCACCAGTCAGTTGTGGGCTCGCCAACTTCGAGGTCGGCGTTGGAGTTAAGAAGAGAGTCGATCGCAGGACTGACCAAGGAGACCTCATACCACAGTCGGCCGTTGTTCACCATCTCCGCCGGTGCTGTGGCACGAGCTCGCTTGACTTCTGGCTCAGTATAGTGTTTCCCGAAGAGCAGATCTTGCACTTCAGTGATCTGCAGGAAGATATGGGAAGTTGTATTGATGTCATCCTCATCAAGGGCCTTGTCAGGACTGGTAGTCACAGTAGCTGAAGCCTGCCCCCGAGCAATACGGGCAGCAGCCTCGTCGCGTTGCAGATGACGGTGGCGAGTCCAGCGCCGCATGTACACCTTCTCCAGTGTCACTTTATTCTCCACCTCAGTGGGCAGACGTGTGTAGATGCAAATGAGGTTGCGATCCGGTTCGACCCATATGCTCTTGGCGAGATGCTGGGCGATCTGTTCAATGTCCGGATTGCTATCGCCAACAAGTCCCGTCACTTGGTTGACCGACATATTGGCATCCCATGTGTAAGCTGGAAAGTGAAAGGTGATCCCTCCCAGTTTTTTCCCCGGCTCCCGAACGCTGTATCTCCCATTTTCGTCGATGACTACCATGTAAAGTTGATTAGATCGGGTGCGGAAATGGAATTCATAGGACACGCAGTAATCCGTGTAATCCTGCTCAAATAGACGAAGTTTGCCATCGGCTTTGGAAGTACGGATGTCCACAATATGGTCAATATCGGCACCAGAGGTCGTGAGTCGCCTTATGAACTTAGTGGTTGGAGCTGAGAGACCGGACTGTGGACGAAACAATCTCGTCCAAGCGTCTGCAGTCAAGTTTTCTTGTCTGTAGGACTTCGGAAGAAGAGGTACCAGAATCAGACCGAATTGCATCTCGATGTTCATCGCCCCGGGAAAGCACGCTGCCGAGTCGAGGATGGGGATAATAGCGTCATAGAGACTTTTCACCTGCCGTTGAATACCCTCGTCTTTCACTGGAGCTGGTTTTGGCACGACCAAGGCCTGCACAGTGACGCCTGAAGCTGGCTTCTGACCTTCAGAAGATTGGACGGGCTGTTTCTTCGGCTTGCTGATGCCCCAGGAATCTTCAAGTGTCGCTTGTCTTCTTGCCTTGGCCTCGGCTTTGCTTTTAGCAGTGCTAGCACTCTTCGGACTCCTGTGCCGGGTGTTATGGAACTCTCTGGAAGTGACCTCGCTGAAAGACTCCTTTTCCGAGCGCTGAGCTCTCTCCAGATCTGTAACCATAGCTTTTACCAATGCCTCGTTCGCTTGACTGCGTGAGGCTGCGGTATTCGGCCTTTCGTCTGCAGTGGGAAGCACTTGAACGGCCGCTGCATTGTAGCTCAGACGCAAAGCATTGAGTCTCTCATCTTGACTTATCAGGTTGCTGCTGCGCCAGGAGGTGGTTTCCAGGCCAGACCCGGAGTCACTAGAATCCAAAAGATTGCTAACCCCAATAGTCAACCCGGCAAGGTCGGACGTGTTCTTGTCCAGCAAGATTGTAGTAGCGGAGCCACTGCCGCATGATGAAGATGCTACGGGAAGCAGTGCGGGCTGGTCGAAAGAAACAACCTGGGTGCTGGTAGTGTTGCTTACTGGTATGTCGATATCGATCAATTGATTCTGACGGGCGGCCTTCCGTAGTGCGGCTGGACCAGTGCTGGGATTACCCCGTCTACCGAAGGCCCGTTGTGGAGATGATTTGGCAAGACCGTACTTGGTCGAATCAAACTTTGACGATATAATGCTCCGATTGTCCTCCGAGGAACGCGCTTGGGCCCGAGCTTGAGACTGGGAGTTAGGCGCCTTAGCCTCCACCTTGACGCTCTGCAAGTCCTGGTCCCCATTCTTAACATCATACTGCATGACCCAGCGTCTACGGGGTGAAAGATCGTTTCCCTCCAGATCCGTAGAAGTTGGTCTTGTTTCCGGGAGCGAGGGAGCGGCCTGTGCCTTCTGCTTGATACTGGCTGGAGCAACCCTGCGCACTTTCACACCGGCAGGTCTCTGAGACCCGGTTGCTTCGGACCCGTTGCGTTGTGCACGGGCAGGAGTTCTGGGAACAGGAGCCTGGAGAGTTGGAGCTGGACCTTGAGTACTGAGAGTCTGATTGATACCGGGAGCCACGGATTCCTGCTCAGGGATATCCTTCTCCACTCGCGCCCCTTCAACGACCCACTGGTTCACCTGCTTCGCCTTCTCAACAGTCAAGTAAGGGTGCAGCGAGGGTGGGACAGCTATGGTCATCGCATTGGTTCTCGGGATAGCGCTTTCAGCTAATTCGTACACTGTATCGTATCCCTCATCACTTCCAAGCGGCTGGAAGGTGAAATCATTCCAGATGCGAGATTTTCCGGGGTCGTAAACAAGATGGGGTGGGTTTGCCAGATTGGTAGGTAGTTTCAACGCGTGAGTTTCTCCGTCGATTGAGTATTGTACCGAAACATACATCTCACCAGGATCGAGGTGTGGGTCGATAGTCGGATCTGGTAGAACTCGACGCTCGGCAATCGGGTTCAAGGTATTGTACTTCACGAGACGATAGCGCAACGCCTCGTCATCCGGCGCCACAAGAATGTTGGTCGTGATAGGACGCTGGACACATGCCTAACACACCAGTGAGCGGGTGTGGCTTCGAAATGTCAAGAAATGGACTTACCAGTGGCTTCTCAACCCGAGTAAGCTTAGCCAGGGCGTCATCTACATCGACTTCACTGGTACCCGTGACTTGAATTCCCTTTGTATCGTCGAGCATAGTTATCTCGGTTGAAGTGAGATCGGCAATGCTAGCAAGTAGTTTCCTGGATTCGAAGGAGAAGCACCCCACTCCGCCATTCGGTGATAGCCAGAGTTTGGTTATATGGATAGATGAGGTTGGGATCAGTTCGCAGCCATCGTCCAGGGATAGGTTCAATTCGTCCTCATTGCCATGGCTCTGGAGACTAGATGTCATATCTAGCTGGTAGATGCGCGGTTCCTGCACCGAAGGCATGAAGTTAGTAGATGAGTCGGTCAAATTGCCAAGATGACAGGAGACAGAAGGGGTCACAGTCTAACATCAAGCAGGTCTTTGTATTCATTGCCGGAGATAGTATTGGAAACAATGCCAGCGATTTGTTTTGTGTGATGATCCACGGAACCTTCAATGGAGATGATCTTAAAGGGTGAATGGGTCAGCGAAGCTCGAACAGAAGGATGCCACAAGTGAAGCTTGCATCGTAAAGTTTGAGATATTCAAGATGGCAATCCGGTTGAGATGTTGCAGTCCTGACAGAATTAAGTTAATAGAACTGAGCCAGAAGACTGATCAACAGCACGTCATACTTGACTTCTTCACTAATTTCTCGAACCTGAATCAAATTGTCAGATTAGCATGGTCTTTCTTGTGAATACAGCGAATCCTTACGCCGATAGGCTCAAAGCCCCATATAGAGGCGAGCGCCAGGCGCTGTTCCATCTCGGCAACTCGACTCCAACGAAGGCCAGAAGCGAGGCCCGCGGGCGACAGCAGACACGTACCCGAGGCAACCCGAGGCCCTAAATGACAGTTTTACAAAATCAATGTATAAAGGTTGTGGCAGCCAAAATCAGAATAAGGGTATCGCGTAATGAAATCGAAGTGATAGTAAGAAGAGCGTAGGATGAGGAATATGGGAAGAGAGAAGGCGGAGGCAAGTGGGAAGAGAGGGAGGAAGGAGGGGGGAAAGGGAAGGGTAGGAGCAATAAACAGTGTTGGTCTGAGGGACAACACCAGGTGACACTGAACTGCGAACTCCAGGCGACAACCGGTCAATTATGTACGACGACACCGCGCGATCACAGTGCGTGATGGCAGTGCGCGAAGACACTGCAATCGAACAGAAAGCGGATAAATGCAGCCAACGGTTAATCCTTTACCTCCTTACCGTCAAGCAACCAGATGGTTTGGCGTTCTCAGAAGTGCAAGACAGAACATATTAGCATAATGTTTCTATGATTAGACGGGCATCTATCAAAGTATACTGAAGTATATTGTAACTGGACAGCACTGTACTTTGAACAAGATAGTGACAAGTAGGGACATGACGGTCTATGTTTCCCAGGGTATCAAGCACTCCCAAACTCCTTATATCTCCCAGAGATATGCCAGGGAGCAAATATGAATAAAATGACGGTGGGTAAGAAACAGAAGAAATGAAGGTTGGAGATGACATGGGAAGAATAAAGAATACAAGAATGGAATGCAGAAGATGCATGTTTCATGGTCCCCCATCACGACTGCCATGTCGACGCAGCGGATTCGAAGGATTTCCATTGGGATGCTGCTTGATTGCAGGCTCGAGATCTTCCACAATCAAGGTGGTCAACGTGCCCGCCGTTGACTTGAGCCTGTCAATCCAAGGGGCCCCTGGCAAAAAAAATTGCTTAGACCGTCATAGACTTGGGAATATTCATTGGGCGTCTTTGACTTGCTGCTTGAGTTGAATAACCCACTTCATCTTTCCTTCGGTCTCTTTCAGCGAAGTCAGGGCGGCATCGATCTTGGCATCGTCTTGCCGGCCCGTCTCAATCAGCGTTCGGAGATCTTCGTCTTGCGTCCGCTTGTAAACCTGGAAATTGGCGTACAGCAGGTCGAATCGCTCTCGGTTGAGCTCAATCTCCCGGTCCTTCTCGGCCATGATCGCATCCAAGCGCTCCAGCTTGGTGTTCTTGTCGTTGAACTGCTTCTTCATGGTCGTGATATCATCCCTGATCGACTTGAGCCGTCTCTGCTGTTCCGCTCGTTCCCGATGTGCCGATTTGGCCAGAACATCGTACTGGGTCCGCGAATGGTTGGAGATCTCCTGCAACTCGGCGCATTTGCGGTGGAAATCGTCCCGGGCGACCCCCATCAGTTGATTGACTTTCTTGGCCTCGCCCTCCGCCTGAACCCTCCGGTCCTTCTCGGTCTGCACCTCCGCGCGTAGCTCGTCAATCTTCTTGTCTTTCCGCACGATCGCATGGAGGTTCGTCTCGTTCGCTTGCTCGAGGTTCCGGAGACGTTCGGTCATGTTCTGTACCTGAACCTTGAAGGCGTCGTTCATGCGCTGCGTCTCTTCGGCGCGGGAGCGATAGAGACTACACTCCCGAGTCAAGCGCGCGACTTCTTCTTGAAGGTTATGGATAACGCGCCCGGACTTGCCCGTGGCCGCATGACCGACAGCCGACGACCATTCAGTTGCCGGGGGATCTTGGTTGGTCTCGTGGTTCGCGAAGCCGTTGGTGCCGCTGGGGGACGTGGGTCTCACGGGTTCTGTTTCGCAATACGCATAACTGGGGTTAGCCCCTCGGTAGATTATGGGGGAACGATGCGCCGTTGGAGGGTCTATCCAGCCGACGCTGGGTCGCAAATCCAGACGGAGGTAAACGTACCTGGGGAGGAATCGGCGGGCGGAGCACCATTCAGCTGGTTTGAGGTAGAGATTTCATTGAAGAGTCCATTGTATTGATGCATATTCAGCTGCGTTTCCACATGGGGAAGGCTGACACGAGGCGCTCGACGGGGATCTGACGTAGGCAGCGAGAGCATGTCCGGGTCAGCATGGGTGGTTCCTGGCTTGGGTGACTTCCTGCCCCGACCGAATCGGGCCATTCCGACCATAACGGGAAATGGGGTGGAATGTTTGGGTTTTGGGATGAAGGTGATAGCGCCGCAATTGGCAAAGGTGCAGGAGAAGAAGAGCGGAGCAGGAATCCGAAGCAGGAACCTGCTCCAGAGAAGGAAGAGGGGAGTGAACCCAGGCCGGAGAGCAGGCGTGTTGTTGGGCCGCAGTAAGGGGAAGAAGGGAAGGATGGCAATTTGGATTTTGACAACCAGCCCGGCCCCGATCCTGGAAACACAACCAGGCCAAACCAAACGCAGCTGACAGCGCACACCCACCCGGGGGGAAGTCAACAAAGAAATTGTTGGAAGGGGTGGAAGTGGCAGGGAAAGGGGACGAATGGTGCGGACGACGACGATTGAATGGCGACGACACAGGTCGAAAGAAGGGGGAGAGCAGAAAAGCACATACCACGAAGTGGATCAAGGCTTGATTGCAGGAGATCTGCAGCAGGAACAGTTAAATGATGGTCAGTCTGATGCTTATTCATCGCCGAGACATCACAAATATTCTCCGAGGGGGGGAGTTGCGGGTGGTGGACGAGGGAGAGGGACTGCTGGCAGAGGGTGAAGAAATGCAGCAGAAAAATCGATCGATGAGGAAGTTGGTCTGTAGGTACGGATGTAAATTGCTTCCCAAAACATACCGTCACTGTCCAAGCACAACGTGGGGTGGCGCCAGCACAAACTGGGCTGATTAATCTGAAGATCCTGGCAGATCCAGTAAGAATAGATAGACACTGAAGAAGGAATGATCCCAAAGCTGGTGGTAAAACTAGTAGTTTAGAATAGAAGAAAGGAAGACAGAAAGAAAAGAAGAAGAGGAGGAGGAGGGGGAGGAGGAAGAAGAACAGAAAGGAAAAGAGTGAGTGAGAGGAAGTGCAGTCTTATTCAAGAACAACAGTATGGAGTAAGTAGCCAGTAACTTAGAAGATGATAGATAATGAATGACTGGTAACTTAACAATCAAGAACCCTCCCACTAAATGAATAATATGATCGATCGGCTGTCAAGCCTAAACTCTCTTGCCGCCACTAACTAGGTAATTAACTCAACTGGTCAACTAATGACCGGTCATGTTCAAGACACCCAATCCTTTGTCTTCTTCCCTTCAAGGTTTGGTCTGCCTGATTACCGTTCGGAACTGTCATCTACAAACAAAGTACAATTCAGTCCTGTCAGATCATTTATTAATAGCAGCAGCGGCAGCACTGTGGATTATTCAATCTGATCGCACAAAAATCGAGCACTTTGATGGCGTCTTGAGCTGATCTGCAAGCCCAGTCCGGAGAAAAGGATTGTGGCTCGCTCTCGGCCCGACCCCTATAGTGTCTGCAAAGAGATACCAGTATATATACACAACAGAAGGGAAAGAGAAGCAAAAATGAAAACCTCAACCAACGCCTGTCGCCCAGAGCAATCCCAGCACCGCTCGGTCTCATGCGAGTTGATCTGAAGAAGAACAATCAACCTAGGCACACACGAACAAGTCCTGACAACCAAGTAAGACAAAGTTCAATGTCTGCCAAGCTCCACCGGGAAGTTCGTTCAAGTCTACTAGACGAGGTAAACCACCATGGCGAGAGCACCCAACACGAAGCCCATTCCCGTCGCGCGAACAGAGGCAGCACCACTCTGCATATAGGCAGCCATAGCAGTCTTGCTGTTGGCGGCTCCGGCTGCGTTCGCACTGGGGTCGTTAGCGGCATTGACGGTGAAAGTCTGGCCATCATTGCCCTTCTGGACTGTCTGCATCTCGTCGTGAGGGGCTGTGTCGGTGGGGTATGCAGTTGCGGTCGGGGTTGCAGGGTTAGGAGCTGGAGGGACAACCGAGGCTACCAGCGTTGTTGGGCTGGGTTTGAGGACTGGGGTGGACGCAGCCTCGGTAGCTGGGGTAGCTGGGGACCCATCGGTGACCTGTAAAAGCCCCGAGTAGTTCACATAGCCGTTCTGCTGGATCTGGAAGGCATAGTCGTCGCCGTTCTCTATTGTGGAGTCCGGAGTCCAGGTGAAGGAGCCTCCCTGGGCATTGCTTGCCAGGGTCTGGACGGTGTCCAAGTTCTGAGAATTGCCCTTCCGCAGTGTGACGGTCACGGGCTAAATCATGCGTTAGCGAAGGGAAAACAACATCAAGGAGTGGTAGCAGCCGTACAGCATCCGAGTCCGTCTGCCACTTCAGAGTGGTAGGCTGGCCAGCATGAATGACCGAGGGCCATTGGGTGAAAGACAAAGCTGCTTCGGCAATCCCGATCTGAGCCAGGCATGCGAAGGCCGCAACAAGAGAGTTTGACGCGCGCATCTTGATATTGAGTCGTGATAGACTGATATGAGAAAGACGATCTTCACGTGTTGAGTGCCTTGGATTACTATATTCCCGCCGCAGAGAGATTTCTGGGATGCAGAGCGATGTCAAAGGAACCCGGCTGACTCTTGTGGACCTGCTAGATATCGAAGGACACAGACTATGCCTTCTTCGCTGTGGTTAGTATCGAAAACAACAATACGTACCTCGTTGACTTGTCGGACCCAGGACTGGCGCGAAGTATCTGTGGTGGAGTGAGAGGGCGAGAGCAAGGTAGAAAAAGAAAGGCCGTCAGAAGGCTTCAGCCAGAAGATGGATCTTTATTGACGACCAAAACAACGCGTTGCCAAACAATAGATCTGCCTGAATGCCAACGGAGGCGAAAGGGCGCACATGCCGGGCTTGGTTTGTAGCATTCCTGGAGGAGGGCTCGTACCCGGCATGAGTACAACAACAAGCTGGGGAATGACTGAGCAGCACAACTCCAAGGTCTACTGCTCGCTCGTGGCTTTACGGGTGGCGCTCAGGATCATAGCCCACAAGAGAGTGAGTTCATCATGGAAAGCTCGACTCATGCTGTACTGCCGACAATACCATCCGAGCAGCAGTGCTGGGAGTAGCTGTTCGTGTCCATCCAGGTGCTGACTGAATACTGTCTACTGCCGTGTGGTTCGTTCTCGCAGAATGGTCCCTTGGATCGTCCAGGAATGCAAGCACTGCTGCGTGACTCGTGATGATCCAGAGGAAGAAAGCACAGCAATGAGAGAGGTCAAGAGTCTCACTTCGCCATGAACGAGAATTGTGGCACGTCATGGGAATAGGGTTCTGAGCATAATCACTCCCTCACTTCAGACACCTTGATAGAAGGTAGAAAGGCCTTCAAGCTGCCAAACACTACTTCCTACACAAAGTAGACTCATTGTTTTGATTTTCCACCTTGGGGAAAAATGTCAATGCGGGTGGAGGGTGTTTACCTGCAAGGGGCAACACAGCAAATGAGTGGAGAGAGCAGCAGATCAACCCCATATCAGCCACGATCGAGGCAACCTTCGCTCATCTTACCCCTGGCCGATCATCACCGTTGATGAAGTCACTCGATTCGCTAGCATGTGGTTCATGCAGGCCCGATCTTCTATACCAAGTCTTGGCGCATCGACAGGCCCCCCAAGACGGGTTGCCGTTCAGACACAGGACGTTCACGGCATCACCTCTGCTGAGCAGACACACGGCAGACCCAAAGTCTCGCTTTGCCGACTCACTCCTCAACCAAGCCAGACTTCTTGCGGAATCGCTCGCTCACGATCGGGACGGTTCAAGAATCGTAACGGTGACATCTGCCCCCGAATCTCCCGATGCCGGCTGCCGATTACCGAAAGCGGAGATGCAGCGGACTTCACCTCCAGCACGCATTGCACGGGGTCGATTGCCAAAGTTTATCGGCTCTTCAGCCCGATGCAAAGCTCATCAAGCTTCAATGATGGGTCCAGTGACCGGATGCATCACTGGGTCTTTCTCACGAAGGTTACTGTTGCTTTCCGAGTTCCCACTGCACGCTCGTCTGTTCCTTCCACGATGGGGGATGGGGAAGGTGAAAGAGAAAGAAAAGGACGAGCTCAACCCTGATTGAGGATCCTGTCACCATGTTCTCTTCTTACTCTCTCTCTCTCTGTCTCCTTCTCGCTTCGAAACCAACTACCATTCTTAACACTCTATATACCAATGGCGTAAAAAAAAGTCGAGTCACTCGTTAACATCTGCCACGCTCGTTTCCACACCCTCATAACCTCGTCTGTCGCTACCACCCAGACTCAGCTTACGATCCGCCACTTCTCTTCTATGATCTGAGCCAGGACTACTTCAAAACCCAGCATCTGGAATGTTACAAGCAGGCATAGCCGTGATACCTGTGCCCGGTGTATCATCATCCTCACCATCAACATCCACTGCAACCCTAACCCACACCCCCTCAGCACCAACAGCCCCGAGCCTTCCATTGGAAACAGCCCCCACGACCCAAACAACCACCACCTCGCAAACCCAAAGATTCTACCGCCTCAAAAGCCATGACAGCACCACGACCGCAACCCCAACCGCAACCCCAACCCCCACGCACCACCACCTCATCGAAACCACCCGCCGCACAGCCCTCTACACCCTGACCCTCTGCCGCAACGTGATCACGATCCTGGAACTCACGCGCCTCCGCAAATCCCGCATCGGCCTGCTCCACTGGATCGAGTTCTGGAACCGGTACTACGGGCGGCGGTTCGGGCGCGCGCTGGCCGCGCACGTCACGCAGGCGCTGGGCCGCATCGACGCGCTGTTCCGCGCCGTGGCCGACGACCTGCACCAGCTGACGCAGCGGGTGCACCACGCCGTCGCGACGGCGCTGCACACCGAGCGCGAGATTCTGGGACTGCTCGAGCGCATGGAGGACGAGGTCGGGGTGCGGCGCCGGCGCCGGAGGAAAAAGGCCCAGGCGATTCTGGCCCAGATGCGCGCGCGGCTCGAGGCCATCCCCGTCAAGGTCAGTGATGAGTTGCTGGATGATCTCAAGCGCGGGGTGTTTGCGTTGGATGTCTACTGTGACTATTATCCGGGGGGCGAGGACGAGGGGTCGGCGGGGGCCACGGCGGTTGTCGCGGCCGGTGCTGCGTGGACGGATACCCGGTATATCACGCGGAGGCCGGTGAGTACGTTGGCCGTGTCGGGGACGCAGGCTTGGTCGTCCTCGTCCGCGTCGTCCGGGTCCGCGGCGAATGGCGCGTGGATGTCGTTGTCGATGCCGGTGCATCTTTCCCGAACATTATGATCGTCGGCTGCGTCATTCTTCTGACTGAAAGTGGCTCGCCCGTTCTTTTGCGATGAAATGATAGACTTTTTGATTTTTTTTACCCTTGTGCTTCCTTCCCCGGTTAGGAGGGCAGCGATACCACCACTACCACCACACTCCTTCGTGCAATCATGCTACTTAGAATGCGGATGTTGTTGCTTAGATAGAATAGATTAGAATTAGCAATTACTACCTTCCCCCCCCCCCCTTTCCGAAACTCGGAGGGAACTACAATCCTTAAACAAGTGTTGGAAGAGATGGATAGAGATATATTTCTAATTATGTACAGTAAGTTAGTTGATATCTTGCTTTTAAGTCGTAAACCCTGCGCCGCTTCCTAACCCCGCCTATGCAAACTCCCACAGCCCTCGAAGCAAACTGCCCGGCGCGGTATCCTCGCCGCCGTCCTCCTCCAGCAGACGGTCTGTGAATATGCGGCGGGGGATCTGGTACTCGACGACGGGGATGCGCTTGAACGGCTTGTCCTCGGAGCCCAGCTCGGCCTGCAGCATGCCCTGGTAGGTGTAGTCGAGGAAGTCCTCGAGGTGGTAGAACTGCTTGGTGAACTGCTCGGCGAGGATGCGGACAATCGCCGCGACGTTGGGGTGGTAGTGCGACTGCAGGGTCTCGAGCTCCCACAGACTGCTGTCGAGGGCGCGGGAGCGGACGGGGTCGGGCTCGCGCGGGTCGTAGGGGTCGTCCATGCCGCGGGCGGCGAGGAGGGCCTGGCGGTCGGCGTCGCGGATGGGGCGGTGCAGCATGAAGGCGCAGGTGGGGTGCTCCTTGAGGAGGTTGTAGATGAAGGGGGCGATGGCGACGATGGCGGGCGGCGGGGCGTTGAGGGCGAGGCGGGCGAGGCGCTTGATGAAGCTGGCGATGAGGGCGGCGGGGAGATGGGTCGAGGCGAGGAAGGTGTTCATCAGGCGGAAGAAGCGCGACCGGTGCTTCGAGTGCAGCAGGTCCGCGTCCAGCAGCGAGTACAGCTTCGGGTAGAACTGCGGGTAGTCCAGGTTCTTCTCCTGGATCAGGTAGAACAGCCCCGACAGCGCCAGCAGCGAGGTCGCCCCGCCCACGTTGTACGAGTCCGTCAGGAAGTCCATCAGCAGCTCCGGCCGCAGGAACCACGGCTCGATGTTGTGCACCATGATCCGCAGCAGATGCTTGCGTTGCGTCTCCGACAGGGTGTTGCGCAGGATCGCCAGCCAGGCGTCCTGCGCGTGCTTCTTGTGCGACTTCGCCGACACCACCCGCTTGTTGCTCTGGCTGGTTTTCGTGTAGAAGCTCTCGAACTCGTGCTCGGGCGTGGGTATCGAGTCGCATGCCGACAGGATGGTGATCAATGTGTCGATGGTTTTGGAGCTGCGTGGGGTGCTTGCGTATTCACTTGAGACCAGACGTTAGCTTGATGAGACCGTGCGAGCGGTATGAACGAGGTTGCCATACGAGATCTGTATGAAGGTGTAGTAGCGCACGTCCTCGAACTCCTTGGCCTTCTCGATGAACTCGGACAGCACCGCTTGGCCATTGTTGGCCTCCACAACCGCTTCCACGACATTCTTGAATAGACCCGTCAACCAGATACCTTCTTCGCCGGGAAGATGTGTGGCGCGCTCGTTGACAATGCAGAGACACAAGGTTAAGGCGGTGATCTATTCGACCGACATTTAGTATATTTCTGGGCACGTTGGAGATGGCACCGCAGGAACGAACCTGAGACGAAGGATCGCTCTCGCGAATGATAGAGAGCAGGGCTTTCTGATATTCCTTGAGCCGCTCCTTCAACCAAGCAACAATAATCTTTTCGTTCTCGGGGGCCCGGCTTGAATCGGTCAAGTTCCCCCCCGCGATCAATCGACTGAATACACGACAGAGAGCCAACGCAGCGGGGACATTCGGTTTCTTGGCAGATCCTTGGGTGGTGAGCATGGAAATCAGGGTTGCGATGTTGTTGTAGTGCTTCCGCGATTCGGAGATTTGGTCTTCCAGCCGCTGGATGTCGGCCGTCGCATCGGCGGACTCAGTGTCGGCGACGGCACGGCGTTTCGACGAAGGCACGCCGCTCTCCTTGACATTCTTTCTTTTCTTGGAGGCCGTAGCCGTGGCGATCGGGGCAGGCATCGTGGACAGAATCGACAAATCGCAAAACGGGCGTTGAATGGAGGAGCGCTAGTCCACCGCAGGGCCACTTTTCTTTTCCGAGATCAACCATAATTTTTTGGGGATAAGAAGAGAAAGAGAGAATCTCCTGCTCCTCGGTTAGGCGGTTTCTCCGGCCCACGACACCAGCCCCAAAGGGGTTTAGTGTCTTCCGCACCGCCCAAACCGCCATCCCGAACCTCACTCAGTCTCCTCATTTCCGTTCCAAACCCATCCACACCCTGTCAAGGTTCCTGTCCATCGCTACAATGGCTTCGCGTTTGGCTAAGAGCACCCTCGGTATGCCCGCTTTTACTTGAAGCCTGGTCTACCCACTTGACATTGGTCATTAACCATTAACCCCTCCGCTAGGTGCCGCCCGGTTGCGGCCGACCCTTCCCACGCGCAATGTCGCTCCCATCACTGCCACTTTGACCGCGTCCCGTTCGGCCTCCAGCGTCCCTACTGAGGACCCCAAGAAGAAGGCTCAGTCCATCCTCGATGCTCTCCCCGGCAACTCCCTGGTCTCCAAGACTGCCACCCTCTCCGCCGCCGCCGGTCTGTCCATCGCCGCCATCAGCAACGAGCTCTACGTGATGAACGAGGAAACCGTGGCTGCTTTCTGTCTGCTCAGCGTCTTCACTGCCGTCTTCAAGTACGGTGGTCCCGCTTACCGTGAGTGGGCTGAGGGTCAGGTCCAGAAGCACAAGGACATCCTCAACGCTGCCCGTGCCGACCACACCAACGCTGTCAAGCAGCGTATGGAGAACGTCAAGGAGCTGTCCGGTGTCGTTGAGGTCACCAAGCAGCTCTTTGCTGTTTCCAAGGTACCCCCTCCCTTGCTGCTCATCTCCGAGCACCGATGATCTCTGGCGTCGAGTGTGTGGGCCGTTGCTGACGATGACGTAGGAAACCGCCCAGCTTGAGGCCAAGGCCTACGAGCTCGAGCAGCGCACTGCTCTGGCCACCGAGGCCAAGCAGGTCCTTGACTCTTGGGTCCGCTACGAGGGTCAGGTCAAGCAGCGCCAGCAGCGCGAGCTTGCTGACAGCGTCATTGCCAAGATCCACAAGGAGCTCGAGAACCCCAAGGTTCTCCAGCAGATCCTCCAGCAGAGTGTTGCTGATGTTGAGCGTAAGTTGATGATTTGTCCGTGCTCTCATCGCATACTAATATTCGATCCAGGCATCATGTCCTCCAAGGCTCAGTAAATGCACTCGACATGGATAGCTTTGCTATAAGACTCATGTACAAATTAAAGATCATTTCTGTTATCAGTTAGAAATACCAAGTACCATTGGTCGACAATCATGGTATACCAGTAAGAGCTTACGAATAAAGCTTCGACTTCAGCATTTGTCCAAGATTTTTAGTCGTAACTGTAACCTGACCGCCATGACACCGAGTAGTCTTGAGTCTGAGCTCTGCCTGCTATTGCAATTCTCTACATGTAGTCTACCTATGACTTGCAGAGATAGACTTCCAGGCTAGCCATGCAACAATGTAATATATGGAACGATCGAAATACACCTAACCTCATGACGAATACTAAATGGACACAATGAATCAGCAGGGGTGTCCGTGGACCAGACGCCACGCCACGTACGTACAGTACAAGGACTCTCATCAACGTCTCACCTCATTACTTTGAGTGTTCAATATGTGACAAAAAGCAATTAAAACGCGATGAAAGAAATTGCCGCCAAGCCGACAGCCCGGGGTGAACTGCAGTGGTCCAACCATGGGTTGGGTTTGGGCCGTGGATGGAATTTCCCCTTATAACCACCAGGTGTTATTATTATGATCGATTCGATGGATAGATTGATTGATGATTGTGGTTGGAACAGACTTTCTTTCTGCACCCCCAGCCTCTTCGAACCTCCCAGCGCTTATTATTTTTATTCTTGTTATGCCTGCTGCAGCCCGCCGCCGCACACTCCGACCGAAGTAAGAAGAGGTCAAAGAAGAGAAGGCTGGCAGTGAATCTCACTGGTTTAACTTCGACTACTCCTACTCCTACTCCTGCTTTTCCGACTACTACCTTACAACTACTGCTACGTATAATCTTCAATCTCATCGTGTCTGCTACTTCCCTAATTCTTCCTCCAGAATCCCTCTCTCTCCATTTCCCTCCCCCTCTCCAAGGGGAAATCCCAACCCGGCAAGAAAAAACCCCCCCCGTCTCCACTTTTTCCCATTCCCTCCGCGATAAGCCGTATACTTCCCGAGTCCGTGGCTCTTCTCCCCCGGGTTGCGCAACAATGCCACTTCGCGACAAGCTCCAACGTCATAAGGAATCCCTCAACACCAACACCAACACACACACAAACACATCCACCTCTACCAACCAGTATGGGTCCACCACTGCTGGAGGAGGGATGATGGCACCCACCACGCCCGTGAACAGCAGCAATCCCACCGTCCCGCAATTCACCTTCATCCGCACCGACACCACCACCCAAGAAGTGATCCGCCCGCCCGTCTTCGAGGGTGATGCCCCGGACCCCTCTGCACCAGCACCAACCACCACCACCACAACAACCACAGAACAACAACTTGCGGCTGCTTCCCCGCCGTCCTCCCACCATCGCAAATCCCTCAACCCCTTTCGTCGGTCGCGAGCTCCCTCACAATCCTCAGGCGTGGCGTCCCCGCCGCGAGCCTGGGGCGAAGGCCGGCTGTCGCATCTGCTGCATCTCGACCGCGGCGGTGGTAGCGGTGGTAGCGGCAGCGGTGGCGGGTGGTCGCGGAGTTCGAGCTCCTCGTCCGTGAACGTCCCGCCGGATCTCCCGCGGATAATCACTAGTGGTGGGAAGGGGGATGGCGATGCTGCTGCTGCGGCGGCGCGCGAGGATGTGGAGGCCGAGTGGGAGCGGCGGGCGACGGTGCTGGTGCAACGGAATCCGCAGTTCGCGGCGTGTTTGTCGCCGACCGGTTCCACCACGCCCACGGGGTTTGGGATGGACGGGGCGGTGGCGTCGCGGTCACGCAGTTCGAGTTGCAGTCGGATTAATGATCCGGATGGCGATGTAAGTTTTTTGCCGGTCTGGGTGGGAGGATAATAAGGGGTTGTGTGGCTGACGCGGGACGCCGGGGCGAGAATAGGTTAATATCCAGGAGGCTATTCGACTGCATGAAGCTGGAGGTATGTGTTCGTCCTTTGCGGGAGTTTCTTTAGGGTTGTGCGGTCATCGCTAACATTGTGTGCATGACGGTAGATCTGGAACGATCGACCGAGATGTTTGGTCACTTAGCCGATCCTGAAGGGGCCAACAATGCTCTCAGTCAAGTGCTCTATGGGCTTGCACTTCGGTAAGACCTGACTACGGTTCTCGTTGGCTCGGTGAAATTCATCAGTCTGACACTGACTGACCCCCCCGTTCTTAGACATGGCTGGGGATGCGCGCCAGACCAGGACAAGGCGATTACGTATCTATCGGCCGCGGCGGCCAATTCGGCCTCGGTCGAGTCCGAGGCGCTCCAGGCCGGCATCAAGAAAGGGGGAGCGGCCAAGGGCGAGCTGACGCTGGCGATCTTCGAGCTGGCCAACTGCTTTAGGAATGGCTGGGGCGTCAAGAAGGACCCCGTCGCGGCACGACAGTATTATGAGACCGCCGCCAACCTCGGCGATACGGACGCGATGAACGAGGTTGCTTGGTGCTACTTGGAAGGGTTTGGAGGGAAGAAGGACAAAGTAAGTTCCTTACCCCTGGGAGCTTTTCAGCTCGGGCATCAATATTTTGAGGCTCGTTCGCATCACTCTGGACTTTAAGGTGGTCTCCATGGAGAAAAGATAAGAACTAATTTAGGGACATAGTTCGCGGCCGCCAAATACTATCGATTGGCGGAGGAGAAAGGGAGCAAAACCTTGGGGAATTCTTGGTAGGTTCTTACCTAGTAGTCTTCGCATCACCTGCAGCGGATGGGGGGCATTGATAGGCGCTCGTGGATTTTTGGCCGGGACGCTTCCAGCCAACCAACTGCCCGTTCCCCTCTTTTTGAACTACACTACCGAGTGAAGTACAGTACTCAGGCTGACATGACGTTTTTGATGGATGATGACAGGATCTGGAAGGACAAGTACAACCCGCATTGAGCATGCTTTTATGGATTGTTGGTAAATTTGGTCCGATGACGACGGTCTAGCCCCGCCTAAGTCCACGATCAGGCCGTGGTCTTTTGGGGGTGTGGTGCTGAGCGAGCTGAGCTGAACATGAATGAACAATTGATACCCTAGCAACAAGGCTGCGACTGAGACCGTCTCTCTCGGTAGCAGGCGTCAACAACGTGCCGACCATCCCGCCTCACATGTCGACATCAGGGGACACAGACCTTGCACATAGAGCGTGGACCTAGACTCAGTCTTGACATGACCCCTTCACGTCATCTTCTCTTTGGACGTCACTACACTCTACAACCTTTACTCCGCTGTAACGAACACAACAATAGCCAGTCTAGAGCAGTAGATAATGAATTCAGTCATCCTCCAACACAAAGAGCCCAACCCATTGAATGACAACCCTAGTCCAAGGCTCATTCTGGACCTCTAATCTCGAGTTTCAAGAAATCCCCCATCCTCGTCCCACGACCGTGTAGGTGTAGGTGTAGCCGTATCCCCACAAGTCCTGCGCATAGACAATGGCCCAGGGAAGGGACCAGTATATCCTTCGAGAAGGGTATACGTATACGTATACTCAACCCAACCCACCTCATCACATTTATTCCATCTCATCCGTCCTGGAAACAGTCTTGACAATAAACCTTCCCAATCAACAATAACGTTAGCCAGAGTCATGAACAACACCCCTACACCTCCACTAGAGAACGATCCCGCAAAAGTAAGTTAAGCAAGGAGCGCGCGCACCTACCAACCCAACCATACCATATCACCCAGACATATCCATCCACCACCCAGACATATCAATCCCCACCATGACAAGACATCCGGTACGGTACGGGAACTACTGTACTGTACATGAACGCATCCCATCCAGCGTGGGCATCAAACGCAAACGCAAAGGCAAACATACTTACATCGATACATACCATGCATGCATGCATGCATCAACATACATCGAGTCACCCCCATCACTTCAAGTTCTTCTCACGAACCGAACCAAACCGAACCTAAGTTACCTCTTCGCAGAGCGTGGGTATCTACTGTATATCCCCATCCCCTTTCGAAGCCCGGAGTGAACCTGGATGAACTGTGCATACACCCCATCGCTCTTATGGTGATAGCAATAGCAATGGCAACGGCAATGGCAACGGCAATGGCAACGGCAATGGCAAGTAATGGCTAAACTTCCGGCTCGCTACTGCTCCTACTATTACTATTGCTGTTGCTGTTACTACTGGTCCTGGTCCTGGTCCTGGTCCTGGTCCTGGTCCTGTTGCTGCTCCTGCTACAGCTCCATACAGCTCAGCTACAGCTCCTGCTACAGCTCCATACAGCTCAGCTACAGCTCCTGCTTAGCTACAGCGACTTGCTAAGCTCCCCCGGCCAGACAACGCGTCTCCCATCTATGTCTATGCCTAGGAAATGCACGAACCTTGAAGTATACATACAGTACAGTGGTCCATCCACACAGAGAGCCAAGAGAGGATGCTCGCTCGGATCTCTCATTTACGTTCTCGTACTCATTCTCATCGGAAATCTCGAAGCGACGAGGCAGTGTCCCGTCTCACTCCTACAGCAAGCATCATTCTTAGTTCCTCGATGCACTGAATTCTGCTTCTACTGCTCCAGCTCAACGGAACCAGTTACAGAAACCTACAGACTTTCTTACCAACCACCAGGATCCCCAAACTCATCCCCAAATGCATTGTCAGAGCAGATTTTATATACACCACCGACACCGGTAAATGCACAGATGCAGACAAAAGAGACGGGTGTATGCAATTCTGTACCAAAAGAATGAATATGGGGACTTGACGGCCACCAACCCACTATCACAACCATAACCACCAGCATCAACCAACTGCTGCAGTCAGTTGGTCGTTAACCAGTAATCAGGGGTAAGTAGTTAGGTCAAGTGGAAGCTCCCTCCAGCAATCTGCACTGCATCAACAACTGCAGAAGCTCCAAGGAAAATCTGTCTGACAAAGGAGAATGAGAAAGAAGGTCGGAGTACCTCCCGAAGAAGACTCCACAAAATCCAAATCCAGAAGCAAGAACCATAACCAAACCAAACAAACCATCATCAACATCATCATCGTAAACATTAAACCACCCCTCCCAAAAACATAACATAGCATCGTATCGTAACACATAATCATAAAAGCTGCCGCCCTCGGCTCCCAGCCCAGTATCCTCGCAATGCAAACTCAAAATCAAATAAACCCTGAATAAAAAACACGCCGCAACGAAAATCCAGATCAGAAGCGCTGCGCTAGAGCATGTCAAAGTCAAAGTCAAGTTTCCGTCCCGTTTGTTCTGTTGTTCCCGCCTGTTAATTTGTTCGTCGGAGATAATCACAGTAGAGGTCCTCTGCGTATTCCGGTAAAAAGTGTGTGTGCACGAATTCCAAGGTAGGCTGCCACCACCGACCTTGGAGAATATGTTCTGGATCAAAGCGAATGTGCAAGAAGTAAACTGAGTCAGTCTCGCGTAAGTTGTGTAAGCATGTACACGAATGCAAGGTAAGCCCGTATTTGCCACCCCATCGTGAGGGGGCAGGAAGCCTGATCATAGATATACGCCGGTGAAGCCGGCGAAGCCGAAAGAAAGAAAAAGCGTAAGCGCGCCGGCAATAAAAAAGAACAACAGCATCGCTAATTTGACAGACGTGATTCATCAATGTAATTGCTTAGCCGTCAGATGTATCCAACCGAGGTGAAGTGAATGGTTTGGTAAGTTGGTTAGTTGGTAAGTTGAGTAAAGCTGTCTATGTATATATGGGCTAATCATTCTGGCTTATCCGGGCCAAGCAGTCGTGGGGTCGTTAAAAAAGGCACTGTCACTGTGCTGGAGAGAAAGTTGGTCTTCCCAGAAGACTCAAGGTTGCAGAAGGCGAAAGGATGAAGGCAACAGAACTCAATCAGGCCGCTTAAAATGTCTGTGGTGGACGCAGAGAAAAAACGCAGGCAAATGGAGGAGAGGCGGAGGTGGGTGGGGTGGGTTCGATGGCGAGCCACCAACCCAGGATCAAAAATTCTACTAGTGACCAAAATTGGCGTCCTCTTCCTTGACCGGAGAGACACCACAGTCTTGGACCATGCGGCGGAAGTCGCGGATCACCTTTTCAGGGACCCGGTCCCACATTAGAGATCGTGAGTAGACGTCGGAGGTGACCTTCGTCGACATCTTGCTCTGGACACTGCCTCTCATGGCAGCCAGAGCTTGTTGAAGGTTCGATGGCTGCTGTTGCTTGTACTCAACACCAGCATCGTCGTAAGTAGTCAAAGAGTTGTACTGGTCCGCATTGAGAGCAAAGACCTGCTCGTGCTCCTGCTGCTTGGAGGGCATGACCAGGGTGCTGTGGAGCTCATCAAGGTTGGACGGCGCCGCAGTGCCAGTCATCTGGGCCATCTGGGCGCCAGTGATGGTGCTAGGCATAACGCCAGCAGCCGAGGGAGCGACAGCGGCCTGACCCATCGGCTGGGCGAGCTCGGGAGGAGACGACGACAATACGGCCTTCAGCACGTTGGCTGATTCCGCGCGGTACTCCTCCGAGAGCTGCGGCATGGAGCGAGCAGAAAGCGAGGAGCCGTTTGATGCCACGAACGCGCCGAACAGCAGGCACATGTAGAACGCATTCCAGCTGAATGGGTAGTCGCTGTTCGCCTTGTCCTTCTCGTTCGATGCGACAACCATCGAAGTCGATTGGGCAGACGGGGCGGCAACTGCCTCGGCATCCAGAGAGAGACTGTTGACCATCGTGAAGTCCTCCCAGGGGCTGCTATCCATCGTCAAGTTCTCAAAGTCAGAGAACTCCGAGGGCAGATTCGAGGGGGCGGATGGTCTGGCGTGACGCTCGAGTTTCTCCACGGTCTCCTTGAGAATGTTGTTCTTCTTACGAAGCTCAGCGGTCTCGAGGGTGTGCACGCGGATCAGCTCGTCCTTCTCCATGTGCATCGTATTGATGTACTGGGTGATCTCCTGCTGGGCGGCCATCCATTCGCTCTTCTCACGAAGGAGCTCCGCCTCTCGGAGGCGCATGTTCTGCAGCTCCTCTTCGAGATCGCTGATGATCTGCGTGAACTGCTTCTTCTCCTCTTCCAGCTTTTCCGTGTGCAGCTTCTTGCGCTGACGGGAGTCCAGTCTAATGTGTGGTTAATGATGTCATTGCGCGTGGGAGGAGGGGGCACTTACGCTGCCTGGCGGTTTCGCAGCAGCCGCTTCTGCTGCTTCAATTCCTTGATCTCCTCCTCATTGGTCGATTGACTGATGAGCTGGTCAATGTTGCTCAGCGTCCGCTCTGCAGGGATCTCGAAGCGGGCATTCTTCTTGCGGATGCCGTCCCGGCGCATGCTCAACGGGGAGCTGTTGCGGTAGGTGGGACTCTTGGTTGGACGGGCCACGGCATCGGCCATGTCGGTGGCGGCAGGCATCCAACCCTGACTCGATTGCGGCGACATAGCCACGGCGGCCGGGTGGGCGAAGGCCATGCCGGGCCGGTAAGACATGGAGGGGATGTTGATGGTGCTGACGGGACCGACGGCGCCGCCTGCGAACGGAGCGGAGGCGCTGTGGTCGAGCTCAGAAGGGAAGTGCTCGTACATGGCGGTGGGAGTGCATGCGCCCGAGTCCTTGGACAGGGCCCACGAGGCCTGCTGAGCGTATGCTGCGGACGGGTGAGCGCCGTCGACGCGCATGAAAGGATTGGGGGCGGATTCAAAGAACGGGTGGCCGACTTGGGAGTTGTGGCGGGACTGATTGCTAGAGACAGAATGAGAGAAGTCGGACCAGACGGAATCTCGATGCGTGTATGCGTCGGGTGCATGATCATATGAGGGTCTGCGGTGGTCGGCAGCTGAGGAAGCCATATCGGGGGAAGTAGAGTCCAGGATCTTGTCGTCTAATACACTCATCTCATCCTCTTCGGGAAATGCAGGTTTGGCATCCAAAGTAGTAGGGGATTGTTGATAGAAGTCAAATGATGACGGTTGGGAATATCTGGCCATGATGGTAGATAATGTGAGTTGTGATGGAGGGAGAAGAAATGGGGGAAGAAGAGGAAGAAGAAGGCGTTGGTCGTGGCCCAAAGAGAAGCAGTCGTGGTAATAGAACCGACTGGGCAAGAGGCGGTGTGTAAAAAATAAACAGGTCGAAAATGAGGTGCGGGGTTGGCGATGGAGGCTGGTGGGCGATCAAAAGGCAACGATGATCGTTCAAGAGAGATAATGAGGATAGAAGTAGGAAGTAAGACAAGAGCGAGACGATGAGAAGAAAAGATGTCTCAAATGGTCTCGACGAGGGGAGGAGGAAGGGGGAGGGAGTATTTAGAATGCGCGAGTAACGGAGGAAGAGGATTGGTGGTTGCAGGCGCGAAGGAGGCAAAAGTGGAGGCAGGGAAGAGGGCGAAGAAGAAGGAAGTATATCAATTTCTGTTGGAATCGTGAAGTGGTTGTTATGGGTGGGTGTTGATAGTAATGATGATGTTGATGAAAGGGGAAGAGAGCAAGTGACAAGCGGGAGGGGAACGAGTCCATACATATACTTAACTTGCAAGTATCGATTCGATCTTGTAGTCAGTCAGGATCTCTTTGATAGATAGGAACCTGAAGTTGGTCCCTGAACAATGTCTGTCTGTCTGTCTACCAAGAGAATGGGAAAGCATCCAAATCGTACTAAATTAGAATTAGACTCCCAAATCCAAAACAAAGGCGATTAAATTCCAAAAAACATAATTCTGGTTAATTGCGAGATTTTTTTTTTAATTTCCAGGAGAATCGATGCTGACCCAAATCCCCCACAGGATGCCTGCTGAACCTACTGTGAGATCGAGTAGAATCTACATAGTAAAAGAAAAAGAATAAAAATAAAAGATCGAGATAGAGAGAGAAATAATCCAACCAACCAACAACAGGAAGAATCAAATAATGACACTTCCCAAACAGGAAGCCCATTATAGTACTGCTACAGTCTCTAGTAGTACCTAATAGTATACTACCAAGTTGTACCAACAATCCTATGGAATATGGATCTCAAACCAAACCCACAGCTTCCACTCTTCTTCTAAGGGGACTCCATCAATCCCACCTTTAGCTTCAATGGACTTAGCCAGACCCATCGGCACGCCAAACCATGAACTCCTTAGTTAGTTCCTACTCCATTCTTCTCCCTCAAGCCCAAGCCAAAACGAAGAAGCCCATCCGGCGGTCAGCGGAAAAGTCAAAAGACGAGGCGAGGATTTCTGACTGTTCCCGAGATTAACGAGCCGCCATCATTGGATGCTTCGTTGGGCAGACGTGCAGCGGAACTGGCAGGGGAAAAAAATAAAATAAAAAGAACGACTCAAGACAAGAGAGAGAGAGAGGAAAATGTTAGAACATGAATAATCAGTGTCCCTCTTTACGAACGAATAACGATCATGACGCTTCTCGTGCTCCATGACTATCTATCTATCTATCTCATGGGCGCGGCGCTTGCTTGCCTGCGAAAAAAAAAAACTTTACTGACATACCACATACATACATGTAGACATAAAAACCTATGTACATACGCTAGTATATACTCTAGTTAGTATCTAATTTAACTTGTTCATCAGTGCCGCTGCTGCTACTGCTTCCCTCTGATCAACCGACGGAAAGGAACAAGAAGTTGGCCCGTGATCTTCCTCACAGGCCCTCCCCTCGCTCACACGGTCCTTTCGTTCGTTTCGGCCCCGATCGCCCTCTAGCCTTTCTGGCTGGGATTCGTACTTTTGGTTTCTTCTTGGTCCATGCGGACGGAGTAGACTACTTACTCGGTCGGTCGACTCCGGGTGCACAGTGCACACAGGGCATACACTAGATCTACTATGGCTTCGCTTGGGTAGGGACTGCACATACTCCAGCACGGTACAATACACAACAATAGGAGAGAGCGCAATAAGCTCCTCAAATGCGATGCACATCACATCAGTATCGTGCAGGACTGGCTTTTCGCAGGCAGAACGAGCGAAGCTAGAGAGGTCAGATTACCTGGATCTCAAAAGGAAGGTCAACCCTAAGCCGCAAAGCTAACCTAATCCAAGGTTGGTTGAGAGTGGAAGGGCGGTAGGACTGACTGCCGTCGGTGTCGGTCATTCCACCCCTCCCTCCGTAGTAGCCCTCGCTGCCTTTTTCGTAGGTCACCAGTCAGTCAGTCCATCACATAAATTGTAAGCAAGATACACCATCCTTCGCTGAAGCCCGGAGTATCACGTTGCCGTTGCCGAACGGGAGAAAAATAAAAAGCAGTGGTGGTCGGTATCTGGAGGCAAGAAGCGATAGGATTTCTGATGGATGATAGCGATAGATCCCATGGATGGAGGAGGGAAAGGTGGGGCTGCCAGTTCCCATCGGTTATCGATAGCCTATCGATTAACGGCTCAAACTGACCCCTCTAACTTACCTAGGTAGTACCCTACTAAGTACTGTACCTACCTACACTATACAGTAAACGTCGCAGCCCGACAAAACCCGCGCGGCAGGGCTAAACTTCTGGGTGTTCGTGATGTTTGTCTTCAAACGGTTTCTCATCACATCTGCGGCCGAACGATTGGTACCTGGGTGAGCAAATGACTCGGGAGGCGACTGTATCACTGGTCCCAGTTTCCCAGTAGGCACTGTACCTGAACCGAGGGATGGGAGGGGGGGAGGGGGGAGGGGGGGATGGTGGGTTACGTTAGCAGAGCAACGGTGCGCATTGTGGACTGTGGACTGTGGACTGTGGATAGAGGGGCCGTGGCCCGTGGCCCGTGGGTTGGTCGTAGCCCACCGGTCGTTACTCGGTACTGGTAGCCTCGATGCTGCCCGAACGAGTGATCGTCTGTGCGCGTTCCTCAGTCAAGGTGCATCCCATTTCCTCACCCCCTCCTAATCGTCCCATGATCGTTTTCTGGGGAGGGACATGGTGAGTTCTGCTTTATTTTCCGGGAACAGGCATCGTACTTAATCAGACAGTGCGAAGGGATACCCACTCAAGTCTGGTGCGAGGAGCAGCAGAGAGAGGGGGAGGGGGAGAGGATCAGATGGACAGAGGGACGGACGGGACGGGGTGTTGTCATACAATACGGGTAAATCAGGACGAGTTGAGTCCGTTGCTCGGTTGAGTCGAAGCCAATGGATTCGGGGCCGGTGTGACATTGAGAAATGAGAAACGGCCTAGTTGTAGGCTAGATTTCCCGATGACGATATTCTTCCTGTGGTTTTGTAGTTAGCCGTTCTTCTCAGTATGTACATAGTGGTTTGTTGTTTTTACTGTGGACTAAAGTAGAGTATTCCGTATGTAAACAATGATCCATCTCTGGTACCGTTAGGGCCGGCCCGTTCATTGAGATCCAGTGATCCAGCCCAGACCATCCATATTGGTCTCGGTACGGTTTAGCGTGGGTTATTGCAACTGCCCGCTCCGGTTACTGACACGCCCGGTGCATCACACCAGAATGCAACTGCAAAATGCAGATCTGATGCAGAGTCAGGTCTACAGTACAGTATACATCTCAGAGGAAGAATGACGCCGAGTCAGGATCGAGGATACGAAATCCGGGTCAACCGCAGCGAGCGATAACCGAGCTGAGCGGTGGAAGGTACTGAGTATGCTTGGGGTATCCTCTTTAGGTATACGCACAAGGGGGGGAAATAGTATACCACGAGACGATGGGGGTTGAGTGAGCTTAATCGCACTCGTCATCTGCATCGTCTATCGCGAGGTTTTCGTACTAGGTAATCGGGAGTTACCTCATCTACCCATTAAGTTAGTAGAGAGTGATTATGTCATTAAGATTCGTTCCTTGGAACCGTACCTTCCAGTGCATCAAGTCTCCTAACGTACGAGGAACTCCAGAAGCATCACTCTCTACCCAAGCCCCAGAACCCCAACAACCTCCACCCCAAGCTGTCGACACTATGTCTAACAGCTCCGTAACTGCTAAGAATAAACCAAACCACCCAAACCACCCAAGACTTCAACCCCTCAGCCCCAAGCCCCAAACCACCGACCCAAACCTACGGTGTCGGACCGTGACCCTGCGCCCCAAACCCAGCAAATTAACCTCGCTACCTAGTGTTGTATGTACCTCACCATCTACCACCATTAACCACACTGCAGTCCTTGTACATACCGAAAAAAAAGCACAAGTAAGGCATCAGTGCTTTCCTCCAACCCCATCCCATGCGGGGAACACCACTCACCTCATCACATCACTTACCTAGTACCCTTCCCCCTTCCATATTATTCTTATTCTTATTATTATTATTGTTCTTATACTTAATGTTCTCATTGTTTCCATTGTTCTTATTGTTTCTGTTATTTCTTTGTTTCGATTTTTGTTGTTATTACATTCGGTGTCTTGTCTGATTCTCTTCTACTAGTAAGTACTCAGGCGATTATACTGAACGGACTATCTTCGATCCGTAATTTGTGATGATCGATAGCTACCACGGTCGACATATTTCCTACACAGGTATGGGGGTGCTACCAGACCACGCCGGAACAGATAGGGGTGTAGTGGGGTAGGGGCGGGAGCGGGAGAGTGTCAGCGACTCCGCGGGCAAAGGGTTGAGCTGCTGTTAGGGTAGGGCTGGCGACGGGGCCGCTGCGTAGTCCGCAGGCGGGTGTGTTTGTCTCTGCAGCCTCGGACGGGCTGATCTACTTACTCCCTTGCGGTAAGAGCAAAACGGTTTTGTTACCCGTGAGAGGTAGGGTTAAGAAGGAGTTGGTTATAAGAATACGTAGGTGGTGGGTTTACTCCGAATCAAACTCTCTGATTTGAAGAGGAGGGCGTAATTTTGCCTCGCTCGGCTCTATGAGATTCTTTGATTCAAGGGAAACGGAGGCAAGGTCATCGCATGAGAACATAGGCCGTGCGAATGAAAGAGTGAAGCACGGTGCAGTGAGATTCAAGTGGTTAGAGTGATGAAAGCATACTGATGAAAAATTCTTGAAATTAAGTCTAAGCGGAAGGAAACCAGGTGAACGATATGCGGATGCGACCCAGGAAGTATACCGAACCGGAGCAACAGCACGCCCTTTAATACTCGGTACAAGGAGGTCCCACGATCGCAGCGGAATGACATCCGTGATTTCGTCCTGCCACTCGGGCGAGCCATCCACGCGGACCCATTCGAGCCAGCCATCGTCGCTCCGCGGCCGCTCCTCATACAGCTCCGCGGGGCCAGACAGTGCGCTCCACACCTCTTCGCCCCCGACAACACACACCAGCAGCTGCGTCAGGACAGGACAGGCGGCCTTGAGCTGATCGAGGATGCAGTTGGGCCGAGGGATGTTCTGCGCCGGGTTCATGACGGTGACCGTCTCCAGCGTGCGCCCGTAGGCCTTCAGCACGTCCATGACGTGGTGGTCGTGATACCCGAAGAAGCGAAAATTGATCTCCAGCCGCTTCAGCCGTGGCCGGGGGTTCAACGCCGCCAGTTTGCCGACCATGCACCCGTGCGGTGTGCGGTCGCGGTGGCGGGGCGCGCAGAAGAACCGGAAGTCCTCGAGCCGCGGCGCATGCGGCAGGATGCACCACCCCACCAGGGCATTCAGCGTCCCCTCGGCGGCCGACGAGCCGGGCATGTGGACGATCAGCTGCGTGAGCTGGCTCCAGTGGGTGGAGAACTTGGCGCGGAGCCCCGCGGTGTAGAAGGGATTGGTACGAACGGTCCGGTGACAGTCAAGGTAGCCGAGCCACTGCTCGCGGGGATCCCGGGCGCAGAGTGTCAAAGCCTGAAGCGTGAGCGGTTGCAGGGCCGAAGTGTCACTCAGGAGCCGGCACAGCGTGACCATACTGGCCTCGGAGGCACTTTGGATCTGCCGGCTGCGCTCGTAGGTTTCGAGGATCAGCTGCCGCGCGCATTGCAGTGCCCAGTACTGCTTGGGCAGGGCGCGAGGCGCGGCGTATGGTTTCTCGGGCCGGATGCGCACGCGTCCTGGATCTTCCGGGTCGATATGGATGGAGAGCGGGTGCACGCGGCTGCATAGCCAGAATGTCTGGGTTTTGGCTTTGAGTGCCTCGGACACGCACCGTAAAGCACCAAGAGATTCGTCGTCCAGAAACTCGGTGATAAGCCAGAAGAGTTCGAGTGGGAGATTGTCCAGAGTATGGGGAGCCTGAACGTGTGTGATCCGACTGTCGAGAGTACGAGGAGCCATAATATGTGTGATCCGACTGTAGGTGGTCGACCCTAGGGCTATTTATATACACGCGGACGTCCTCAACTCGTGAATTCAGCAGAAGATCTCCATCTATTACGACATTTAGCTGAGAACTCTCGCTGGATAGATGGTGATTGCCGAGAATGATTACTGTTTGATGGGATTGTCCTGTTCAGTGTGAGTAGAGGGCTGTAAAGAGGAGGCTTTCAACAGCGGGAGCATAGTCGTGAGATGAAACTGGCGTGTATAGCTAGACTCGTGGAGCACAGCTGAAATCTGTGTATTGTTTGTACCGCGAGTGCAGAGTCGGCTGCACACCTTTGTGGCGCGTAAGTAATCAGGTACCAGAGCACAACCCACGAAAAGAAGTATTCATATGCTAATTCGGGCACAATCCGTGTGCCGGAGAGCGTCAGTTGCTACCTTCCGCCCCTGGGAAGCGCAAATATTTCTCTCCACGGCGGGCTCTCCACATATTGGTCGAACGGAGAAGGTCATGGCAATCACGAACCGTCCAACCCCATATCGACAGAAAGGCCTCGGTGACCTCCCAACCCCTGGGATCCCACGGATCCGTCCACACCAGAATTCCCGTCGCCTCCAGACCACGACCACACATATCGTGGCACAGCTGGTCCTCATCGATGCAGTCCTGCGCAAGAATTAGGGTCTCGCGCAGATGTGGGAAAGGAAACAGGTCCAGCCATGGATGATGCGGCACGCGGCGCTGAATGGCCGTTGGCTCTAATGCTGGTGGGAGCTGCCTCTGTGGGTAGGCTTGACTCAACGGAAAGGCAGGCCCTTGTAGTGTGAATACCGATTGAGCATCGTCATCCGTGTCTTGCTCGCCATAGCCTAGAACCGTGAGGTTGGTATGCATGGCTCGCAGCGTATTAAGCCGCGTGACTCCAAGGCGCAGGCTTTCAACCGGAGAGCCACAGGCAGCAGACGCCAGAGCCATGGCTGCCGTCTCCAGTTGGTGCAGCTTCTGCGCAGTGTTTCGGGAGTCTGGACCTAGAATGTGCAAGTCCTGTGTTATGCCCAGGAGTAACTGCACGAGATCGGCCGGTCGAAGGGCAAGCGTTGGCGGTTGTTCATCAGCGCGACTCCCTGACTGAGACTCTCGAATACGACGCCCTGCGTGCTTTGTAAGACTGGATCATCTCAACGGGACTCATGCTTATGAGACTCGTGTCTACGGATCAGCGAGTACTTACGTCTTGCACGTTGGTTGAGTCGATTTTGTAATCTGCGTCTTAGCGATGGCTCCAGTATGCCAAGCCAGCTATCCGGAGGCATGGTGGCGGCGGTCAAAGCTTTACTTTCCGGTTCGTTGGACATTATTCTTCGATCCTGGCCAAATCAAAAGGCAAGGACCATGAGTCAGAAAGAATTCCCTTGTTCGGGTTTGGTGGTTGTTCGGTGGGAAGATCCGAGCCCGGGATTTGGCGTCCGAAGTTGTGAAGGGTAAGATTGGTGCCTGAGGCAGGTCGGCGATATCGGTGATACGCCCCTTATTACCGAAACATAATCAATCCTTCAATTTCAGGACCCATCATGAGAATGTTGCCTAATCAAACTCATCATCGGTCTTCAAAACAGAGTCCCCAGGGCACAAAGCTCGCTAGCGAGGGATCCAAGGATCCACGGATATCCCGGGCCACCTTCTCCGCCCAGTTATCCATCCACCACTGCCCGCGCAGGCGGTGCATTAACGTACAGAAAATGGCCAGAATTACCATCGCAAACGGCTCCCTCTCGCCCAGAAGATCCAAGAACTCCGATGAAAGGCCAAAGATCCACCAGAAGAGCGCTGTGATGATCCCATCCTTACTCTCGCTTGGGGTACTTTCAAATGCCACCCGGAGTTGGCGGATGACTGGCCCATACACTTCGCTGGGATGATGCGAACTATCCTCCCCCAAGCGGCCATTCAGCAAGGCAAGTTCTCGGAGGGCCACGTCCAGGAACGCTGGCAACGTGGACGTCCGAGTATGGGCGCTCGATTGCCCGACTGGGGCGGCCGTGGCGAGGATCGCTAGGTCGCTTGCTTGCACCCATTCGGAGACTGCGACTAAGATCTTCAGCGAGGCACGGCTCATATGGAAGATCTGGAGTAATTCGTCGTACGGGGTCGAGGGCTGCCCTTCCCCTCCGCCGCTGTTACCACTGAGTAGAGGCAGCGCAAAGGTGAAGATGATGATGATGTTGGAGAGGGCGTAGGCTGCGCTGGCGTTGGCCTCGCTAAGAGCCTCGATGCTGCGGACGCCGGAGATGGATTTGTGGTGATGCCACTGCGCGATGTCGAGGTAGTCCTTGCGCCGGGGATGGGTGTGGAGGAATGCCAGGTGCAGTGCGGAGAGGGCGAGGATGCCGTGCATCAGCGCGGGATCGTGGACCGCCCTTCGGGGGATGACAGATTTCCAGATCCATTCCACGGCGTGGTTTCGAGAAAGGGTCGCATACGTGTGCGTGCACCATTGCACCATTAGTTCTAGATCCTGGGGGTTGAGGGAGGGCTCAGCCTCGCAGGGGAGTGGTGGTTGCGTGAGGATCGTAGTGGTCGTCTCCGGTAAGGTAGAGGCTGTGCTCGCTGTTCCGGTTTCGGGAGGGGTGGAGGAAGAGGCTGTCAACACTGCTCGATAACTACAGGGTAGACGTTTGGTTTTGCATCGCAAGCAGATTGGTTGGTGCTCATCGCACTAATCGGTGAGTGGGATGTTAGCTCTGTAGACGTCGAAGACTTCGAATTGTCGGTTGTTGTGGTGACTATCGTACTGTAGCTTACCTTCACTCGTCGCTGCTTGCATTGCAGACAGCCATGCCGGGATTTACTATGGGCACGACGCGATGGCATATGGAATGAGCTCAAGTCGGGAGACAGAAGGAAATATCAGGATATAAATGAGATTCAAGCTATGATAGAGGAGAATTTAAAACGGTAGGCAATAAATAGGTTTGCTAGGAGATGGGCCAGTTGCGGGAAATTGGTGTGAGAGATGGAAATGATGGGGTCGGGTTGTCGGGGGTACCGGCTTTATTAAATACTGTCGCAGAAAATGGTCCCACAGCGGTTCCGGTAGTTCCTGCCATGCCCGTAAACCTTCCTGTCAAGCCCTGGTATGTTGTAGCCATCCAAACTCGCATTGAGCAAAAAGAAAGGAACTTGAGTGAGATTTAGAGACGTAGGCCCGTCAGATCGTGACCTGTTCGCCTCGCTTGCTCGATTAGCCGCGATAGTCTAACATGCAGTAAGGGTTTTATCCGACCGTTCATGGATGAGACGCTGGTCTCAAGGTAGCTTCGAGATTGTTGAGTGCCCGCAGTCGTATTGATCGCATATACCCCCGCTGTTCGGCCGATGGTTCATACACCGATTTGCCCTCCTCCTCCGGCGATGAATAAAAGGAGGCGAGACCTGCTCCAAGAGACGTGACGGCTAAACAGCAGACGATCACGATCACGATAATCGCCAGGTTGGTGAGAGCCATTGGGAGGAGTTGACGAAGGGGGCTGGTGCGAGCGGGTTTTATTTTGAGTACTGTACCATGCTACTTGATAGGACTCGACTGGATTTTTATACCTACTTTTGAGATGCATGCTTACGCTAAACCAGTGCTCCACGCCCTGCACTTGAAGTCACTTTTTCTTCATCTCATCTATCAACCTGAGCGTGCTAAAATTGGCTGGTATCAGAAAGATCAGAAACTTGCGTACACTATACCAGATACGGTTGTTTCCTTTCTTCTGGTCGTATTCTCACCGTGGATGACTCCACATGTTTCAGAAAGCAGCTTAAAATCTCCGATCGGCAGTTGATAAACGAGGGCTGGAAACTTTAAACCTCGACTGCCGTACACCTTGCCTAATCGGGTATGGTGTACCTACACCCCGAATCACTTCCATATATAGATCACCTTGTCGAGTCAAGAATTGATACTCCACGTTGAGTTGACACCTCAACGATACTTCATCAACCACTATATAAGCACCATCTCGTTGATCAGAAACTCTCAAAATGCAGTCCTCACAGCCTTGAATTTCATTCTCCCAGATCCCCGTCCATTTTTTCCATAATGTCCGATTCATTTGTTCTGTACCGCTATGACCCGTCCTACGCGGCAGCCGTTATCTTCACCATCGGCTTCCTAGTCACAGGAGTGGGACATATCTGGCAGGCCACTCGGTCGGGGAGTCGCTTCATGACCCCATTCATCATCGGCATTGCCTGTAAGCCTCCTTCCCCTTCCCGCAACACCGGAAAGTCCGATCAAGCCTCGGCCCTAACAACCAGCAGTCGAAACCCTAGGCTACGCTCTCCGCGCCGTCAGCGCCAAGCAGACCCCGAACTGGTCCGTCGCCCCCTACGCAGGCCAAAGCCTCCTTCTCCTCCTGGGACCCTCTCTCCTTGCGGCGTCGGTCTACATGATCCTGGGGCGCATCATCCGCCTGGTCGACGGGGACACCCGCGCGCCCATCCGCCCCACCAAACTCACCCGGATCTTCGTTACCGGCGACGTTCTTTCGTTTCTGTTCCAAAGCGGCGGCGGCGGCATTCTCGCCCAAGCCAAGACCCCCGGCAAGGTCAAGCTGGGCGAGCGGATGATCATCATCGGGCTGTTCGTGCAGATCGTCTTCTTCGGGGTCTTCATGGCGGTGTCCGCCGTCTTTCATCGGAGGATTCGCGAACGCCCGACGGAGAAGTCGATTGGGCTGGCGGTGCCTTGGGAACGACTTTTGATGGTTCTGTATGCGGTCAGTGCACTCATCATGGTCCGGTCGATCTACCGCGTGGCGGAGTATATCCAGGGGAGTCAAGGGAGTTTGCAGGGTCATGAGGTGTTTATTTATGTGTTTGATGCGACGTTGATGTTGTTGGGATGTTTGACGCTGAATGTCTGTCATCCGAGTCAGGTGCTGCGGGAGAAGGGGTTCTATGAAGAGCCCTTGGTGTGAGGGAGCTGAGTGATTCGTCCATACGAAGTGAAATCTGCGACTGTTAGCATTGATTATTAGACGTAACTGTAGTTCTATGCTTTAGACTCAGAACCGAAGAATCATAGACATATTGTCAGCGAGAGCGCCATGTAAATGAACTGAAAAATACGTTCACCCGACGAAGAGTGTAAGGCGGGGAAGCTTTTGACTCCCCCTTACCTTTTCAAATTACAGTCCTCCATCAGGCAGCTAAATTTCTTCAATCACATAATGGTCCTGAAATGTCCGAGTTACGTTAGGGCTGACCCCAAACACAAAGCTAGGCGACTGACCGAGACGAAGATGTAGCCGTTGGTGATCTTGTTAGTTCCCATGGAAAAGACTGCGAATGGATCAAATGCACCCACTGGGCTTTCAAGTTAACAATTCTTGTCGAAAGAGATATTCCTCGATCCTAGCAAAGACACTATGATGGTTTACTTCATGCATTGCATGAGTAAGGGGTCTGCTATTTACTGCTGAGGTATCGGTGATTGTGTCACATCTGGATGCCTGACTAGATGCCAAGCGTGTCCGGTGAGATAAGCACAATCACGTTATTCAACTCATAATCCTTTGAACGACAAGGCGGGGGTGCTAAGTAACGACGGCTAGGGGGTCGCACTCTGCAGTCTCAGCATAAGAAATGAGTCAAATGCAATCGATTGCTAGATGTCAATATGATCACACCCCCGCCCTAGGGCGCGGGGTTGGCTTGTCACATTCGAACAGTGGCAGAGATTAGTAATATGACAACTACCTGACTGTTCGCCGATCATTTGCTCTGAAGAGCTGCTGCACGTAGAATAGAGAGACATACGATTTCTGGCGACGATTGATGGTCAAGGATTGGTACAGCAATTACTAAACCTTTATTTGCCAACCTCTTCGTAGCTTAACTCCCTGCTGAGCACCCTGCGCAGGGCTTGGAGAGGTCCTGATTTTCCCAAGGTAGAATAGTCATCGTATTCACCCATGTCTTCATCACGAGAGCGCCACTTGGCTAACAATCATAGGCTGATGCTGCTTCGGGTTTCGAATCCCGAGAGCTGCTCGGTAGCTTGATCCCTGTCATAGCTCGGTGGGGGGCGTCGAAATTCTCGAAAACTCGAAATTACCTCAGGCAAGAGCGGCTATCTAGGCATGTACTGGGTTAAGACTATGAGCTTCAGCCGCTGTACGCGCTTCAAGTCTGAAGAAGGCTAACTATAAACAGCTTTGCAAATCCCCGTCCCCGTTCTTAGGCACATTTTCCTCCCGCTTTCTCAACATCACCGGGCATTCTTCAACAGCAGACATCCGATGGCCATGATTGATTCCCAAAGCCAACTCAACTCGCCAGTTGAGGCTACACTAAGTAAACAGGCCACTCATCCTGCATTGCGTCGCGTGGAAGAGGTCTCGCAGACCGCATTCCCACACACTCATGAACACATTCACAATTTCCCACAAAATCATGACGCTCGCCACACTGCCGGTAGCCTAACCTCTAGACTCGACGTGGAAGAGGCAGAGCATCGGGTCATGCAGAGTACGCCCCCCGAGGTGTCTAACTTTGCCAACGAAATAGTATTTGTTCTCCTGTGCTCCATGGGCCTTCTACTCTTCGGGGTATTTCTCGGAGACGTTCTCGTGAATCAACTCATCTTTCCCCGCGCCCTGCATGTCACCGAGGGGAGTACACCATGGCTGGTGGGTTCGTTCTTGTTAGCGAATGGAGTGGCTGTGATCATCGCCGGGTCGGTGGCTGACCTCTCGGACCCGAAACCGCCTATGACACTCGCCTTCGGCTGGCTAGTCATCTGGAATCTGGTCTTGGTGTTCAGCATTCGCCCAGGACGCGCGGTCTTGTTCTTCGTGGCGCGGTCCATGCAGGGAGTGGCCGTGGGGGTACTCCAGGCCTCCTCCATGAGCCTCCTGGGCCGGCTGTATGCACCCGGGGTCCGCAAGAACCGGATCTTCTCCCTGATGGCGGCGATGGCTCCCATCGGGTTCTTGATCGGCTGCCTCAAGGGTGGTGCGCTGGCGGCCCATCTGCCCTGGATCTTCGCCGCAAACTCCATCCTCTGTGGCCTATGTGTCCTCGCGTCAATTTGGTGCATTCCTTCATTTGCACCCCAGCATAATAGTACAATCCTCAAGGACTTCGATGCCATGGGGGCCGTCTGCGCCGCGGCAGGCTGCGGACTCGTGATCTTCGGCCTGACGCAAGGCGCGCCCACCGGCTGGCAGCCATATACGTATTCCAGCATCATCGCCGGGATGCTCTGTTTTGGGCTGTTCTACCTGGCCGAGCAGCGGGCCGCACGCCCGTTGATCGACAACCGCCTCTGGACAACTCCCGGGTTCACCTCCTTGGCAATCTCCTACTTCCTAGGCTACGGCGCCTACATCGGCGGCTGGATGTTCTACGCCGTGCGCTTCTTCCTCTCCACCCAGCAGAAAGCCCCCATCACAGTCGCACTATACCTGATCCCCAACCTGGTGTCCGGAGTCGCAGCCACCTGGGTGGTCTCGCGCACGCTGCACGTCGTTCCCGGTCACTGGCTGCTTGCCGTGGGGATGATCGCTTTCACCATGGGCCCGGTCTTCTTCCTACCGCAGACCGCCCACACCACCTACTGGGCGCTGGCTATGCCGGGAATCACCCTCGTCACATTCGGGCCGGACCTGACCTTTGCCGCTGCCTCCATCTTCATCACCTCAAGCGTGCCGAAATCCTTCCAGGGCGCCGCGGGCAGCTTGTTGGTGACCATCCAGAATCTGTCTGCGGCCATTGGGACCGCTCTGGCGGATACCGTTGGGCAGCGCGTGAATCCCGGCGCGGGGTATGATCTGGATTTGGGGGCTTTGCGCGCGATCTGGTGGCTTAGTCTGGGGATGGCTGTCGTGGCTGCACTTATTTGTGCTATCTTTGTGCGTATTCCGAAAGCAGAGGAGAAGGAACATGTTCTCTGAGCCTTTGCGGGAGGAACCGTCGAGTCACCGAGGGCTTTCAACCCTTATTCTGTGTGTCTCGTCCTGAGATGAAGGTTACAGGGATTTCAATCGGCCGCAATGGAAAAGCTAGAAATGAAAGAATATAACGGACGACAGGCAAAGAAATGCGAGAAAAAAGAACGAGGACAATGTAGCAATCAGAAATAGTATTCAATAGGTAGAACTGCAGTTGCTTCTTCTCCAGTTGGTGCTTTGCTTGATCAGCACCCCAGGATACAGCACGAATTGCCCATCTGCAGCTGGAACGGAAGATGGATACGAGGGTAAGCTCGAGCATAAAGTAAAATTTGCAATTTTTGTGCTCATAGCTGCGATAGCTTGCACCATTGAGCCTGCTACAGCCACGCGGCATGTCCGACCCATGCAGGCGTGAGGGTGAATCTCCAGCCCTAACCGGGTTCGGCTTTCTGGGACTAGCGGCCAGATCCTTCAGGGTTTCCCCCTCATCTTATGCATGGTCTCGCCACTGTTGAAAAGTCCCATTGGTGCGCTCGGATAGTCTAGACCTTTTTGATTTGACCGTAGATGCATCTGTATACAGTCTGCGCCAATGAGGCTCACCAGCGGTGTGCATGCCATGCTCAGGGTTGCATATTCTTCAGCCTCCATGATCCTGCCAACGGAGGGGAGGGGAAGTAGGGTGAGCCGACAGGAACCAGCAGCATGCATGCATCTTAATAAAAGCAGGAACAGACCCCTCACCAGCCTACGATCACCTCCCTACCTCAATTCCCTGGCAGGTTGTTCCCTCTTCAACATACAAACTACTTACCCCACCTCTACCCCCAACCAACACCAACACCCAAGACCTACAAATTCTCCACCATGAAACTTCCCCCCACACCCCTCCTCTTCGCCCTAACCACCCTAACCGCAGCGACCCCACTCACCACCAAGACCCTAAATCTCCCCCTCCAACCCCGCGACACCACCCCCTTCACCACAGGCCTAACCACCCTAACCGCCGCGGCCCGCGCCCTGGACGCCCAGATCCAAACCTACCCCGGCGGCGACGACATCTCCAACATCACCGCCGGCGCGGCGACGCTCATCACCGCCCTCCTGGCCGAGACGAAAACCATCCAGCCGGACTTCCTCAACGCCACCGAGGCCCCCGCCCTCCTCCCGCCCCTCGCGACCCTGGCCGCGCAGATCTCCACCGTCGTGGCCGACTACATCGGCATCCACGCCGCGATCGCCGCCACCGCCGCCTCCAGCGACGGCGGCTGGTACATCTACTCCCAGCTGCAGGAGGAGCACACCGCCGCGCTGACGTATACGGGCAGCGTGGTGGCGCGGATCCCGGCGGGCGCGGTCAAGGACGCGGCGGCGGCGTGGGCGGGGAATATTACGGATGCGTTGCTGGACGGGAGGGAGGCGTATAAGGATATTGCGGTGCGGCCGACGGGGTATTGATTGGGTGGTTGGGGGGGTTGTTGGGGGAATGGGAGAGGGGCAGGAACTGTGCTTTGTTTCTGGTTGTGAGGTGAGGGATTGGGGCATGGAAGGGCGAGTTGAGTGGGTTCTATTGCTTTTGCTGATGAGGAATCGGTGTTATGTGATTGTTCCATGGAGGCGGGATAGTATCTGGAAGCCAGAATACAGAATTTCAATGTGATAAAAAGGTTATCTGCCTTGTACAGTACGCTTCCTGGGACCGGATTTGTCTGCTGTGCTGGTGAAGTCATGCACCAGAATCCTCGATACCAATGACAGAGCAAACCCTCATGCGGAATGGTTCGTCTTTATCCACATGTTTACGCTTATTAGAAGTATCTATCAATATCAGATTCATCCAAGGCACGCACCGAGGGTCCTCTGGTGCGGGTACAGCCGCAGAACCAGGCCAGGGGGCCCCGAACTACGTACTGTACTCCGTGTGTTCTGGTTATCCCCGCCCGGGTTCCAGGTTCCCAGTGGCCACAACGGGGCACCAATTGGTTTGCAGGGAGAAGTATCAGCATCATTGCTGGAGCGGTTAATACCTTACTTACTATAGTCCTCGAGATACAACCAAGGAGTCTCCGGCTGCATCGCCAAGGTTGGACCCTGCTTTACTCCGATTGATTTAGTATTTGATATTCCCACTCCCATCCTCATCCCGCCCTCTGTGTTTGCGCCGAGCAGACGTAATCCGTTTTAGGGTTTGGGGAATAGAAGATCAATACAGGTTATATTAGGGTCATTTCATCAAGGTTATACTCGGCTGGGCTTGAGATGCTGACTCCTGCGGCGTGTGCGGGGCTGGGAGGGTTGGGGTCGCTGCGGCGCTGCTGAGACGGGCTAGGGTTTCGATGGGCTGCTCTGCAGAAACGACTGTCGCGAGAACGGTTCCTTCCGTAACTACAGAGGCGGAGCCTTGATGATTGTTCATGTGGCTTTGACATGGTGGCCTTGGTATATCAATGGTGACTTCTCTACGCTCTTCCTTGATGTGCGACTTGGATCTGGAAAGGATTCCCTGAGGGGTTTTATCCGTGCCTCACTCGAACAGCCAAGCTCCTGGCCGCACCGTTGGCTCACTGAAGAAGGAAGGCATTCCCGTCATTGCTGATGAAGCATAGCACATGTCCCTGATCTCCTCTCTACGCCGCAGGTTCCAGATCTTCTCACGCGGCTTCCTCCACCAGCACCCACCGCCACAGCGCATCCTGCCGCAACCGTTGCATCGCCGCCCCCTCCAACACAACCCTCAGCTCATACGGCTGCGCAGCAACGTCCCCACTCAGATCCCTGGCCGGCAGCACCCAGCACACACCTTTCACCTTGGTCTCGGGGATATCATACCGCCGGACGCGGCCGAGCTCCCCGAAATCCAGGTAGACGTCCATCCACCGCAGGCTGGAGACGATGATGCTGGTGCCATACGCCGGGAAGACGGTGGAGCGGTCGGTGGTATCGGCGATGGTCCGGCACAGACCCTTCATGTAGGACTCGGACAGTCGGCCCATCTCCCGCCGCAGCGCGACGGCGATGTGCAGCAGCTGCGTCAGGGCGGCGCGGTCGATGGTTGACGGGAGGTCCAACAGAGCGCTTTGAGCATCCAGGGGTAGTGGCTTTGAGCTATCGCTGGGCTGGTAGGATGTCTCCACCGCGGAGAGGGCGTTGCCCATGTATGTGGCTGGCAGGTGGCAGTGTTTGCGCACGTTGGCGGCGATGATCACCTTTGGGTTCGGGGGGATCGCGTCCGGGACGGTTTCGAGGCGGGCTTTGTTGCCGCAGAGGCCGATGATGGCGGTGATGATGTCGTTGGTGCTGAGGCGGGGGGTGGTGGTGGTGGTGGTGGACGTGAGGGCGTGGTTGCACGCGTCCTTGAGCTGAGTGATGCGCTCGGCGCTCAGGGTGAAGTGTCGACTCACCGGGACTTTCTCGGGTGGTGGCGGGGTGAGATCCACTGCCAGCGGGGTGCGAGTCCAGTTCAATGGTGCTGCGGGCTCCGAGGCGTGGGCTGTGTACTCCGCGATGTGTTTTCTGGAGCGCTGCTCCGCGGCGTGGGAGCTGGGCAGGGCTTCTGCCGGCGCGCTCGGGTCTCTGCAGAGCGTGGCCAGCGCTTGCAGGACCACGGCCAGCGCGGTGCTGTCGAGGACTTTGTGGTAGTAGACCACGCACAGGATCGTTTGTGTTCTGGTCACATTTGCCTGGAAGCGCACCAGCGGCATGGGCTCCTCCGGCGGCGTGAGGAACCGGATGGGAAGGTACCGCTGCTGGATGTATTCGTCGGGGTGGAGTGTGTCCATCTCTGGACGCTCTTCGACGCGCAGCATCGGGTATTCAGTCAGGAAGGACGCGGGGGCTGCCTGCACTTCGTATTCATTCTTGGGGATGGGTCGACTCGAGGGGACCACCACACCCGTGAGGAAGGGGAAATGCTGGCAGAGCTGGTCCGTCGCCTGTTTCAGGGTCCTGATCCCTTCCGAGGAGGTGTTGGTGAAGGTCAGGAACCCGAACATGTGGCATGGGGGGAGGATGTGATCGAGATACGTGATCCTGTAGCTCGGGAAGGGATATGGCACATCCGTTGTCGGCGCCCTGTGGACTTCTGTCTTGACTGTCTCGTGAGGGTCCACAGCAGTCTGCTGTGCCGCGACTTCGACGATAAGATGGCGTACAACTTCTGGGCGTAGCAGCTGCCCACAGGAGATTGTGGTGGTTAGCACTTCGTACTGTCCAGACATGACGGTTGCCTGTCTTCATTGCTCACTCACAAAGAATACTTACCGTCGAGAGATCTCCAAACTCCTTCTCTTCCCCTTCGACGATCTTTCTCAGAATCCGTCGCATGATCTTGCCGGATCGAGTCTTGGGCAGATCGTCGACGAGGAACACCTTTCGGGGTACAGCAAAGCGACCGACCCACTTCCCAACGTGCTGCTGTGCCGACTGTCGGAGCTGCGCCTTACTCGCCTCATCCTCGAGGTCATCTCTTGAGCACGCGAACACGACCAATGCCTGTCCGGTCAGTTCATCCTGGGTCCCTACGACGGCAACTTCGGCAAAGGCGCCTGCCAGCATGATTAGCACATTTGCCTTTGTCTGCAGCATTTGATGCATGGGTGATTGCAACGGACCATGGTTCAAGAGAGCGGATTCTATCTCGCCGGTGGAGAGTCGATGGCCCGATACATTGACCACATCGTCCACCCGGCCCAGCACTTTGAAGTATCCGTTCTTGACTCGGATGGCAGCATCTCCAGTCGTCTGGACTTATTTAACTTTCCATATCCCAGTACGTGCCAACTGGCTACAGAAAAAACCAAGGGGGTGGTTGCAGACTCACAAAGTATCCTCTATGCTGCTCGAAGTAAGTCTTCATGTACCGGGCATGGTCCCCCCATACCGTGCGGGCAATGCTGGGCCACGCCTGATCGAAAGCCAGCAAGCCCTCGGATTCACTGTCCCGAATCTCAGCCCCAGATACCGGATCCAACAGAATCGGGCGGAAGCCGAAGAATGGCAGCGCCACGGATCCGGGCTTGATCGGAGTGACCGCGGCCAGCGGGGCAAAGGCATGGCAGCCTGTCTCGGTTTGGAAGTAGGTCTGCGGTCTTTCTTAGCGCTCTTACTTCAGGCGTCTGCATGTCCCCAAAAGTTGAGGAGAAGGAGGAAGGGAGGGCGGAACATACATCCAGAACATGCACCTGCCCAGCAAGAGTATCATAACACCACTGCCAGACATTGGCGGCCAAGGGCTCCCCGATGGAAGCCACCACCCTGAGACGCTCCAGGTTATGCTGCGCCGCCGCAACGTAACCATTCCCGCTCTCCTTCTTGATCAATCGCAGGGCGGTCGGGGCCGTGTAGAAATGCGTCGCCCGGGTGCGCGCGAGGATCTGCCAATACCGGTCATAGGTCGGGAAGGCCGGGGTGCCGTCGAAGAGCACGGTGGTCAGCCCCAGGACCAGCGGCGTGTAGACGAGGTAGCTGTGGCCGGTGATCCAGCCAACGTCACCGGCGCAGAACATGTTGTCGGAGGGCTGCAGATCCAGCACGTACTTCCCGGACACGGCGCAGCCCAGCAGATAGCCCGCCGTCGCGTGCAGCAGGCCCTTGGGCTTCCCCGTCGACCCGGAGGTATACAGCAGGTACAGGGGATCCTCGGCGCCCATGGCCTCGGGCGCGTAGTAGCCGGGCCACCGCGCGCATTCCTCGTGCCACCACGCATCGTCCGTCCGCTGCGACCAGGGCACGGCACTGCCCGTCTTCCGGAGGACGAGGCACTTGCACTTGCACTTGCAGCTGGCGTCACGGTCCTGCAAGCCGGCCACCGCGTCCTCAACGACCCGCTTCATCGGCACGGTCTTCCCGCCGCGCACGCCCTCGTCCACGGTCAGGATCACGCGCGACCGCGCATCCTCCAGCCGGCCGCGCAGCGCCGGGGCCGAAAACCCCGCAAAGACGACCGAGTGCACGGCGCCGATGCGCGCGCACGCCAGCATCGCGACCACCGCCTCCGGGATGTTGGGCATGTACACGGTCACGATCTCCCCCTTGCGGACGCCGAGATCCCTCAGCACCCAGGATAGTCGGCTGACGTCCCGCAGGAGCTCGGCGTAGGTGATCTGCGGCGGCTGCGGCTCGCCGGCCGGGATGTCGGGCTCGTAGACGATGGCGGGCCTGTCCGGGTGGGCGAGCGCGTGGCGGTCGACGCAGTTGTAGCTGGCGTTCAGCCGGCCCCCGAGGAACCACGCGTGGTCGCCAGCTTCCAGGGATCCGTGGCGGGTGGTGTGGAAGGGGTGGTCCCAGTGCAGGCAGGAGGTCGCCATCTCTCCCCAAAAGCGGTCCGGGTCGCGTAGGGACTGTTGGTAGAGGCGGCGGTATTCGCCCAGGTTGGCTAGGTGCGGGGTGGAGGGGTGTTTTCTGGGGGTATCATTTGGCAGTTAGGGTTGGTGCTGGGTTAGGCGGGGCTTGGGGCTGCGTACAAGTTGTATGAGGCTGGCACATCAACCAGGGTGGTGGGCGTGGGCTCGGTGGGTTCGGCCATCGTGGATGGGTGACTGGGATGGTGTGGGCTTGAGTGAGTGTTCATTGAGGTGTGGATTCATTCGTAGAGTAGGAGTAGGAGTAGAGGGCGACTTTTGTGGCCTTAAATACATTTGATCCATAGGTTTTGCAGACGAATGTACTGTATCCATAGGTAACAATAGCCCGTACGGAGTAGTATGTGCACCCCTAGAACGGAACCCTAACTCCACCCCGGCCCAGTCGCCGCCATGGTCATTGCGGTCCCCATCCGTGCGATCGCACATATTTCCTTCGCCAAACATGGAGGTTTGATCTAGGATTCGAGGGCGGTCCTTGATTCTGTGGAGATCACCTCCGAGCAAGAGAGACATATCACACGGCTTCATGGGATCGAGCGTTGGATTGGGTATTGATGGGACATCCGGGGCCGGACCCTCCAAGGATGTAAAGTCACTGTTACTCGCCCTGGATACTCCAACAGAACACAGAGAGCCAGCTGGATTCTCCTCAACTACCCCTCCCTCGAGGACCCGTCGTAGATCTGTCGGGGACTTTTCAAAGTTTGGATCGACACCAGCGTCTATGCAAGAAGCCCTGGTAGAAGATTACAGAATGCAAATGTCGATCCCCTGGAGAGTCTCTTATCGTCTCGGGAGGTGCAGTTTCACGTGGAAGACACACAATGCCGATTCAAGCGGATACTGCAGACCCGGGAGTGGGCCAGGGTCCAGGCAGATTTTATCTCCACAGATCCCGGGAGTCGCACCTCAGAGTGGCTTGGCTTCCAGAACTGGGTGCACGTGGGGCTTGCTGATGGGACTGAACCCCGCATGTGGCCTGAAGATATGCTAGGTGAGCCGAACGCGGCCTCCTTCAGCCTCGACGCGCCTTTGGTTCGTGATGACGTCTCCGAGAGGTGGAAGATGGATGGATTCTGACTACGTCAGGCTAACTGAGAGAACTAAGTTAGGTAGCTATAAGGCCACCAAGATGGGCGGGCGGTGGGTAAGCAGCCTCAGGCAACCAAGGCCCAGGGCCGCCGGCAGTTTGTGTTAGTCCTATCGGAAGCTCCTGGTTCATGTCTTATGTGATGAGGCCTTGTATTCTTAGTGAGTTGTTTTCATTTCTTTTATTTGTGCTTTTCTTTTTTTGCCCTTTCGTCCGACAGATACAGATCGGGATCTCATCTCTTCCTCTTCCCGATCAAGTATAGCCCAAGGCCGATCCGATCATCGGCTGCATGAAAATGAACCCCTCACACTTTCACAAACAGGCCCGTGCTCATCCTGCAGCAGTATGCAAGCCCTTATCACAGGCCGCTAGGCCCGCCAATATTACTCTGGTGATTATAACCCCACCGCATATTGTCAGACCAAGATTCGAATCAAGTGTTCAGCAATTAAATCCTAGAACTCAGGTGGTGTCTCTTTGGCCACTCATTCCCATACGCTTGTAAATGAGAGCCCAAGCTCACGGAAATAAACATACTTAGTAAAGATCTATGCTGCAATATGTGCTGCTCTTCGTCTCGGCAGCATGTGACCAATCACTGAATCAGTGGTGATAGTACATAGAATGTCCTGCAGAGCTTTACCACGCCTATACTTCCCAACGGGACGCATGCATCCTGCATGACGCTCGAGCCGAGTACAAGTTAGCTAGCTAAGTAGAACGCATCCGAAGAAGCATTACAATAGCCGCAGAAATTGGCGAACCGGACAGTCACCACCGCAACAAGTAACATTGGCAATTAGCTAAAGGAACCTCGTTCACCAGGCAAAGCAGTACCGCCACCGCACATCGCACTCCTCCCAGCTCAAGAGTCCTCATCATACGGCGGCAGGAACCCCTCATCCTCAAACAACTCCACCAGATGATACCGCCGCTGGGCCGTGCACAGCATAATCCATCCCTTGACGTAGTCCCGAACCGGCCGCACCAGGTCATCCTTGCCCGCGAAGATCTCATAGACATTCGCGATCACCTGTACAGCACACGAATAGCCCCCGGATCGTCAGCCTAGCCTTATCCCCGTTTCTCCCACCGAGAAAACAGCAACAAAAAAAAAAAAAGAAACAGCGAAACTCACCTTCGGCGCATAATCCACCAACCGCCGCAACACCTCCAAATGCGACATTCCATGCGCCTCGGCGAAATTCGCCACGAAATTCCCCGTCTCCCGGTGGACGACAAACTCCTTGTAGTACGAGAGGATGTCGTTCGTAAAATCGGTGAACAGCACCAGCTCCTGCACCGCCGGGAAGTACCGGATGAGGTGGGTCTCCTCCGGGTACCGCTGCTGGGGCCACAGCAGCGCGACCAGGATCTCGGCCGCCCCGACCTTGGTGCGCAGGAACATGGGCATCAGGCGGGTGGCGGCCGAGAACCGGAAGGCCGACTGCGCCATGTCGTGCTCGATGATGCGGCCGTTGACGTAGTCGAAGAGGGACTTGATGATCGTCGAGTGGCAGTAGGGCCCGTAGTAGCGGGCCAGAGAGCGCAGGTGCGCGTCGAAGTGGCGGAGGAGCGGGTGGCGGTGGTCGTGGTTGAGGGTGAAGCTTGCTCCCCGGTTTGGGTTAGTTGTGCTATGCCTGAACAAAAAGGGGGGGCTTACTTCTGGCAGAAGCAACGGAGCTCGTTCATGAAAAGGGGCGCCGCGTCGTCGACGAGGAACATGTACAGGAACTGCACGGCGCAGAGGACCTGGTTCTCGAAGGGAAGGGAGGTGTATGCTTGGTGTGTGAAGGTGGTTGACATTTTCAGGACTTTCTGGACGGCGGCTTCGAGCTTCGGGCCTAGGTTCAGGCTTTTGAAGTATTTCCAGACGGCTGCTTCGAGTTCCTTGTCTTTGGAGGACGGAGTGGTCCGTTCAAACCGGGTGGCTTCGAGGAAGTCCTTGATTAGGCCTCTGACGACATCTACCTGAGGCGGCCCGTTGATATCGAGACCGTGGTATCCAAAGGTACTCTCTTCTTCAGTGCTCGACATGCTGGAAGTCGGAGGTTGAATGAAAGTGGGTTGTGAACAGAAGAATTGGAGGATAATGCAGAAAGTTGGGTTTTTATAGGGCAAGAAAGGATGAATACGCTGCCGGCAAAGCAATTGAGAGATGTGGTCAGGCCGGGAGGGGAGGGGGGCCATGGTGAGCTGGGTCATCATTCGTCTATTCGGTTCAACAATCATGGCTAATCTTGCTCACTGGCCCTTTTCAATGGTGCCGGAGTAATACGAGTTCCTTCCAGGAATAAATTAGAAAGAAATTCCTTGTACGGCCCAGCTGCCCTCGAAGCTAGGGAAGGTCTGTTCACTTGTGCATGTCGATCTAGTTGCGCACAGCCTGCTCGCGTGCATCTCTGGTAGACAGATCTCACCCAATGGAGTCTGCTTCCTACGTGCTGAAGAAGGGAGATATGACTCTGGATTATGGGAAAGAATAACCAGGAGATGCATTTCATTTGCCTTACCTGTGGGACTGCGAAACATCACCTACATGCAATGTAGTCTAACAACGATCAACCATCATTGCAGCTTCATCCTTCTCAGTCAGTGCGGGAACACTCTGGGTAATATATCTGGATGCTCTGCTCAAGATAACCGATTGCGTGACTTTTAAACCTTAGATTTCCTTGTGCCTATACTGAATTGGCAAACGGAAACCGGAATTGCACTACATCGGCCAGGAACCCCGATGGTGTTTTGGAGTAGCCTCAACACTGGGGTCTGATAAAGGGAGTAAATGCCTCAATTTCCATCTTAGAATTTCCTTATCGCTTGCCCCAGAGCAGCAGTCGGTGGTAAAAAGGCACAGGTGAGCATGGTTCCTATTCGCGAGCTCCGTAGATTGGAAGATGGTGACCTTTGTCGGAGATGGCACAAAGATAGATGGATGATTAGAAAGGAAAAACAAAGGGTAAAAAACAACTAACACTGGATGTCGTACTTAGTACCGTTCGCTGCATGGAGATCAACGTCGATCAGCGCGATTGGGGCTTATTGATTGGGTGCCAGTATTGCACTGGTATCACACCCGTCCCAGCCACTATGTTCCACTGCAGCACGCCACGCCGGAGATTTGGGAATGTGATACAAAAGCTGCCTAGCGCTGTTGTAGGGGGCGTATCAAGTCCCTCGGGCACTATTTGTCCTAGTAGCATAAGCGCTAGGCTCCTGGCCCCGGTAGTACTCCCGGGAGCTCGTTCCCAGCAAGCACCGACTTAACCTACGTGCTGGCAGGTCGGAATCCTGGAAGCTAATTCAGTTGTGCTTCCACTACTAGCGAAAGATGAATTACGTGACGCTTTCTACCGGAGACCCCCGGGGCTGGTGAGGGGGTTAAAGCGAGCTCATATTGGCTCCCGAGTGGGTGACAAAGTGAGGAGTCTATACCTTCAACAACGTGCTTGGCATGCCATTTATACACTTCTTCTTACTGAGAATCGCATGAAAGAAAGGATTGAGAGTTATGATGCTAAATATGATAAAAGCTTTGGGATCATGCAAGTCTAGGGCCAGTGTCCTCGTGTACTTAGGGTTATTTGTAGGCTTTGCCGAAATGAGAACCTTCGCGACAACCAGTGCGTCTCCAAAACGGACCTGCTTTACTCTAGTGTGACTGTTGACAAACATGGTCCCATAGTACCCGGCCAGGTCTAGCTACAACTCTTGGAATATCTGGATACATCTGGTGTCCGGCACACTTCCAAGAACGTCTTCAGTGACTATGACGACATTTGAGACGGCTCGGTAAGGATGGACGGATGATGTAGTTGCTAGACGACACCATCACACGACGCAGCCCAACCTGGTATTCCAAAGGTGAATCTCACCCATAACCAGGGTCGCCTTTGAAGGTGGATACCAAGATACATTGCAGAGTGTCAAGAAAATGAGAGCGTGGAATCAAGCCAATTGCGTCACCCGACTTGATCGGAGGCCAAGGTGCTCGTGGACCCTTGGCACCCAAGGACTTTGACCTGGATACAGTTCTGGCCAGGAGCAGTCTGGCCATTAGAACAGTCCCGTACTGTTGCCACGTTGTTTTCCGATGTGTCAAAAAGCTCCAGTCTAAACCTACGGAGCACGGTGGCGAGGACCAGGTTCAGCCAGCAGTAGGCCATGCTTCGGCGGTATTAGTCAACACATGGAGTCAATGGCATTGGGAACCGTATCCAGAGCACCTACCTGGGACCCAAACACGCCTGACTTCCCTTCGAAAAGGGAACAAGATACCGCTCCAACTCGGGATTTGTCTCCCAACGCTCCGGCCAGAACTCCATCGGTCGCGGGAATATATCTGGGCTCCGGAGGATGAAATGTGTAGACATGCTCACAGGTGTCTATGGCCCAAAAATGTCAGATTTCAAAGGTCCTGCGAACACGATCTGAGTAAATACATACCCCTGGCGGGATTTCCCAGCCGTCGCAGTATAGGATTTCGTCGGGTGCAATGCGGGGGAGACGGGAGGTCACCACGGCCGAAAGTCGCAGGCCTTCTTTGATCACAGCTGACTATTTCACCCTTCGTCAGTGTGTTGGGAGCCAAATGGAAATGGGAGACGGCCACTGCCAAGATACGGTAGCTTCTCCATCTCCTGCCACGAAGGGGTCATCGCGGCGCCTGGAAGGGCTTGTGTGAGTTCATCCTTCAACCTCGCGTGGACTCTGGAATTTCGGAGCACGTGGAACAGGGTTATCGCCATGACCTGGGATGGAGCGTCTGTTTCCGCGACCAGAAGGAATTTGGCTTCGTCGGTTAAACGTGGTAGCGTCGTCTCTGTGCTGGGATGCTTGCCGTCACCCTGGAGGATGCTGGCAAAGATTGATTTGTCCCAGACTTGAGCTTTGCGGGAGTTGAAGAGCTCCGTCATTTGCTCTTCGATTGCCTGTTTGCGATTTATTACTTCATGTGATGTCATCACGCTGCGTTCCATGTAAAGCTCACCTCTTCAACTGGTTTGATATTTCTGTATTGAGCCTGGATCAGGCAGCAAATCCACGCAGGAAAGTACCTCGAAACAGTGTAAAGGAATGGAAGATGCCGTAGTAGGATGAGCGTTTCAAAGATCGAGTTCACCCCCTTCTTCCACATATCCGTCAACACGGGATAATCCAGGGTGTTGAAAGAATAGCGAGAACCGAAGGCAAAGAGCGACACGGTATCAACAGCAAAATTTATGAATAGAGTATGCAACTCAACAGCTGTCCCCTGCTTCATCGCCCTCTCCAGGTGCCAGCATACTGAGTCTATACGCCGTATGATGTCGGGCTCAAAAGCGCGGATCGACTGCTTGGAGAAGAACGAGGCCAGGATGCCCCGACGCGCACGGTGGTGACCATGTCCACTTGCAGCAAAAGTGGTCCCTGGGGCTTGTGCAGAGACAAACCAGCTATACTTCTCTCGTTTGTGCAGAGGGCCAGAATAGAGGGTGTTGTAAAAGTCGGGGTCTTTGATGTGGAGCTCGAAGGGGCTGATCCGCACGACCGGGCCGTATCTCTCATGCATACGTTCAATCTCAAACATGAACTGCCCTTCTTTGACGACATCGAAGTAGAACTCATACCAGCGCGTTGCAGCAGCAAGCTTAGGTCCGGGAAACTTGGCCAAAGGGCTCAAGGCCAATCGGTGGACGAGGGTGCAAAGAATATACGCAAGAAAAGTCCCTCCAAATATTAACAGCAAGTGGGGAGGAGTTAAGAATCTGGACGCTCCCATGAGAAGATTCATGCTGCTCAAGAGAGTAGATATGGAATGACCCAAGGGCTAGTAGAACTAGACGGTGGCGCACTAGTTGAGATCCTCGGGTAATGAGGTATTTTGATGACTTGGTGTTTAGAAATAGATTATAATTATTGTTCAAAAGAGCAGGCAATCAATACGCCATTATGAGCTATCTGTTCCCCGACATGTCTTATAGTGCCTAAGTACGGACATTTGAACGAGATGTAAATCAAGCCCTACCAAGGAAATGAGGAAATGATGGGTCATTTTGAGCAAAGCTTACTTTCTACGGCAAGCTACTCGTGCCAATTTGCAATAACCCAATTTCCATAGTATTTCTCTATATAGTAAAGGGTAACATGTGTTCACCGCTTGACTGACCGCCTTCTTCTAAACTGACCCTAATGTAAAAATTATATACAAGATTCCCTAATAAAGGACCCTAATGTAACAATATTTTCGGCCTAAAATACCCTAAGACCCTAATAGCCCTAATAATCCTAATGTAACTTATAATTGTGTAATTTTGTTTAAATTAGGCAGCTTGGAAGGCTAAAACAGTATTGTCGGCAGAATTGGGTTATTGCAAATTGGCACGAGTAGCCCACCGTACTTTCATACTCCAGGGCCGGGCGGGCAAGCGGTGTTGCGGGCGGTGGCATGCCGGTTTCCATGCGTAAATGGAGCTTCTCCTGCCAAATACACACCGTAGCGGTAACTGTCTATCAGAGGTAGCCGCCAACTCTTCAAATTAGTGAGTCTAATTCTAGGCGAAGCACTGAGGGTTTCCCTATCTATAACTAAATCCCTAGATATTCTCGTTTAGCATACCATCAGAACTCCCTCATGTACGACGAGATTTAGAATTTTCAGAGGCGGAAGGTATTGTTATTACCAATACGGGTGGTATGGGGAAGAGCCAGTCTCATCATCATCTATCTGCTGTGGCTAGATCTAGAAGTTCTGCTGGTGTTGACTAAATCAAAGGTTGCCGAAGGCACCTTGTGCATGCCGTTTCGACCTAATCTTCTTACATACCGGTACAACTGTAACGCCTTAGGATCTTGGTTGGTCTTAAGAGCATAATACCCTCCGTGGCCACCAATTTCACAATTCCCTGAAGTTAATATGCAGCCACATTTGAATAGTGTCTCATAAAAGACCTGTAATATAGATACATTCTCTATTTGGAGCAATACCTCTTTCATATATGTTATATATACCTAGTGTATATAATAACAGATCTACTGATTGCTTCCAGCAGTGGAGCGCGAAGAATTGTGAAATTTGTAGTCACGGAGGGTATTGAAGTTGATTATACTGTACACGTGAAGGATGGGTTTAGGTGGATGGCCTAGCTCATATTGCATTAGGCTTAGGGGAGTGGGTCTAGAGCTGTAGGGTGTCAGTAAGTCATAAAACATAAAATGATTAACTTTGGAGGTGATACAAAATACTGTAATACCAGGTGGCTACAGTACCTACAGGTATCTGAGAAGTGCCTTCGGCACCTGGAAGGCAGTGGGTGTTCTCAGTTGGGTATGGGTTGCACCCTGGAGCCCTAAGTTCTCCTCCTCTGATTCTTACTCTCGGATGGACCCCCCCACTACGTCCATACTCTTTAGACTATTAAGCAGTTCTCACTCAGTCACGAACAGGTTCGTTTCCAAATTGTTGTAACTCCAGCGGTACAGTACATTGCCTTGCACCAGTACCACTGCTTCCTTCTCTATATGTACAGTACTACTAAACTCCGACCGGGTTTCAACACCGACGAACTTCGAACATCTAAAGTGTTCAATCTGGGTACGTGATCTTCCTACACTTCTCATTCACCAATGTCCAACAACACGAGAGCCTCAACCTCTATAGTCAATATCTCATTCCAAGTCCGACAACCTGTACCTGGCGCAACTGGATGCAGTCTGCTTCGACTATGTCCCAATGGATCCTAGAAAGGGTCAACCGATATCTAACCAATCTCGATCGAAACGTGCCTATCCACTCCAAAGACGACAAAGTTCCTTACGTCGCTGACATCCAGCTGCATCGCTGGATCCTCGTTCACGCCGGCGTACCTCTGCTCATCCACCAACTCTACGCATCTACGACCGGCAACAACCTCAGCCCGATGGCAGCTTTCGTCTTCTACCTCTCCGCGTTCGCAATATTCCTCGCGCGTGAGTTCCGCCTGACAAGGACCTTGGGCCAGGCATACGGATTCTTTGACGGCGACGGACACGCGCGAGATCGCGTGCGCGACTTCGGTCCGCGGAAGGCGATCAGCTCGATGCTGCTGGCCGCGCTCCTCCGCCCGCTCATGAAGATCTGCCTGACGTACACCATGGACGACCTGCCGGCATCGACGGATTGGGCGTGGCTCCTCCCTCAGGTCACGGTGTATGGCATCGTGGTCGACTTCTGGTACTACTGGAGCCATCGCCTCGCGCATGAGGTCCCCGCCCTCTGGAGATTCCACCGCACGCACCACCTGACCAAGCACCTGAACGCGCTGCTGACGGGGTACGCCGACGACGCGCAGGGGCTCGTGGAGATCGCGGGCCTGCCCCTGGTCGCCCACGGCACGATGACGCTGCTGGGCCTGCCGATGGGCTTCTACGCCTGGTACCTGGCCGACTGCTACGTGACCTTCACCGAGGTCTTCGGGCACAGCGGCGTGCGGCTGCATGTCTCGTCGCCCAGCGGCCTCACGTGGCTGATGCGGCGGTTCGAGGCCGACCTCGTCGTCGAGGATCACGACCTGCACCACCGATCCGGGTGGCGGCGGTCGAGCAACTACGGCAAGCACACGCGCATCTGGGACCGGGTGTTTGGCACCTGCCGGGCCAGAGTGGAGGGGATAGTCGATAATATCGATTATCAGAATCGAGCGGAGATCCCTGTATTGTAGATTGGTCAAAAGCATATACAGCATCATGGAGGGAATGGTCATTCTGAATGCCACATAGCGTATCGAGCAACCGAATGCAGGGAAATCCGAGTGGAACACAACCAAGAATAAAACATCTCGTAAAATCGAAACCCTTGCTTGGCGGGTGGGGGAGGCCGATGGCCCAGTCTCTATGTTCCGGATCAGGTTTCCGCAGGTTGCCAGATCTGTCCTTGTCTTTTTGTTCCTGCCATTGTCGCTATTCGCGCCGGGAAGCAAAGACACTATCGGAGTTGATGCAACATTACACTCTGTTGAACCACTCATTCTCTGATAATCCAGTCGTATGGACTCTTTTGATCCCTGTTTCGTGTAGCCTTGCTTGAGGTTACCGTAGTTCCTAGGTAGCAGTAAGAGTAGTGTAGTAGATTGGGTGGGTAAATGTGACATGTGTAGACTATTCCACAGTACGGCGTACAGGTAGTCGACACAGCGTTCTTATTTGAGGATTCAAGTTCAATAACGAGCCTTCCAAAGGCTGGAAACAGAGCGAACCAGAGAAGATCCCGTTATCTCCACATGCCAGGCCAAAGCAGACTGTCAGAAGTCAAAGGGGCAAGTATGCAAGTCCCGAAGGTCTAAGAAACCTTATCCATTACGAGGTATCGGAAATGAAATGTAAGGAAATCAAAAAAGAAAACACCTTGGAAACCGCAAAACAGAATTCAGGGGGTAAAATGTAATTTAATTCGTCTATTACCTGATCTGAAACCTTGCACTGGGAGTTGGCTGAATCAGGCTGTCTGGTTTGCTATTTGCTCCCGCAGTCAATCAAATGCAATTGTGACTAAAGGTAAAGGACATGAACGGTTATGCCTCTGTGACAGGTCAGATTCCTTCCGTCTGCCGGGTTTGGTAGAGCTTAATACGCCTGCTACTGACATATGACAACTAACCATTGACTTCTTCGGCTAGGAGTAACGGCAGCACAATCCGAACTGTATCATCCATTGAAAATACATGCCCGGCCCTCTTCTCCTTCAATCTTGTATAGCCAAGGCTCGCACAGCCAAGAATACAACCCAATGGCCACCGAAAACGATAAAGGCATCACCCACAAGCTTCTGGAGAAGTTGTCCACGACAAGGTTTGCCTGCTCGTCTTTAGAACGCCTGGGCAGCTATCTTGGATTCGTGTACCGTGGCCATCTCCGTCGTGCGCTGGACACCGGAGCCGTGACCGTGATCATCAAGCATAATGCCGGCCATGCCGCAAGGATGGAAGAATTCCAGCTTCCAGAGAATCGAGGCGTATGCAGCTGAGCTGAGCCCCAAGCCAGTGTCAAAGCGTTATATCTAACTCATGCTGCTAGTCCCGAGAAAGCGAAATCCTGCTTGCCTTTGCACAAACGCCCAATCCCGTTCCACCCTTCACATTCAAAAGCACCACCGTGCGAACCGCAGCGATACACGAGTTCAGAGCACGGGAGAACACTCTGTTGATTGAGGACATCCCCGGCTCCATCACCTTCCTCCAGCTGTTCACCACCTTCTCATTGCGATCTTACCTCCTGGGCCCGTCCCGGTCGTCCCTCGGGTTGAGCCTCGGCGCCTGGCTCGGCAAATTCCATTCCAGCACCCTGGACCGAGCCAATTTGCCGGAAATTGTGGCCTCGAATGAAACCGTCCGCCGTTTGATATGGGAGTATAACGAGAGGAATCTACGCCAGAACATCGAGGCCTATCCGGATGTTTTGAAAACAGATGAGCAGCCGAGGATGCGGGCAGCTGTCGAGGCGTAGCTCAAAAGGACCGACGGAGGAGATACTGGAATCACGCACGGTGACTTCCATGTTATGAAGTACGCGTCCTCAACCCCAGTAGAATGCTTTTTTTTGTTAACTATAAAACCAGTGTCCTCCTCTCACCCGGCCTGTTTTCATCCACACTCGTCCCCGTCGACTGGGAATCCTGTCATTTCGGCTGCCAGACGCTGGATGTGGCTCAGATGATCAGCAACCTCTACGTCGTCGATCGCCTGGGCGGCATCAATGGGCCCAGGAACGTCATGTACGGGTTTATTGATGGATATCACGAGACCCGGCGTCTGGACGAAGAGCTAGTATGGCATACGGTCGTCTGCGTGGGGGTGCTGATCCTTTGCACTCCGTACACGATGGTCCTGCCAGGCAGAGATGTGCGGGAGATCCTGCAAGCCGGGGCGGATTTCCTCATGAGAGGATTGGCCAAGGATCGGGGGTGGCTGGAAACTAGCGCGTTGGGTGTTTTGTTGGACAAAATCTGAAATGTTACCTCTAGATTGGAGGGCGGTACACAGAACCACTCCAAGAATATACACATGCACTCTTTACCCATCTCTACCGAGAAGAAGCTATCATTGCCTTATAAGGCTTATCCCTCCCATCAGGTATTCAGTTGAGGGCCCACACCTATCAAGATGGTTTTAGGACGCTTGAACCCCTACCCGTGCGAATAGAAGGTCCTTGAGACTCACTAATGAATCGCTTGCGTCTTCATCGACTCTGCACGAGAGAGAGCTCCCTGAACACATAGCTCGAACTCTCTTAGTAGGTAGTAACCTATGGTCGTCAGCCCGTATCAGCATAATCAAGGATTATGTAATCTACCTCAATCAAGCTGCTCGACTACTACCAGCAGTAGGAAACCGAATTCAGCCATTTCCCTAGCCATCCCTTGCGTCTGACTGCAGCTCGTTGGTCGGTAAGTTGTGATACCTAGTCATGAAGCAGTTCCCCTTTCGGCTACCTGTCGTAATCGCCCACACCAGATAGACCCAATTCATGCCTACCCAAGCATCAACGCGATAGGTGACATCTGCTGTGTTGTAAACTGGAACTTGAACTGGCCTAATCCCTCCGCATTTGGATTGGCGGCTGTCTTCCGGTCCCGTCTTGAGCTGGCGTACCGTACCGTCCTGGATGTCTTATCCGGATCCCATCCCTGATTGACATCGGTTCCAGTTCGTTGGGTCGGATGCCTTATCCGCAAATGAAGGATAATGACCCCTTCGTGGCGAGGGAATCATACCACCCTCTGAGCCCCACCGGTGGTCGTATCAACGAGTAAAATATGTAGGTATGGTCAGTTTTGAGCGGAGACATGCAATTTGACATGTCGACTATGAACAGAAACGAGCCAGATTGTCGAACGATCATCGCGATTGTCGCTTGTCGAATTTAGGGCTTGACGATTTGGGATCGACACCTCCATTGAAGGGAAAAATACATGATAGAGGCAACCGCGCAAGTTTTGGGAAGTCACTACTCCGTACCATCATAATCGATCAGAGCTTCGAGAGCTAGAACTTTCGAATAAACAAATAGAGAGCCTCGAAAATCATCCTTAGGGTCAGTAATCTGTAGGCTTACGGTCATCCAGAGTAAAGTCTGTGCTCCCATATTGCTCCACCGATATTTCGTGTGATGGATCCGGCAACGCTGTACGGAGTAGACCGCACGCTCAATCACAACCAAGGCTCTTTCATCTGCAATCCCAGGTCTGTGATAGATTGGCAAGTTGAGTGTGGAAAGACCAGAGAGCGAGTCAACCATGAAGTGAGGAGAAGAAGGGTGTAACCTCTCCTCGACCCGCGTGAAACTCTGCGCCAGTCCTGCCTGTTCCCAGACAGGATGGCCAGCAGCGGAACCTTGTAAATACCGGCTCTGCTCCTCGACAATCGGAGGTCGGAGAACTCATCGAGATGGCCAGGTACAACTTTAACGACGCGGAGGCCTGACAGAACCGGTAATGGGCGCGGCGGGGTCGAGAAATCAGCTGTCGGTTCACAATTGGCTGTATCCACTTGACTATTGACCCGTGGAGCTTATTTATCCCCTCGCATCAAGACGCATCCCACATCAAGTGGAAATCAAGTGCATCGGTAGGTGCCGCCCCAATTGCTCGCCGAATGCAGGCTGATTGCCGCACGCGAGGTAGCCATGCCCCCGGTGTAATCAACACCTCACTGTAGGAGACGTTGCATATGAGTATTTCCGTCGGGAGTAAGTCTATGACTCAGCGCAAAGTGTACCCCTGAACTGGCCTATCTTCGTACATGATACGGCAGTCGTGAGGGTGATTGCGCCTCTGTTGCCCACTTCTTGCAGCTATCGGAGTCCCTTATTTCGGAACATTTCACTGCCTCACGTAATGTTTTGGAGATGATAGTGAACCACTAGGCTGACTGCTTTGGTAATGGGCGTAGTTCAACTTGCCGCTTTTTTCAGATACCATAACGCGGCCTTATGTGTTTGATAACTTAGATTGAGTGATTCACAATGGCTGAGTAGGAAATGTGATGCATTAACCAAAACACTACAATCCATCTCTGTTGCATCCTCTCTGGTAGAAGAAGTAACCCCCCCCCCCAACTCATAGCAGCCACAGCAGTGAGGCACTAGGCGTCGACTTCTGACTACTCTCATGCATTTCTCGGTCAGTAAAAGATTCCGAGAATAAGCATGAACAAGCCAAGCGGTCTGTACTGCGCGTTGTCGCTCGTGACCGCGAGCTTTCTCAGCGCCTTCGACTCGACAGTTTTCCCACCGGCAATTGCCGTAAGTCACACATTCTATGGCCCCCCGGAATTCGGCCAGTATCTTCATTCTCATAACCCGTTGCAGACGATAGCCAAAGACCTAGGCGGGAGTACGACGACCACATTCTGGATCGGCACGGCCTACATCCTGCCCTCGGCCTCGCTGCAGCCGTTCGTCTGCGAGCTGTCCCACCGCTACGGCCGCCGGCCATTCCTCCTCATCTCGACGTCCTTCTTCGCCGTGGGCTCGATCGTCGGCGTCGTCGCCCGCACGATGCCCGGGATCATCGCCGGCCGGGCGATCCAGGGCATCGGCGGGGCGGGGTTCATCACCCTGCCGACGGTGGTGATCACCGATCGGTTCCCCGCCAGCCAGCGCCCACTGTATACGTCCCTGATCCAGATATTCTCCGCGTTGGGCATGGCCATGGGCCCCGTGGTCGGGGGCCTGATCTCGCAGTATGCCCACGATGATGGGGATGGGCACGGCGGCTGGCGGTGGATCTTCTATGTCAACTTTCCCCTCTGCGCCGTGGGCTATCTGGCCATCTTGCTGACGCCGTGGCCGCCGCATAGCAATTCTCGTCGACCTGTTGACTGGGTCGGGTGCGTCCTGTTTACCTCCAGCCTCGTGTCGCTCATGCTGGGCATCACGTGGGGAGGGACGTTGTATGAATGGAGTAGCGTCAACGTGTTACTCCCTCTGTGTCTGGGGGCGGCCGGTCTGGTCTGTACCGTGGGGTGGGAGCTCTGGGGGTCCGCCGCGCCGTTTCTGCCCGCCGAGATGCTGCGCAACGGTTCTTCCCTCGCGTTATATCTCGGGACAATTCTCCAAGGGACTTCAGTAAGTTGCTACCCCCCCTCCCCCATTTCGTGCCCTAGCTCATAAAGACTCACTGATGACGAGCGTAGCTGCATGGCTGTTTCTACCACATCTCCTCCTACCTGGAGGGAATCAGGCACGAGACCCCGAACATGGCCGGGGTAGGGTTACTCGCCATCCTCTCGACGCTGATCCCCGCCAGCCTGACCGCGTCATGGGTGGCCACGAAGACGGGCCGCCTCCGCGAACTGATGTGGTGCGGCTGGGTGGTCACCATCACCGCCACCGCAACGCTATGCGTGTTGACCGCGCACAGCCCGACGGGGACCTGGGTCGGCATCCTCCTCGCGCTGGGCGTCGGCCACGGGTTCCTGCTGAACAGCCAACTGTTCCTGGCGCAGGCGACGGCGCCCGCGTCGCACGCCGCCTACGCCAGCTGTCTCTACAATACCTTCCGGACCGTCGGGTTCGCGCTGGGCGTGGTGGTCGGCGCCACGGTGTTGCAGAATCTAATGGCGCGGTCGTTGCGGGACTCGGGCTTTTCGGCGGATACGGCCAGGCGCCTGGCGGATGATCTCGGGAATCTGTATTACCTGGCGGCGGGGAAGTCGGACCCGGGGACCGCGCGGCTGGTGGTCGATGCGTATCTGGATGGGTTCCATGGGATCTTTGCGGTTTTGGCGGGACTCGGGGGGGTGGGACTCCTCGCCTCGCTGCCGGTTACAGGCCGTCGGAAGGGCTCTGGTGGTGCGTCTGCGCTGTATTCACTAGAAACAGCTCCAGCGCGCGGTTGAGTGTGGAGATTTATGAGGAAGTCTGTGGTCGTACAACAGGAGATGTGGTTTGTGAGGACGTAATCCCGAAGCTCTCTGTCTTCCCTTCTCCTTTCCTTATTCTATGACTATAAGCCACTAGTACTCGACTCTTCCTTTTTCTCCCCAGTCCCTCCACCAGCCAGTCGTCGTATAAGAAATCCCAAGCCGTCGCTCGGTCCTCAGAGTTCCACTGCAGGGCCCTTTCGAGCCAGCGCACAAACCTTTCTCCGTCTTTCCCTTCTATATTCCCGGCTAGACTCCTGAGAGTAATCTCTGGAATTGGTACGACTCCTGTCCAACAGTCTAAATAGTCCCAGAAGGCCGAGCTGAGGGGTCTCTGCCCCAGGAATTCAAAAGGCGGAGGGCCTGACAAAGCGCCCCTTAGCGGGTCCAGCAGGGCCGGTACTTGGACCTTTCCCAGTGTTTACTTATGTAGCCAAGGGCCTGTTCAAGCAAGGATGTATGGAAGTTGTGATTAACCCGCAGTGCGGTACCAATACACGCAAACTAAGCAATGTATAGAAAGATGATATACAGGTAGATGGTGAGCCCTCCATCTTTTTACTTTTGGTACATAATAGTATCTCATCAAAGGATTTACAAGATAGACCCCAAATAGCCCCCAAATAGCCCAAATATAAGAATAATAAAAGATATATCCCAAGGAAGAACCCTGATTGGAACACCTCCAGTCTTTAACAAGACTAATAACTCAAAGAATCCTGATATAGAAAGACCAAACGGTAGTTATGCTTTACAGAGAAAATCTGGAGAAATATAGTAGGAATACAGTATCTGTGACGGCGGCCTGCGGCCTTGCCTGAGGCTGCTCGCTCACCGGTGGGCCGAGCTTCTTCCTCTCAGATAGCTTAGCCTGACGTGGTCGGATTCAAGCATCTTCCACCCCTCTGAGGCGTCATCAATTTGTATAGAACGGGCGTTTAGTACCCACTGGAAATTCACTTTTATGTCCTCCAAGAAGTTGGGGTGGCGTGCATTGGTGCCGCATCGCGTGTGAAGAACAACTTCCCAGTTGACATGGCTGTCTAAGCACGCATCTTCCAGCTTGAGCAAGTAGGCTGCCACTGCAGCTGCTCAAAAGCGTTCACGCAACCTCTCATGGGCCTGTTTCCACAGCCGTGGAACCACCGTTCAAAACACCTTTCTTATGTATCGTCTTTTCCCAAATTAGATATTGACGTAGACCTATGGTCGAAATCTGCAGCCGGGGGAGCTTCCCCCTCCTCCGCTGCCCAGCTAAGTCCAAGTTATGTGACTACTCTCACAAAAGAACAATTAGGTTACTTAAAATCAGTAGTCGTCACCCTTACTCAAGCTCTCGTAGGGTTGCGAAGCTAGCGCTTCTGCGAATCAGTCCGCTGTCCCTCTTGATATACCAACAACACCAATGCCAGAAGGTTAGGTAACATGTCGACATCAGACTCAGTGTAAGGGCTATGAACTGAAGCCATCTCATCCACAATTGAAGGCAGGTACCGGCTCACAGATTTTGCATCTCATCCCAACCCTTCAAATCCGTATTTACCCTGATCCCTGAGAGTCTGAGCGCATCACATTACAGCTACCTCACAGCGCCACCCCAACAACTCTGAACCCCCCAAACAGCCCCCTGTCACTTTCTACTCCCCACCCCACCCCTCCAACCTCGCCCCCTCCACCGCCGCAGCATACCGGCGCGTCGTCGCCGAATAGAACAGATTCCCCGCCAGGCTGCGCACGACCACCCAGTAGCTGTACGTCAGCAGCGCCGTCCGGAGGCCGAAGGGCGCCAGCTCGAGCGCCAGATTCGGGACCACCGTCTCCAACAGGCCCTTGGCGCCCGTGTAGCAGGAGGCCCCCGGCGCGCCGTAGTAGACGCCCACGCTGCTGGTAAAGAGCACCGTGCCCGTCTTCCGGGCGCGCATGAGCGGCAGAAAGGCGCGGGAGACGTTCAGCGGGCCGAAGGCGTTGGTGCGGAGGGCGTTGATGAGGAAGGGCTCACTGCACGGGAGGAAAGAAATATTAGGCACGGGGAATTTAGAGTATTGGGAGAAGCCCAGTGAAAGGCGTACGAGATCTCTTCGACAATGCCCATGTCGATGTAGCCGGCGTTGTTGACCAGTACGTCGACCTTGCCGTAGATTTGCCAGATCTCGCGCGCCCGGGTATCCAGCTCTTCTTGCGGATGGCAGACATCGAGCTCGTATACAGTCGCACCGGCCGCTTTGAGGGCAGCCAGACGGTCGGTACCGCTCAGATTATCGCGCGCGCGGGCGGTTGCGATCACTTGGTCACCCTGTAGGCCGTGGGGATTGGATTAGGGTTTTCTGTGCGCTGAGGTTGAGGGATTGGGGATGGATGGATGGACCTACCTGGGCGAGAATGGCGGGGACAAGGGCTTCACCCAGGCCGGAGGAGCAGCCAGTGACCACCCAGGTAAGAGGTTGGCTTGACATGGTCGCAAAGATTTCGAGGAGAGTCAATGAGTAGAAGAAGCAGAAATTGGCTGAATTGGGGGATGATTGAGGTGATCAACCAGAAGAAAAGATGGGAGGGGTAGGTTTGACTGCTAGCAAACAAATGGCGCAGTTGACCGTTCGCCCCCATCTTCGCCAGAGATGTGCAATTGAGAGTATAGGAAGGGCCAATGCCTTCACTAGTGTAGTTAGCGGCTGTGCTAAATCCGCCTGTGCTTAGTTACTGCTTACCACTGTTCAAGTTTCAAGGCTTCCCGCATAACTAGTACTAGTTATTTATTTATTTATTTACTGGGATCACTGCAGCTGGAATCTCTTTCCACTTGTGGACCTAGCAAATCACATATCTTACTCTACACATTCACTAGTGTAGTATTTCTGTTGGCAAGGAACAAGGGAGATGTGGATACTGTCAGTCTGGTTGCTCAGCCGGTTCCATAAGCCCAGTACTACTCAGTACTTAGCCCCATACTTGTACTACCAGTAAGGTATATATTAAGCTCGTTCAGCTCCGCCGAGTTCTCTAGCCCCACAAACGTCCACAAACGTCTACAACTTGAAGCACTACTAGGCACCAGCGTTCTCATCTCAAACCAGTCAGCCCACAATGTCATGGAGTCAGGTCTCGTCCACGCGCCATGAGCGTCCCTTCGACACGATCGAAACCTTCTATCGCGCCATTGCCGCGGCCGGCGCGCCGCTAAACAAAGAACACTACTTGATCACCTGCACTGCGCGCCTGGAAGTACCACTGCCGCCAGCTTCCGCAGTCGAACAGACGTGGAAAGCTCTCCGCCAACTCTACCCCCAACTGGCCGCCGAAGCCGCCGAAGCCGCCGACACCGACCGCGGACCGCGCTTCGTGTATGAGGTAGTCACCTCGACTGCCGAGCTCGACGCCTGGGCGCGTGACACCTTCCACGTAGATCCCGATCGCAGCGCGGACGATCTGTACGAGCAGCTGACCCCGTCCCAGCGCTTCCATCTCTACTACCTGCCGGCCACAGCAGAGTTGGTCTTCCGTACGCCGCACTGGCGGATTGACGGTATCGGTCTACTCCATCTGCAATCCGTGTTCGTGCAATTGCTGGCTGACGGGACTGATCCTATGGTGTACGGGTCTGAGGCCGCTCGTCTCTGTCCCGCGCTGGACTGGGTCGCCGCGGGACTCGGCTCGATCGAGAACCCCGGGGGGTTGAGGGAGGCCGATGCCGGTGCCGGTGCCGGTGCCGGTGCCAGTGCCGCAGCAGATGAAGAGCTCCAGCCGTTCCTCGGCGAGGAAGGCGGAAGGAGGAGAACGAGAATGCTTCAGCTGCCCACGCTGCCCGTCACTCTCCCCGCCGGCCCGAAGCGCCTGCTCCAAGCCTTCGCCCCGGACACCACCCAGCGACTTCTGAGTGCCTGCAAGGCCCGCAACATCACTGTCACGGCCGCCGCCCACGCTGCTTTAGCTCTTGCCGCTGTTCGATTTGCTCTCCCCAAGCACGAACAACAACAACAGCAACAGCAGCAGCAGCAGCAGCAGCAGCAGCAGGACTACGTAGGTTTCAACGCCATCGATCTGCGACGCTACCTCCCTACCCCCTGGAATGGGCCCGCCGCAGCCATCTCCCTCTACCACACGGGCCTCCCCTTCCGCGTGCCCCTTCCCGCCCCTCCTCCCTCTTCTACCCCCACAGCCGCAGCCGTGCACAACCAAGAAGAATTCGCCCGCCTCAGCCAAACCTTCACAACCCTCTACCGCCGCAATCTCCGCCTCTCGACCCCCCAGAACATCTTCGACTTCCTCCCCACCTACGTGGAGCGCGTCATGCAGCTGCTAAGCCGCACCCCAGCGGACCCGCTCGAGGGCGCGTCGCACCCGGAGCTGAGCTCGATGGGCCGCGTGAACGAGACCCTGCCCGCGGAGGCAGTGCGGGGGCGGGCGCGCACCGTGCGGGTGGCCGACTGGTGGGTGGCGGTCGAGGTAATCAACCGGCTGCTGTTGACGAACGTGTGGACGTGGGCGGAGCGGTTGGTGCTGTCCGTGAATTGGAACGAGGCGTTCTATGCGCCGGAGCTGGTGGAGGAATTGTTGCAGGCGTGGCGGGAGGAGTTGGTGCAGGGGCTGTTGGATGATTAGGGTTGAGTTGGACTTTGATGGTAAAGGGGCCAGTAGATACATTGGCGGATTCTGTCAAGGGACTCTTCATGGAGGTTATTAGACTACATATAGAATCAAAGAGCATTCAGGTCAAGTATGATAAGAGTAGATCTGCATGTGTTTTTGTGTAAAGTCTTTTGCACCTTCTGGTGGCAGTATGGACGGTCGAGCTAACACCTTGCCCAAGAAGGCTCAAGAGGAGTGTGTTCAGAATGACAGGGAAGGCGACTTGCGAATCTCTAGATATCGAGAAGAACTATCTTCCACCTCACTCGGACTTCCTAAGGACGAGCCCCAATAGTAATACCCTCGGCTGAAAAGGAACCCTAATGGTCTTTGATATATGGAGATTGCCTCGAGTTTCCTTCACTCCAATCCAAGATACACTGATTTTTATATGTAGCTCCAACCACACAAATACTTATCTTGGAAACTAAATCACCGTTTACCATTTACTTGGAAGGGCCAGGGGCGTACGGGTATCCCAAAGGGGAGTGTAGATATCAAACATAATCTCTAAGTCTATCAAAAACCATGTGTCTCTATGCCATAGTATCAGCCGCTGCGTCACGCGGCCGGAATTGCACCCACGGACCCTCATGAGCACTGGTGAAGACATCGCGGGTCTGGAATTCCCCCGCCCGGTGGCGACCCCATGTGCGGCTGTCTGGACCTGCAGCTGTAGCTGTAGCTGCAGCTGTAGTATCCTTCTGTTCCCTTCTGTCATTCAGCCCAGGAGCCAACCGGATGTCCAACAACCAGAGTAACCGGGCCAGAATGATCCCGATCTCCTGGTAGGCGAGGTACCTGCCGACGCAGCTGGTCCCGCCGGCGCCGAAGGGGGCATATGCGGTGAAGCCGCTGCTTCCGTCCTTCTTCTTGTCTTCCGCCACCGTCAACCACCGCTCCGGCCGAAAGGCATGTGGATCTCGCCAGTAGCGAGCGTCGTGGTGCAGCGCGTATACGGGCACCCCGACATCCGTGCCCGCCGGCACAAAGTACCTTTTTTCTCCTTCTCCTCCTCCTCCTCCTCCTCCTTCATCGTCGTTCACGTCCACGCTCACCGTCAGCCCGCCTGGCAGCACTTCGCGCGGCAGGACAGAGCCGACCGGCGGCGACAGGCGCAGGGCTTCGTCGACACACGCGTACAGAAAGGTGCAACCGGCGAGCGCGGGCCCGATGCGGATGGCCTCGAGGTCGGCGAAGGCGGCGCGCACCTCAGCCTGGGCGCGTCGGTACGCCTCGCAACTGTCGTGCAGCAGGTAAAAGAGCGTGGCGGTGAGGGCGGTGGCGGTGGTGTCGGTGCCGGCGATGATGAGGATGCCGGCCTCGGCGACCAGGTCGCGGGCGGAGTAGCCGGCGCCGGTCTCGGGGTCGCGGGCGTCGAGCAGGGCGGCGCGCCACTCCGCCTGCGCCGCGGACAGGGCGTAGAAGCGCCGCACCCCGCGGTGGAGGGCGGGCGCGCACCACCGCTCGAGCCGCGTCCGGAGCAGCATCGGCATGTGCCCGGCCACGTTGATCCCGCGCGTGCCTTGGGCCATTAGACTTAGGATGGGGCGGTTGCGCGGGCTGGTCTGCAACGACCAGTGGCGGGAGAAGGTGACGTCGCCCATGACGTCGGAGAGGAGGCATCGCAGGGTCGTGGTGAGGTCGTGAGGCGGACCCCAGGCGGAGTTGGGGCTGTCGGGGTCCGGGTCCCCGCGAGTCTCCTGCGTCTGCGTCAGGGTCCGACAGAGCAGGCGCACGCTCTGCAGGATCAACTCCTCCAGATCCTGGACGGCGCGGCCGCTCAGCGCCCGACTGGTCAGGCGGCGTTTGAGGACGTGGGACTTCCGGTCGATGGTCGTCAGGCTGGCGGGTACGGTGAAGAAGTGGCTGAAGGCACGGTAGACGGCCGACTTCTGCGTGTTCGCTCGACTGCCGTAGATCTCGGTCAGGGCTCGCGCCGAGCGGAAGGAGACTCGGTTGGGCCCGAACCGCACCGCCGGTCCATACTGCTCGTGCAGTCGGTAGAAGTCGAGATGTCGATCCCCGCGGAGACAATAGTAGACACTGTACCAGTCAGTCGCTGCCGCCAGCCACGGCCCAGGGTAGCCGGCCAGTGGATGCCATGTCAAGCGGTAGATGACCACCACAAGGGCACTTTCAAGGATAGCCAGAATCACTGGGGCGCGGGTGCGTAGGAGATATCCCAGTGTCACTGCTACTAGCGTCAGTACTGCCGCAGCTCGAAAATTGGTGATGGGCATTCTTGGAGGGACTTCGTTGAGGAAGGCATGAGAGGGCCAAGAGAGTGAAAGATTAGGATTAGGGTATCTTTTGTATCTTTCGGCGTGAGCAATCGTACAACCAATATTCTACATCTACATTTATGCCAAATACCGCGACAGATTTAGTCAGACACAGTAACTACTATACAGAACGGTATTAATGTGACCATCATCTTCTTGATTACCATACGTACAATACATACATACAGTACAGTACAGTATAGCAATAGCCCTCACCCCGCATGATTGCTTGTTTGATTGCTTAGCCGCCGTTGTACTTGGAGCAGTTATGATCTTCGATTGCCAGTCCAGATAGAAATAATAAATAAGGTGAGGGTTGAACAAGCACAGCCCCAATATGTGGACTTCAATTGTGGTGAGAATCTAGCACGATGGGGGTTGTTGCATGTTTGTTGCCCCTCTCCTTCAATCAAGTACAGTGCACCCACCACTCTTTCTCCAGCATGACGCGGTTTGTCATTGTTTTTTCCTCTTCTCTCCATGAGAGCATATGTCTGTAGAGCCATCGGTGTTTTCTGACCGTCAAACCCACTCGCCATGTCGAGCCTCACTGCAACCCAGGTTCAAGCGATGGAGCACCAACCCCAGGCAAGCCGCGCTCCGGGCATCATCGCGTGTGCATCAATCACGCTGGCCGCCAGCGCCGTGGCCGTGGTTTTGCGACTCATCTCCCGGTCTATCATGTCGATGCGGTTAGGCATGGATGACTATCTTATGCTTCTGGCTCTGGTAAACGACTCCACCCAGAATTAGGCGGACGGGTACCCAAGCTGACCGAGACCTGTTTGGTTTGTCGCAGTTCTTCAACGCGGCATTTACTGCCTCAATATTCGTGACTATCCATTTCGGCATGGGGAAGCACATCGTCTATGTAACTAGTGCAGAACACCTAACATTGGTGAGAAAAAGCGATATACCCTACACACACAAACCACCCCCCCCCCCCTCTTATCAACAAATAGACAGCAGCTGACCAACCGGTCCAAAAACCACTGATATCACAGTCGATCACGATCGCCGAGTGCTTCTACATCCTCAACATCTGCGCCACCAAGCTCTCGATCCTGACCTTCTTCCCGCGCATCTTCCCGCAGCGCTGGTTCCGCCTCATGACCTGGTCCATGAGCTTCGTGGTCATCGCCTCCAACCTCAGCAGCGTCATCGCCACCTGGCTGCAGTGCATCCCCCTCCGTCACGCCTGGGACCCCACGGTCCCCGCCACCTGCATCGACTACTACGCCGTCGTGGTCTTCAGCGGCGCCACGAACGTGGTGACCGACTTCATCATCCTGGGCATGCCGCTGTCCGTCATCCACCAGCTGCAGATCAGCGACCGCAAAAGACGCATGCTTGTTTTGGTCTTTGCCGTTGGGTTTGGGTAACTTGACCTTCGCCCGTTAGCATTTTCTTTTCTCGGCCCCCGTCACGTCTCCAGCCGATCACGGCAGAGATCTACTTGGGTGGTCCCACTCGCTAACCAAACTTCTGGTTTGCAGAGCCTGCATCGCCTCCATCCTCCGCTGCGTGGAGGCGCAGGCGCTCAAGTCGCCCGACGCCAGCTGGGACCGCGCCGGCGCCATTGCCTGCACCTCCGTCGAGTGCTGCGTCGCCATGATCACCGCTTGCTTGCCCTCCATGCGTCCGCTAGTGGCCAAGCGGTGGTGGAGCACCCACGGCCCCATAACCACCAGCTCCAAGATGGACGACTTCCCGCGCGGCGGCTATGCGCAGCAGCCCGTGGCGCAGAGGAGCGCGTGCAGCCGCACGGATAGCGGGTGGTCCCACCTTCGATGACGAGGAGGAGGAGAGGAGGAGAGGAGGAGGAGAGGGGGAAGAGGAAACATTCCCAGTCCACAGATCAGTTCGCAATCCCCATGGTTTTGCAGAAAGGGATCGTCTCGTCACTGGGGGCGTGGTGAGAATCGTTCCGCTTGCGGGAGGGAGAAGGGAACAACACGTTGAGTGGACAGAACTGACCCATTGCCCGGTGCTGCTTGCAGAGTGGGATTTCTCGGAACCTGATTTCAGGCAAAAGCTCACTTCTAGATGCAAAACATTGTATACAAGCGGAGATGCTCGAAACGGAAGATGACAAATGTAAACAAGCCAGAACGCAAATTACAGAGCAGAGCACCTGTTGGTGCCTTTCCCTGATGGGGCTCGAAGACATCCCTTCCCAGTTATACATACAACAGTGCTACTGAGCGGCGCATACTTATTACTCCTTTATTCTGCCTTTCCACTAGCCCCGGCACCAAGAAGCCAAAGTAGCCTTTGCGTCGGAAAGGAGAATGGCCACTAAGGCCTGGTCATAGACGTCCTTAATACTCTTCAACAAGAGTGTCTTGGAGACAAGGACGGAGAACGGATGAATGGGGAACCAGATATCGATGAGCTGCCTCGTCCAATCCGAGTCGATCGAGACCAATGAATTCAAGTCGTTCCTGTTGTTGGCGGGATCTATCGGACGGCCAACTTCAAGCATACTTAGCGTGATATCGTTCACAAGGCACGTTGCAAAGAATCGGGCCTGATGCCCCTCCGCCTGGAGCCCCAGATAACCAAATTGAATGCACAACATTTCCAGCATCTCGGGGGCAAGGGAAAAAGTATCAGAGTGCTCAAGGACCCTAATGGACTAGTTCACCTTACGACTGTGCGTGATTCAGAGATATCACCCGCCCAGGATGCAGATCCCTGCTTAAGTGTGCCACGTAGGCCCTGCCTCGCAGCGCAAATTAAGAAGTGTCTTTGCCGCTAAATTCGTTCCAAGTTAGGACCCTCTAGCCGAGCCTGCTTGACTGGTCTTGAGCTTACTTTGAACGACAGATCTGGAGCTTGGCTCAGAGTGGACCACGATCGACCGGGACTCATCCATCGGTCGGTGCGAGATAAGACAGCTGCTTGGCTGCTTCCTTGTCATTGGTTGGTTTCATGTTCTCTCAAGATTGCGATACAGATATCAAGGCTTGTGTAGCCCCACATGTTCTATATACTAGCGGGTTCAGGCTTAGGGTCAAAGATACGACAGACAGGGGGGTTGATTTGCCAGCCGACAAATGCGTTGCAACGGGCCATGGCTGAGAAATCAAACCATCAAAAGAGAGATACATGGAGTGCGATACAAATACAATTAGAAAGGCTATCTGCTGCGAGCTAGACAGGTTCTTGCTCAATCCGCAACAATGAGCTTTTTCAAATCGACTCACGAGCCAGCTGAACCGAGAAGCGTTGACGAGCAGGCCGATACGATCAGCAATGGTTACGAGTCGCCCAGCGAGAAACCAGTCAACGATGCCTCCAACTTCCCGGACGGGGGTACCAAGGCGTGGCTGAATGTTGTCGGGGGGTGGTGTGTCTTTTTCTCCATGTTTGGATGGGCGAATGGTGAGTGCAATGGTGCTGTTGCTGTTGGCCTGCCACATTGTTACTGACTCGTCTGCATAGCTTTCGGTGTGTTTCAGGCCTACTATCAAGAAAACCAACTCAAGGATTACTCGGCGTTTCAGATTTCTTGGATCTCGTAAGTCACCCCAGTGTGCATAATATTCGACCGTGGTTGCTAATGCTCGCACAGCTCTATCCAGACGTTCATTCTGTTTGGAGGAGGCATTGTGGCCGGCAAAGTGAGTGCTTGATTCCCTCCCCATGAACGTCAGGGCACATCACTGAATCAACTCGACTCCAGCTGTACGATAACTATGGACCCAAGCTGCTTGTCTACTCGGGGGTCTTCCTCCATTTATTTGGAATGATGATGTGCAGCATCTCGTCCCAGTATTACCAGTTCATTCTGTCCCAAGGTACTGTATTGATCCCCCTACATCTTCTGATCCACTTGCGCGGGGATACTAAGCCGGAATGCAGGCGTGTGTACCTCAATCGGCGACGCAGCTCTGTTCACCGCATCGCTCAGCACGGCCAGCACCTGGTTCCACAAGAAGCGCGCCTTCGCATTCGGACTGCTGCTCACCGGCACCAGTATCGGCGGTGTCGTGATGCCCATCTGCCTCGAGCATCTGCTGTCGTCGTCGCTAGGATTCGGCTGGGCGATTCGCATCTGCACCTTCATCAACCTCGCGCTGCTGCTCGTCGCGCTCTCCACCGTGACCTCGCGGCTCCCCCCGACCCCGAAGCCCGTCTCGGTCATGGACCACCTCCGGCCCCTGAAGGAACCGCCGTTCCTCATGCTCAGCGCCGGCTGCGCCTTGTTCTACCTGGGCATGTACCTCCCCTTCAACTACATCATCGTGCAGGCGGAATACGAAGGCATGTCCGCCGGGCTGGCCGGGTATCTCATCCCGATCCTCAACGGCGCCAGCCTCTTCGGCCGCCTCCTCCCCGGCAAAGCGGCCGACCGGCTCGGCCGGCTGAACACCATGATCGCCATGTGCGCCTTTGCCGGGGTGATCGTGTTGGCGCTGTGGCTCCCGGGGACCGGGACTGCGCCCCTCGTGGTGTTCTCGGCCCTGTACGGGTTCGCCTCGGGGGCCTTTATCTCCCTGATCCCGCCGCTGACGGCGCAGATCAGTGACATTCGCGAGATCGGGGTGCGGTCCGGCACCCTCTGGCTGATGGTGGCGGTTGCGGCGCTGGTGGCCAGTCCGATCGGTGGCGCGCTGGAGGCGCGGGATGGAGGCGCGTTTGTCGGATTACAGGTCTTTGTTGGTGTGGCTATGCTGATTGGGACGGGCCTTTTTGTTGTGGGGAGGTGGGCCCTTGCTGGATGGGATCTGTTTGCGAAGGTGTCCGATACTCAGGGCTTTGGATGTCTGCATCGAGACGGAGTATCGACGGGTCCTTCCCGCAACCTCGGGAGACTTTCCTAGAAGAACCGTAGCAATGATTAAGATGGTATCTTTGTAAATGAATGCACCCTGTGCTTTATCTTCATTTGTTTGCCGAATCCCCGCACGAAACTGTCCTCAATAGCTTAGACGGGTCAACCTGGGTAGTGATCGATCGGGTGACCTTTGCGCAGTGGCAGAATGATCTGAAGCCCAAGGTCCACAGCGCATCGAACCTCCACCGTGCCACCGTGCCACCGGTACGAGTGGGTGCCAGCTCGACTATCTTGTCTCCTTCTCCTGGGTGTCGTCCATCCTTTGGGGCAGGGCCTCGCCAACTACGCGGCCGCCAATCGTGATCTGGACGCACTGCTGCGCCACCGGCGACAGGCCGGTCTGGCGGGCTCCGCGATCGATGCCGGTACGGTCGTAGGCGTGGGACTGGTCGCGCAGAATGCGGCCCTGCAACGGACCATGGAGCGGCTGGGGTTGGATCCCGTCACCAGGCAGGGACTTGGGAATAGGATCACCTTGTAACAGCGTGGTGGTAGAGGAAGGACCGCCTTTCACTAAGGGCAGGCTTTGCATTATTTGGTCTATTTGGCCTGTTTGGTGTAACATTGTTGTCCTTTCAATGGGCTGTTGGGCCTTCAGTGCAGAAGAACAGAACAGCCGCTCCATAGAAGCCAAATGCTTCCCTAGGTATCTTGACTGTGGTAGTAACTATCGAGAAGTCCTTTTGTGACTACTAATGTTATCTACTTTATGTTTCAACTTATGCTTCATTATAGCTTTGCCAAAGCTTTTTCAAGGCTTTGGTCTAAGACTCCTTCCATTAAACCATTTTTTCAGCTATATGATGCCATCCGCAGACCCGTTCCCTCTGTCACCCGGCAGCGAAACTCCACATCAAAGTCCTCATCGGGCTGCGCGATGGCGACGCCGAGGTGCGAGTTCTTGACCGTCGGCATCACCCATTGACCCCCGCGGCGGGGCCGCAGATCGAAGTGGAGAATGGTACTGGCGGCGAAGCCGAGGATCATCGACGTGGCGACATGGCGCCCGGGACACAAGGTCCACCCGCCGCCGAAGACCCGGAATCCGATCGGGTTGGGACCTCGTTTGCGATCGGGGCCGTGGCTCTCGCGCACGAACCGGCGGTGGTCGAACGCATGCAGGTCGTCGGCCCCCCACACCGCGGGCGCACTGTGCTGGATGATCGCCGGGATCAGGACCAGGGCGCCCTTCTTGAAGAGGTACCGGCCCTCGATCACTTGATCCTCGACCACCTGGGTCACGGACGTGCCCATCGAGTGCATGCGCAGGGTCTCCTTGAAGGTGGACGCGAGGATCGGACAGGCTTGCTCCAGGGTGGCCAGATCAAGGGCGGGGCGTCCGGTCTGGTGGCGGCGGAGTGCGGCCTCCAGCTCCTGGCGGCAGTCGCGCAAGATCGCTTGGTTGGAGAAGATGTGGTAGATGAGCCAGAACGTGGCCGGGATGGTGTTGCCCAGAATGGCAATGCTGAACGCCGCCTGCGTCTTGGCGATGTCCGCGTCAGACAGCCCGCTGGTGGAGAAGATGTGATATTGGGCGTTGATGTAGGGAGAGGCTTTGCGGTGCTCGAATCCCCGGTCCGCGTAGTACTGCTCGAAGGACCGGACCACCTCCCCCCGTGCACGGAGCGCCTGTTTCGCGATGATGGACGGGATGCATCCGGTGGTCAGCCGCGTCGCGCCGGATTGATACTTCCTGCGGGAGGAACGAGGGGGGGTTAGGAACGGCTCGCAAGAGATCAGGGGGGGACTTTGCGAAGGGACTAAGGGAGGCAAGGGGGTTCAACGAACTGCCAGGCTGCGCGGGTTGCAGAATCTCGGAACGGGTTCTGCGCGCCGTACATGGATTCCGAGGTGGCCATCATGACCTCGTGGGAGATCCATTGATACATACCGGTAAACCCGGGAGACTCGAGGAATTGCCTGGAATGAGACGAGGTGACGAGGTTCCAGAACCTTGTTCGGATGACCTCCAAGCCAGGTCCGGTCGACAAACTGGAGTGGTTGAAGTCATGGAACCGGCGGATGAAGCCGTTCTCTGCATCATCGCCCAAGACTTCACAACCAGCGTCGCTGGCTCCAATCAAGGTGGCTGCAACCCGGGCCAGGATTGGGGAGAAGGAGAGCGTTCGAGGATGGTGCTGCACGGCCGAGATGAGGGAGGTGGAGTTGACCACATACAGCCGTATGCCCGGTAGACGGATCGTATAGACGGGGAATTGGCTGAGAGTTATGTCAGTTGTTGCAATATCATCATCATCATCATCATCATCATGGATTTCACTCACCGATGCTTTCTATAGTAGTCGAATCCCATCCACCACATGCGAATAATGGGACCGATGAAGGGCATAGGCAAGTCGACGGGGGGTGGTTCTTGGCCGTCTTGGGTATAGTCGAGGACCATCCGAAGAAAGACGGACGCGGCCAGCGGGAGCAAGACGCAGATGACGAGAATGAGGAGCATGGTGATTGCAGTCGATGGCTAGGAATGTTGGAGGGCATGGTGCGGATATTGGCCATGGACTCAGTGCAGCCACCTCTTATGTGAGAGCGAGCTTGTCATTCACTACGGAAGGACGAAGGTATCATAAGCACTAACTAACTATGCATGGATCTGGCCCTTGCTTCATTTCAGCTTTTTCATTTCTTCTTTTCTTTTCTTTTTCACATATTTCTTTTTGCTTTTATTTTCTAAATATTCTATTTTGTTTTTATCTTGACTTTTCATGTTTTCTTTTTCTTCCCCCCCCCACTTGCTCCCTGCTAGCGCCCTCAGAGTGACAGGGTGCGGACAAAACGTTCAATCATGTATCTGCTCCTCGCCAGGTTCCCCGCTTCACAGCTCACATCCCGACTCATTGATGTTTCCTATCCAGCAAAGAGAATGGGGTGAGAATGAAACGACTGTTATTCTCTCGTTCAACATATCCCCAAGGTCCCAGTGTCAAGTAAAGTTGCGGCCCGAATTCCTTCGAAGCTGTAGATCGGAAATTCTCCAGAGTTAGGGCAAAGCCTGTGGATTGAAGAAGGGCTGCCACCACTGCATGCATGCATTGGGGCCAGAACTATGGCCGCCCACCCTTCTTGGATGATGGGTTCTGGTCTGCCACCCGCGCTTGCCGGCTGCACGAGGCATGCAAACGGTACTTTGTGCCGGGGCGTGGTGGCGGAGGGTGGCGGAGTGTCTGCACAAGGCTCGTCAGTCAAGACTCAAGGAACAGTTCCATGAAGATTGGGGGCCAGCTCCTCCAACTCATGCTTGGATTGATTATAATAAGACTTCCACTGTCCGTTTCTCGCTGGAACACCACGTTTCCGCGCGCTTTCTTCGCATCCAGCGCAAATCGATCATTCGGCCATGGACCTGTCGAAGATTCCCATGTCGCAACCCCCTCCGGGGCAGGTGACTAATTTCGTGGACCCGGTGTCCATCTCTTGGGCCGGGAGGCTGTCGATTTGGTTGACTCTGCCAATCATGGTCATTGCCTTTGTGCTCCGGGCCTATGTCCGTCTGAAGACAAAGCAACTCGGGACTGACGACTGTAAGTGATTCCTCAAATTCTCGACTCTGTTGCGATCGAAGCAGCCGGCTGACTTTGAGGACCGTCGCAGATCTTCTGGTTCTTGGCGCTGTGAGCATGCATGCCCGCACAGGATAATAATCCACTCGATCTGTCTTCCTGATGAATCTATCTCTCTTGTCTACTAGGTCGGTGCTGCTTCATTCTGTGGAACTCTCATTCCGGTTTGTACGTTGTCGTCCCTTTCGCATAGCCTCGCAGGATCTGGGTAGCTCATTCCGAAACAGTCCTGAAGGATGTATGGGGACGTCATGCATGGGATATCCCCGTCTCCTCGATCGTGCCGTGGTTCTTCAAGGTATGATCAACTCATTGGACTCCATCTGATTCTGTTACAGCCCTGATAGAGTTAGTACTCGGTGACGGCGGGGTGCCTGTACAACATCAGCGCCATGTTCACCAAGGTTTCGATTCTCACGTTCTACCTCCGCATCTTCTCGCCCTCTCGCCGCGCCCGGGCCCTCATCTGGAGTGGCATCGCCTTTGTTGTGGTGGGATACACCACGCTAACCATCTGTATGCTGGCCTGGATGGTGCCCCATCGGGGGGACGGGGGCTGGGGATCGACGGCCAACACCTCGCGGATGAACGTCGCCTCGCGCCAACTCGACTTCACGCAGGGCATTTTCAGTGTGGTCTCCGACTTCTACGTCATGATCATCCCCACAGGCATCATCTTCCGCCTGAATATGAAGAACAAGAAGAAGCTGGGTGTGGCGTGTATTTTCCTGATCGGTTTCATGTAAGTTGTAGTTGCTTGCAATGTGAACTTGGTTCCCAATACTCACCCATCCACCGTCCACCAGATCGCTTGGCTGCTCCATTGCCGGTACCGTCCTCCGCTATCATGCCATGGTCTTCACGGTGGAAGACAACCGGTGGCTGTCCGTAAAATTTGAAGCACTGTGGTAAGGTCCCCCCCCCCCTAGGCCTTAGAGTGGTTCTCAGTCCTGACCCGCCGCTCTTGTGTTTTCCCCCCTGACAGTGTGGTCGAGCTCAACATCGGCATCCTCTGCGCCTGTGTCCCGGTGTTCTTCGTCGTGTTGCGCACCTGGCTGCAGCGAACCGAGTCGGGGTTCGTGTACCTCAAACAACGGCTGACGTTGTCACGGGCGAGCAAATCCACGGTGGCCCTGAGCGACCCGGCGCATAAGCCGGGCATCTCCCTCGACATTCCGACCGGCACCTTGTCAGGGCTGAGGTCGATGTTCCGCAGACCGAAGCCGATCGACCCGGAAGAAGGCAAAATGGGGATCCAGGTTTCGCATTATTATGAGCTCCAGTCGGTAGATGTCGACTACCATGCGCATCTCCGGGGCGATTCCGCCAGCGGGAGGGACCCATCGCTGAGGGGCGGCGTCAAGGGGGGGGTTCCGGGGGGTGCTTAGGGGAGGGGGGAGGGGGGGGCTTAGACATCGTCCTGCTATCCTGTGGAACTTGTTCGCATCACTATTGAACGCAATCCCCCCAATCCATTCCACCTAGAAACTACTCAAGATTGCCATTCTATACTATAGCTCAAATATGCATATCGCCCCGGTTTTATTATTGGACCGCCTTCAGTTTCTTGCCCGCAATCAGATGTGTTGACCAGAGTTGGGTTGTGAATTCAATATGATGGGTTTATGAGTTCCTATAGCGATCTAACACCCCGATCAATGTGTTCAGACACTTCTTTAGGTCCATGGATTGCTTGCAAAGCTCGGCTCCCGTCAACATCGAGCAGGGCTATGATCGCACGTGATCTACTACCGGGGGGACGAGAATGGTCCGGGTGCAGATCGCGTAAGACTCTGGGGGGGGGGCTGAAATGGATGACTGGGTGATTGATCTGATTGGATTTTCATATGTCTGCTAGATGTATGCCCAATCCCAGAACCCCTGATCCAAGGGAGGCTGGTGGAGAGGATTCACCATCCGCCCGCCCGGACTGGGGTCGGTAGAACAAAAGTGAAACGTAAGCACTTGGCCAAGTAAGGCTTGGTATGCATGCCTAGGGGACATGGATATAACCTGCACCATCTGGTGCTGTGACACTGGGGTATTCTGATTAGCCAGCAGCAGTAAGTACCTCATCTTAGGGTCCCACTACCCCTCCTCCAGTTTCTTTGTCCCTCTGTTTACCAACTTTACCTGATCTTACTTAGTATCAACTTTTGTCTTGCCTCGTCATCCTATCCAGGCCATCCGCAGATGAGTACAGAGTACTTTAAAAAGTCCACCCATCCAGCGAGCCAAACCCACCCCCTTTTCTTCCTCCAACTTCCTCTTGCCCAATTTCCTTCCATTGCAAACCTCCATCAATCCAAAAAAAAAAAAAAAAAAAAAAAAAACAATGACCGCCTCTTCCCACATTGAAAATTACGACCAATCCACCTACTGGATTGCTCACGCCCACAATTTCCGTTCCTCGGCGCGCCTGCACCTCCAGCACTTCCTGTACCAAAACACCCTCGACTACCTCCTGGAGCCAGCGATCACCAAAGCCGTGACGGCCGCGCAGCAGCCGCTGAAGATCGCCGATCTGGCCTGTGGCAACGGCGTCTGGCTCACCGAGCTCCACACGCAATTGACCCAGAAGAACCCCGATCTCTCTGTCCAGCTGGATGGCTTCGACATCAACCCCGTCAACTTCCCCGCCGCGGCCTACCTGCCCGCCGGCGTGTCGCTGCAGCCGCTCGACATCCTGGCCCAGCCTCTTCCGGCCGCGCTGCGGGGTGCCTACGATGTGGTGCACATCCGCGCCTTCGCGAGTCTCATCGGCCCGGACTCCGACCTCACCCCGATCCTCACGGTGGCCTCAGCCCTGCTCAAGCCCGGCGGCTACCTCCAGTGGGAGGAGAACCGCGGGGATCTGTTTCTGGTCGAGGCCCCCACCCCCGAGGTCTCCACGGCCGCCTGCAGCCAGGCCTCCCAGATCCTGCAGGGCGGGCTGCGCGCCAAGGGCATCAGCAACGCCTGGGTGGACGCGCTCGACGCCCAGCTCACGCAGTTCGGCTTCCAGGAGGCCCGGCTGCTGCCCCACAACAAGCGGCCCCAGGACTACAAGGGCTGGACGGAGAACTATCTGATCGTGTGGGAGGAACTCGCCGCGCTGTTTCCCCCCAAGGCCGAGGCGCCCAATGCGCCCGTCTCCCGCGAGGCCTGGGTCGCCCTGTTCACCGCCGCCGTCAGGGAGACGGAGCAGGGCGTCGTCGTGCATCAGGGTCGCGTTGTTACCGCGGTCGGACGGAAGCCGCTGGCCTGAATTTGTGGTCTACTTGGGTATCGAGACCGGATCCGGTTAGATATGATGTCAATCAATGTATAAGTTGATATAGCTAGCTCTGGGGATGAACCTTAGAATAGAACTGGCTGCTCGGATGCTCTTCTAGCACATTCTTGCTCTCGCTGGGGCAAACCTCATTACAGGTCTTGAGGACCGGGTTAGGTGTAACAGCCCCCCCTGCCCTTCCCCCCTGACCTCTTAATCACTGCTTACAGACCAACACATCTCTTCACCACCGGGCTTGCTCCTCCTCTTAGGCGAGTCAGTCTACTCAGAATTAGTGCCATAAGAAGTGGGGGTGCCTGCGGCGACATTGATCATTACCGGAACCGGGCAAGCGCGTGTGCGATGACCAACGCAACCTGCATGGCAGATGTAATTCACGCAGACTTACGGTGCTGAGAAGGACCATCAAGCGTGCAAATCCCGGAACCCTAAAGCGGCTTCGTTTCGCAGCCCCGGGAAGTCTCAGCCTAGTGGAGGGAGAGGTCAAGCGCCGTCTTCAAAACGACCAAGGCAGCGAGGTCTGGTCTTGCCAAGGACCCCACGATTTATTTGGCGGGATATAGGTAGGCTCTACTAGCCAAGCACCGTCCCAGCCATGGAAAGCAAGCGAGGAAGCGAACGAGACAGTGAGACCTTAACAAACACCCGTTTTCCTGCATGCAAACGGGCGAGCTGGGTGAACTTCAACATCACAATACATATATTACTATCGTTCAGGGTGGTTAGTATGCTTGACGTTTTGGGATCTAAGAAGTTCTTAAGGTACGATTGGTAGAAAGACAACGGGATATTTCCCCCTTGCGCGGAGGTTACGACTTCCTAGCTGTGAGTGCATGCATTTCATCCCTCGTCAAACGAGTATTGTATGTGCTGTCTGTTGTTGCGCAAGGCCGACGCAGTTGCAATCATCCTATCAACCAATTCAACTCCAATTGGGACCAATCTCCGAGCCCCTCTTTCAGTCTACTACCCTGCTTCATGCCTCTCTCTCTCTCTCTCTCTCTCGCTGTGTGCATGTCTCCCTCCACGCTAACGCACGCTCACTGTTTGCCCACCAACAGGAACCTCCCCCACCCGGGTGCAGCTGTCATCCTCCCTTCTTGATTGATGGGATCGCGGTATCCTGGTAGTGCACTTGCATCAGCCTCGCCGACGGAGAGCACAGCCCTCACCTTGCCTGAATATCCAGTCGTCCCCCTCCTCACGCCATAGCATTGCCTCGGTTGGTGGTCTACATAAGTAGTAGCGGTGCAGGGAGGAAGCTGCTGGTGCCTGCAGAAATGCTTTTCCCTGCAAGTGCCACCAAGCGTCCACCACGCATCCACCATGTTGTCGTTCCTGCTTCTCAGCATAGTGATGCTAGCTTCGGTCTGGCTCTGCCGCCGGATCTGGTACGAACGGTTCCGCCGATACCGTCAATTCCCCCAACTGCCCACGTCTCTGCTCTGGGGTCACCTGAAGATCTACCATGAGATCGCCCAGCAGGGGTTCCAGGACGGTGATCACGGTAAATCTGCACCTTTGCACTTCTCTGCACCGAAGCGTTTGTCTGGAAGTGTGTGTGCGTTCCATGACTCGGATCACTAAAACAGTTACGATGCAGACCACATCTTCGCGCAGATCCATGAAACCCTCGGCCGACCCCCGGTGGTGCTGTTCGATTACCGCCCGATCTGCCGGCCGGTGCTGGTGATCGCGAGCCACGAGGTGGCGGAGCAGATCTCGCGGCCCAGCCAGCAGTTCCGCTTCAGCGTGCCGAAGCTGGGGCTGGGCTTTCTCGAGCCCGTCATCGGCCACACCTCCATTCTCGCCGCCGAGGGCGAGGAGTGGAAGGCGCTGCGCAGGACCTTCAGCCCCTGGTTCTCCCCGCAGAACCTGCAGGCCCTGGTGCCCACCGTCGTGGCGCAGACGCGGGGGTTCGTCGCGCAGCTCGACGCCCTCGCCGGCTCCGGGGAGCCCGTCCCCCTCGTCACCCTCACCACGAACCTGATGTACGACATCATCGGCGCCGCCCTCCTCGACGAGGACCTGGACGCCCAGCACCTGGACCCGCGCCGCCAGAGCCCGCTGGTGCGCGCCTTCAACCACCTCATCCACGCCTACTGGGACGACCAGATCCACCTCCCCTGGTTCTTCAACCCGGTCAACACCGTGCGGCGGCGGCGCCGCGGGGCCCGCGTCCAGCGCCTCCTGCAATCCCTCGTCCGACGCAAGCACGCCGAGCTGCAACAGCAGACGCAGAAGCAGCAGCAGCAGCAGCAGCAGCAGGAGAACCCACCCCCGCCACGCAGCATCACAGCCCTAGCCCTCCAACCCATCACCCAAGACCACCCCCTGACGCCCGCCCTCCTCACCCAAACCAGCGACCAGCTGCGCACCTTCCTGCTAGGCGGGCACGACTCCCCCAGCGCGACCCTCGCCTGGGCGCTGTACGAGCTCTCGCGCACCCCGCGGGCCCAAGCCGCGCTGCACGCCGAGCTCGACACGCTCTTCGGCGAGGACACCCGCGCCGACCCCACAGCCGTGCAGGCCGCGCTCGCCTCGCCCACGACGGGCCCCTCCCTCCTCCGCCGCATGGTCTACCTCGACGCCGTCCTCAAGGAGACCCTGCGCCTGCACCCGCCGGCCTCGACGGCGCGGTACGCCCCGGCCCCGCAGCGTCAGGCCTCGGGGCTCACCGTGCGCCTGCCCGCGGGCGCCTCCTCCACGAACCCACCGGAGTCAAAGACCCTCGGCCTCGACGACCTGATCCTCTACAACTGCCCCGCCATCATCCACCGCGACCCCGCCGTTTTCGGGCCCGACGCCCACGTCTTCCGGCCTGAGCGGTGGTTGGGAGTTGACCCTGACTGTGACCAGGACTGCGACCACGACCAGGACCACGACCACGGAATCAACAACAACAACAACAACAACAACAACAACAACAGCACCAGCACCAACGCAATCCCCCCCAGCGCGTGGCGGCCGTACGAGCGCGGGCCCCGCGCCTGCATCGGGCAGGAGTTCGCGCGGCTGGTGATGCGCGTGGCGCTGGCGGTGGTGGGGCGGCGTTATGCGTTCAGCAAGGTCGGGCTGGGGGCGGTGGTGCGCGAGGCGGCGACGGGGCGGCCCGTTTTGCGGCCGGATGGGCAGGCGGCGGTCGAGGGGGTGGTGTATACGGTGAGTTTTTCTTTTCTTCTTCTTCTTCTTCTTCTTCTTCTTCTTCTTCTTCTTCTTCTCCTTGCGCTGGGCTGGAGGGTGGTGGGGACTCACGCTGACGGCGCTGCGGGTTGTGGGGCTGGTAGACGCGGCAGATCACGGCGAGGCCGGTGGATGGGTTGATGATGACGGTTCGGGAGATGGGGTGGTGAGACTTGAGAGGACAGGGGGGTGGGTGGTTTCTGAGGCGTGGAGGTTTTTGAGGTTCCCAGGGTTATGCGGTGCTGGGTAAGGTAGACATAGTTTGTGGGCGTTTCGCAGTCGGATGCACTTCATCTATCGTTGATCGACCACGTCACACCACCACAGATCATACATACGTCAAGGCTCAATAGACGAACCCTGGATAGCACTGCTACCTCCACAACTCTTCCTGCTGGCCTACTATGCTGTAATTCCATATTATCATAAGAAAGCTACTGGCTACTCTTTTACTGCAGATATAGCCTCATCAATCAAGCTGCATTCCAACATCAAATATCCCAATTCATAAGCATCTGGAGGTAATCCTCTTTTTGTTTCTTATCTGGTATTCATTAACACATGCAAAGGCACGCTGGTAAACATCATAGTCAAAGCACTGGCACAGCCCCAAGGCTGCACCACTGAACCCACAGCACAAACCACTACTCCCGCTTCGGGGGAGGCGAGAACGCCTTCTTCCACCGGAAGCTCAGCAAATCGCCGACAACCTCCTTAGTCTGAGCGAGGTTCTCCTTGACGATCTCCGACGTGGGCCGCGAGAAGAGCTCGTCGATCTCCTCGAGGGACTTGTTCTTCGTCTCGGGCATGAAGATGATCTGGTAGATCCAGCCGACGAAGGCGATACCCCCGTAGAAGCCGAGGGTCAGACCAGTCCGCGTCATCGCCTTCATCATGCGCGTGAAGTTGTAGGTCACGATGAAAGAGCACAGGAAGAGGTTGGCGTCCGCCACGGTCATTCCGTAATGACGGAGGTACGTGGGGAAGACCTCCGAAGGAATGACCCAGGTGAGACAGGCATAGGATCCGAAGAAGCCCATGTACAGGATGATGCCGGTGAGGTAGACACCTTCAGCGGCAGCCGGGTGGGTGGTGTAGTTGAACTGGTAGCCCACACCGACGAGGACTAGACCGATGAAGAAACCGGGGAGCATGACGTTGGCCCAATAGCGCCGGCCAAACCGTTCCATGTAGATCACAGCGGGAATAGTGCCCAAGAGAAGTGAGCCACCGCCAACAAGGGACATGAACACACTATTCTTCGTGTTAAATCCAATGTTGGTCATGAGGGTGCTCATGTAGTACATGACGGCGTTCACACCCGTCAACTGGCCGAGAACAATCATGATATTGGCATAGACAAGCGCACGACGAGCACGGGGCTTGGTGAAAAAGTCCAACCAGGCGTACTTCTTGGTGTTCTGCTGCTCCTCGGCCTCGGCGAGGACGGCCTGGCGCATACCCAGGAACTCGTCCTTAGCTTCGTAGGTGTCAAAGCCGCGGATGCGTTTCCACACTCCGTAGGCTTCCACGGCCCGACCCTTGTGCATCAGGTAACGGGGACTCTCGGGCAGGAAGAACATGCCCACCAGGAGGATGGTGGAGAAAACCAAGGAGGAACCGAGGATGTAGCGCCAGTTGCCGGTGACGTCGAGGAACATGGCAGCCACGGCGTAGCCCAACACCTCACCCAGGGCGATGTTCAGCTGGTACAAGGAAACGAGATTGCCACGAATACGACTGGGGACTGGGAGAGGTCAGCGTGCTGGCCTTACAGTAGAAGCAGACAGAAAGGAACATGAACATACCACTCTCAGCGACGTAGACAGGGACCGTACCACCCTCCAGACCGACACCGGCTCCGAGGATGAAACGACCAGCAAAGATCATACCAAAGTTCACGGCACCAGCCTCCAGGGCGGCACCAGCCGTGTAGAGGATACAAGAGACAATGATAGACATACGACGGCCCAGGTACTCATTGGACGGGGACAGAAGGATAGCACCAGCCACGGCACCCAGGGGCATACCGGAGTCGACCAGACTGCTTTGGTTGTCACTCAGGTGCAGCGCATCGCCCAAAAAGAGATTAGCACCACTGATGAGGGACTGGTCCAGACCGGACAACAAACCACCCATGGAGGCGAAGGCGACCAGCATGTAGGTGTAGATAGCCGGACTGGAGAAGGCGACCTCAAAGCGGGACTTGGGCATCTCCCTCAATTGCTGCTCCAGCTCCTGCAACTCTGCATCCATGGCAGCCTCAGTGAGCTCCTCCATGGCCTTGGGGTCCTTGTGGATGTCGTCCATCTCGACGGCGGTGCCGTCCTTGTGGTCATCGTGGGCGGTGTCCAAATCGTGCATGGTACCCATGATTGGTTGATGGGGCGGCTGTGCCAGCTGCAGGTAGGTATTATTTTGTGTACTGTGTAACAACAGACGGTTTATCCCGGATCTATGTACTGTATGTCTGCGCGACCACAGTTGAGCACAGCCTCAAGAGTAGAACGAGGACTGAGGTGAAAAGGGAGGGATGGCCACCACGAGGGAGGGGAGAGGAATGAGAAGCGGGGAAGCGTGCAGATCGAGTGCAACCATTCCGGGGGGTGAAGAGGGGAATGCACGAGGCTTTTAAAGGCAAGGCGCATCAGGCCAGAAACGCCCAAAGACCCCAGAAATTCCGGGTGTCACCCTCCCTGACTGATTGACTGACCGACTGACCATCATCGTCATTGTTGAAAATTTCCACGAGAGCCAAGCAGGACTGGGGTCGGCAGGCACAACCGCGTCATCGGGCCGTCTGGCCAGACTTGGAAGCCGAAACGACCAGCCTGGGATTGCCAGCCAGAAAGGACAGGCGGGATAGAGAATGACCAGGGAGTGGGGCCACCATAGCCAGAGAGAGAGTCAGCCAGAGAGCCTAAAATGAACTAAGTCGACTAGATGAATCCAATTCCACCCAGTAGAGCAATAGAGCAGTAAACACGAGAAAAGTTCGGGATGGAGAGAAATCCACCAGGGTAAGTTGGAGTGGAGACAGAATGCGGATTGCGGAGAAAATCCAGCGAAAAAGTTCCCCGTGGGCAGCCAAAGCGGCCTTAGCGTTAGGTAAGCCGAGCCGAAATTTCTCTTCTTTTTCGTCTTCTCCGTCTTCTCCAATGCCGGCAACGGGACAATTTCGGAGACTCTCCGGCACCATTCCACTGATTCCACTGATTCCACCTTGGTGAATGGCCCGCGTGACTGTCGGACTGTCTGGCTGCCCGCTTCTTCTCTTCAGTTCCCGACTCTTCCCCATAATATCTTGTTTGGAGTAGTTAGTCAGTCAGTTACAGAATGGAGCTGTACAGTACTGTACTAAGCATGGTTGCGCCATTTTCCACCCCCACGTATTCAACAATGCCCAACATGCCAACATGGGCACAATCCAACTCAGTCAGCGTTAATACTTTATCCACGATGCCCGCCGTCCAGCTGAAGCCTTCACCTCTTCCCTTTTCCTTTCGTTCTCTCAGGGATTCCGACTTCCCCATTCGCTCCCCTGGCTGAGAATCGAAAACAAAAAAAAGCTTCCCGGCCGTTCAACCACGGCTGAGGTTCAACCCTCGTCCAAACTACTCGTGAAACTAAAACCCGCCCAGGAGTTGCAACCCCCACACATTCTGCATCATTCGGCCATGGGGGAGGGTTTGCCCTGCTCTCTGGGGGTTGGAGTGGATTTGTGGGTTGGCAGAAAATAATAATACAAAATAAGACAATGTTATCACGTAGTTGGGAAAGCAAGGAAAAAAGAAGTCAGCGGGGTTGCATTATTACGGCTATGAACTTATTAGAGACAGACAACATAGTTGCAACAACAGATCAACACCATCGCATCGCTAATCAAATGCACACAAGACAGCACAGCACAGCACAGCACAGCACAGCAAGAGAATCTTCTCTTCAACAACCCGCTGGGAGAAAGAAAGTAATTATGTAAACCGCAGCACATCCCCAATATGGCCCTTGGGGGATCTCAACTCACTAATTTCTCACTTTCCTCACTCTCCTTCCTACTGAGTACTCACCCCGCCCTTCTCCATCGGCACCACCCGACTGTGTGAATAGACGAAAGACTAAAACCAGCAAGTCCGCATCTTTTCCCTGCAGGTCGGGTGTTGGTGCCCCCCCTCTCTTCCCTTCTCGTATTAGTTTTATTTTTTTTTCTTTTTTTGTCTTTCTCTTTGACTCCGGGCTATTCCTTCACTCCCTTCCACACCACCAGGATTTAGCTCCCAAGGTCAGTCAGGCATCATTGGTTCCTTGCCATTATCGTCGACCCGGCATCCCTACCGGTTTTCGTGCGCTAGGATCCGCTCCCCCGGCCACGTAGGGTGAACCCGGCCGACTGCTCGGATTCTGGCCGGGGCTGGGCGACCGGCCCCCATGCAGGCGTGCCCGGAGTCGTTCCTGGGCCGACGCTGCGCGCTCCAGCGGTTGTTGCGTCGCGCCGCCGCCGGTCACGGGGCCCGAGATCGTCTGGTAGGATCCGGCGCGCTGACTGGGCAGGGGACGGCCGCCCCCGGCGGGGTGGTGAGGGTGCTGCTGCATTGCCGACGGGGTCGGGGACAGGCTGTTGTGGGCGATTGGGCCTCCCGGAGCACTCGCCGTCGCCGACAGCGGTGCCCCCATGCTGTTGTGGATGCTGTTGTTATTTCCCCCGGCGGTCATGCGACCCCGGCGCAAACTGGATGTCTGGGAGGTGGGAGGCGTGGCCGAGCCCGCATCCCCCCACAGGTCGCCCAGTCCACCACCACCACCACCGCTGCCACCGCCGCCGCTGCCGCCACGTCCGTATGCTGATGACGCTGGGGCGCTACCAGCAGCGCCGGGTGGGATCTGGGAGGTCGCGATGACCCGCGCCGGTGCCGGCGCGGGGGCTTTCGGGTCCGGGGGCAGCCACGAGGGATACGGTCGCCCCTTTTCGGTGTAGTAGGCGCGCAGCACGTTCGAGATGTGCGAGCAGTCCGCGTTGTCCGGGTCGTCGCGCTCGTCGCCCGACGTGATGGCCCGTTTCAGGGAGTTGAGCCGGGTGCCCAGGTTCGAGATGGCCGACGAGGACGTCAGCGACGAGAAGTATGAAGTCATTCTGGTGTAGTTTGCTGCCCGTCCCTGGTCGTACAATTGTTCTTGCGAGGTAGAGGAGATGGGGGGGCCAGAGAAAAGGGTTGAAGGATCAGCCAATGGTGGGGTATCAAGCGGTTGAGACGAGGGGTGAAGGACAATGCGGAGGAAGGCGGAAGAGAGTACTAGGCAGCAGGGCGCCCTGCAAGGTGAGAGCAACCAGGGTCGTAAAGTAGCCGTCAAAGGCGAGTCGCAAGAAGGCTTGGTACACGGTATGCCGAAGATGCCAGACACGACGTGTCGTTAGCAGGAACAGGAGTTGAGCAAGCGCCCTCGTAAGGGGAGTTTGGCATTGATTGGGGATTGACTCTGACCATGTTGGCGATCCACTCTTCGTGTTTCACTCCGCCCGCTGGCCGCACAGCACGTGAGCCGCCGGCCTGCCACACCGCCAACTGGTAGCCATGCAAGGAACAACGGCAGGCAACTACTCCGTAGAAGCTTCGCTACATCTTCCGAGATCTACGACCAATACCAGCACCAGCGCTATCATCAGAACAATCGTTCAACAAGCTATATGCAATGGCTGGGTATGATATGCCCGATCGCAGCATGAGAAACAACGAAAGAAAAGAAAAAAGGTAAGTCAGTAGATACATCAACGAAACTCGAACCGAAACAACGCCATACGAAAACACGACCACAACCGAGCTTTTTGTAATAAAACCCCCCTCCTCTCCAAAATTCCAGCATTGGGGCTTACGCCAGGACCTTTCCAGGCCCCTCAGTCTCATACTCGATCTCGATGCGAGGACCCTTCTTGCGGGGCTTGGCCTGGGGAGCAGGACGCTTGCGCTTGAAGCCGGGAGCGGGCTTCTTCTTGGCGGCGCCCTCATCCTCACTGTGCTGCGAGTCATCCTCCTCCTCGCTGTCCTCCTCATCCTCACTATCATCCTCCTCGTCCTCACTGAAATCCTCACTATCATCCGCGGACTCCCCACCGATCCAATCCTCCAGATCCTCCAGATCACTCTCCTCAACATCACTAACATACTCGACCTGCCCGACGCCCTCCTCACCCTCCTCCTCCAACTCCTCCTCATCATCAATCTGCTCCCCATCGTCGAGATCCTCGTCGCGCTCGCCCTCGCCCGTGCGCTCCAGCCCGCGCAGCACCTTCTTCCAGATCCCCTCCTCGACATTGAGCGGGCGGTCCCCGTAGGCGCCGCTGCGCAGGCGCTCGATCAGCTCGCGCTCGATGGCGCGCTCGATCTTGGCGGCGGACTCGGCCTTGCGCTCGCGGGTGGCCTCGCGGCGCCGCACCTTGGGCGCCAGGCGGGGCACGACGGTCTCGCCCAGGCGCTCCTCCTCCTTGGCGAGGCGCCGCATGCGCAGCGACACCTGCGTCAGCCGCGTCAGCCGCTGCTTGCACTTGTGCACCAGGAACTTGGGCCAGTAGATCAGCCGCTCGTCCAGCTGCTCCAGCGCCTTGGCGTAGTTGCTCGACAGCCGGATCCGCTCCCACCACTTGGACGGCATGTGCGCCCGCTCCACCGTCTTCATGTACAGGTACATCACCCCGGTCTCCGGGTCCGACCGCACCGTCGCGTACCGCGAGTTGGCCAGCGGGCACGATTGCCGGTTGCACAGCCCCGAGACGTTGTATTCATTGCGGCAGAAATTTTGGCCCTTGGTGGTTCTGCGATCCCATCATTAGCATTGTGCCCGGAAGAAATGGGTAGGCATGCGTAGTGTAGAGTTGGTTGGGCTCTTTGTTTTTTTCTTTCGACGATGCGGGAAGAAAAATGACACCGAGAAAAAAAAAAAAAAACTCACTTCAATTTGTAGGAACAAAACTGCTGGTTGATCACCTGCCAGACAATCTCGTCGGACGACATCTTTCCGTTGGAATCGGTGACTTGCTTGAGGCGCAAGTTTCGAGCTTGATCACAGATTACAAGCCGGGTTGTCGGTGATGATTTGGGTCCGGGGGGCCACCAGAACTTTGCGATGCGGCGGTGGAGAGGAGACGAGGAAGGTGAAAAAAAGTTGCCGCAGTGATCGGGTCACGTGAGGGGGTGGTTTTCCCAAACCTTTTTTTCTTATCGATAAGGCTAGGCCATCCTTCCAAGTTCCCTCATCCAAACACAATCCTCGGAATTGAATTGGACTGATGATTGTTGATTAGTCGCGGTTTCATCCCGGTACCATGCACTACCGGATCTGCTGCTGGGTGAGGTAGGATATGCTACCCCATCTAATACAATTCAACTCTATCTATCCTGTAATGTACGTATTACCAACCACTTTCCATCTGCAGGGGTGCCCCGTCCCATTCAGTCCCGTTCACCATCGGTCCACCGCCCGCTGCTGCTGCTGCTGCTGCCGCCGCCGCCGCCGCAGCAGCGGCCAACTCGGCTTCCTCGCTACTGCCCGGGAACCCCTCATCCCCAGCCATACCCCATCCCATCGCCTCAAGCTCTCTGGTGAAAAAGTCCCGCTCTTCCTCCATAAGAGACGCGCCCTCCTCGCCGCCCATCACGTCCTTGTACCGTCGGAGGTGCCACCAGTGGGTGAGTCCGCGCAGCGCCTGCTCGAGCGGCAACGCCTCCTCGACCTCCGCGTCGATGTCCGCACCCGAGAGCCAGTCATCCCGTAGCTCCGGCCGACAGTAGAGGTAGATGGCAGTGATTACACGCATGTTGCTCTGGCGCCACTTGCGGCCGCAGAACGGCACCTGCGACTTGAAGAGCTTGAGCGTGTAGAAGCGCAGGTGCGGGTCGGGGATCTTGAGTCCCTTGCGGAGGATGGTGCTGGACTTGTACTGCACCAGCAAGAGGCACCGGTGCGCCTTGTCGCGCGTGATCTTCTGCATGATGTGCAGGTAGTTGATCGCGGAGAAGAAGTTGCGGAAGGAGAACTCGGTGATCGGCTCCTTGGGCGGCGGCGCGATCGGGTACCCGAGCTCGTCCACCTCGGGACGATGGGGCCCCTCGCTAAACTCCGGAAGCAGGGATTCGGGCGACGGCCCTCGTACGGAGGAGTGGCCGGTCGTGTCCTGGCGTTGGCGGGTGATGGGCGGAGGGATTGCTTCGTCCTCGCTGGGCAAGGATTCGTCGTCCAGGTCGGCGGGCGGATGGTCGGACTTGAGATGACAAAATCGGAAGAAGCTGCTCGGAGTGCCGGTTAATGACGCACCCTCAGAATGAGATGAAAACAAATCACATACCCCAGCTCGTCGCGATCATTCTTCTGCGCAACCGCTTGATCAACGTCTTGGTGAGCAAACATCTTGAGAATCAGAGGTAGATAGTTGGAATCAAGAAGCAACTGCGTCATGTACTCAAACTTGAGTATATCTAGGCCTCGTTAGCCTGGCTCGTAGACGCCAAGTCAAAACTACCTACGAGATCGCTTGAACCACTTGAGCAGGAGCAGGAAAGATCCTGATATCGCCTTGGACGTGATCTCTCGGAGCCGCACATTGTCCAGCTCGTCAATGGCTGCTTCAATGCTCCGCTCTCCAGGGCCATGGTGTAAGGCGGATGGGTAACCATTGGCCGGGCCATAGTTGTCACTTGAAAGGCATGGCTATCAGCCTTGATTTATCAAAACGGCAGGAAGTCACGAAACCACTTACCCCATCCCTTGTCCATTCTGTCCGTTAGCCTGATTGACCATAGCACTGACGTTCGTCAAGATTATCTTGAGGAAGACGATCGTGATGGACTGTAAATGCACTAGCGCTTGTCTCTGCAGCGGCAGTTAGCTCCTGATCAATTCCCTAAGCCCGCAGAGCACTCACGTAGAATGATTCAACAGCATCTAAGCGTTGTTGAATGTCTTCATTTTCTGTTTCTTTGTCGGAGGGCTGATCAACACTCGATCTTTCTCTGACATTGAATCCCAGGTTGCGCATCTCATCTGCTAGTTCTTCTGTCTCAAACTCGGTCGACGGAAACGTCTCATTCGGGCACCAGCCGCGGTCATACTTCATGAAACGCTCTCTCTCCTCCCACAGTTGCTGCATCGCCCGGGTCATCTTGACGTGGGTCGAAAATAACTTGCCCGCCTCGATAATCGAGGCGGGAACATCACTACCCTCCCATCTCTTGCCTACCAGAACGTCCTGCAGCTCGGTTGTCCCTTTTCCGCCGAGATCGTTGCTCGAATTATCCAGGGGTGGGTACATGAAGGGGAAGTTCTGGTTGGTCTGGTAATTTTGCTTCTTTCCCGCCTTACCGCCGGGTCCGATTGGGGAGGGCGGCGGAGAAGGGGCCGGCGTTGCAATGTGGACGGATTGGTGGATGATCGAGCCACTTCCGCCCGCTACGGATGGTCCCACGCCGGAAAATGGACCGCTAGAAGTGTTGATTCGACTGGGGTGCTGAGGAAGCGGTGGCAGGATCGAGTTGTTCTCTAATTCCAGGGGCACCACTGGGGGTGGTGGGTTATAGGCAGGATACTTGGACGTGATCTCCTGTCTGAAGTTGTGGTAATCGAGCGGCGAGGCAGTAAGAAAAGGAGTCCTGCGCGGTGAAGCGTTCTCTCGTGCCTCAAAGGCGGGCTCCAGTGCCTTCTTGGCCTCCTTCAACTTGCTACTACCTCCAAAGAAGAGGAGTATTGTCTTCCAAAACAGAAGAATGATACGAGTGAGAGGAATATTGGCCGAGTCATCCCAGCGCAACCTTGCAATGATTTCAACTAAGAATACCAGCAGATTTGGCTCCAGATGCATGAGAGTCTCCCGTAGCGATGCATTCTTCGGGTCAAGGATCTCCTGCCTTCGAGCGACTTCGACGATGAGATATAGTGGCGTCAGTAGCAGGTTCGCCTCGCGTTCCATGTATGCTGAATTGGCGGAATCGGGGCCGGTGCCCTCCGGTCCTTGGGAGGACGAGCTTCGGTGCCTCTCGAAGACCCGGCATAAGCAATCCAACAAGGCCTGAATACCACCACATTCGTGGAGGAGATGAACACTATGCTCAATCCATTTGACTTGTAATGATTTGTTCTCCGGAATTTCGGCGCCAGGGGGAGAGACACCTCCAGGATAGTCAGGTGCAACCTCTCCAGCAGTGACACCCCACACACCTGTCACGGCATAACAAAGTGCTTCCGAAGCCTCGAACCGCACTATCCCCGTACTTTCGCTTAGCCCGTCGACGATATGGCTCATGAATGCCTTCTGCAGGTCTCGCGGGGCGGCAAGCCAGTTCTGCTGCGAGGGGTCTACCGAGCGATCCTCACAGAAGGTGTGCCACTTGTGCTCAAAGGACCACTTCATGCCGACCAGCATGGCCCGATCGTACTCATTGTACTGGAACCACTCTTCAATCTCCTCTACAAACGGTTGGGCGTCAGCGTATTCGAAAGCGTATGCCGGTTGTTCCACCTTGGGCATCTCCTGGACCAGTTGCCTTAGTTGCGCCAGACTCAGCGAGTCGGGTGGTGCGTCCTGGTTCTGGTTCTGGTTCTGGTTTTGGTTGTGCTGGACAGGCGCGGGCGGCGGAGGCTGAAGAGGGGGCGGCGGGGCGGAAGAGTCCCGGCGCAGCTCTGGGCGTCGCGGCGGCAACTTCTCCGCCCCCCTGGGAGCTTGCTCCAGTGTACTAGTCGTGCGTGCATGGTCGGAAAACGCCTGCTGCTCCTGTCGCAGCTCCTCGGCAACCTCTTCCAACATTTGGTCATCCGAGACAGTGCTGATATCCGTGCCCGTCTGGTCGACTTCGTCCGCCTTCACAATATGCTGCTCCTCCAGGCCAGCATCGGAGGGCATTGGAGGATCATCCATTGCGCGGGAAAAACAAAATATTTTCCAACTAGTATTTCCACTTTTCAGCCTCTTCAAATGAAGAAAAAAAGAGCAAAGAGTTGAGCTGGTTCAGTTCTTCAAAACACTCAACAGGGATTAATGCTGAGGTGAACCGAGGCTTTGTCAGGGGGCGAGTGGAACAAGAGACTAGTCGTTTAGCCTAATTAGTGACTAGTAGTCATGCAAATTGAACAAGAGAGAGTACCATTCCACATGACGTGTAGTCAAACTAGAGACATACTTTGTCCGGCAGAGCTGGACGTCCAAATAAGAAAGCGGCGCTCGGCACTGGGCAGCATTCTTAATGAATGGAGGGGGAGTCGATCCGCGGAAGTCACCGGTCACGTGCAAGGAACGGCCCAGCCAAGCGGAGGCTTTGGTTCCGGCTATGGGTGGTGCATTGTAATCTACTCAATGTCTAGATTTGCTTCAGGCTTCAGGTTGTTTTTATTTTATTTTTTTTTTTTTTGTTTCTTTTTTTTTGGGGGGGGGTTCTTCGAGTAGATTTGTACAAAGTGAAGCCCAATATTGAAGTGCTAAGGTCCTCTCAGCACCGTCTGAACGTCTTGAAGTTGAATTCTCTCAATGCGTACTAGTGACACTATATATCCTAACGCCTATCCGCTCTGGGTCGTCTTCCCGGTTTTGAGTTAAGGGCATCCTGCGTTTCATTCCAAAAGAGGCAAGAAAACCAAGATGAGATGACGATCAAGCTCTACACCTGCTAAGGCTAAAATTATTGTTCTATGGACTCAGGTAAAAAGTACTGTTCCCGGATCCTCCACTGAAGTTTCACATAGTGTGGCTGACCCGAGTGCCGAAGGCTCATAGACTACCGAGCCATGCACGTCAACCACAGGCTCCTAGTTGTAAAGGTAGGCGTGTGGCGGGAACGACATGTTCATCAGACAGAGGGACCGTTGGGTAGCCCTACTCCCTGATTAGCACCCCACGGCGCATGCACATTTCATTCGGTTTTCTTTGAACGACGCTCACTGTTTCCTTTCCGCTTCGGAGCCCGCTTCGCTTCCGAGTGTCGCCATCCGGCCTCTACAAGGTCCTCATTTACCACCAAGTCGCGAAGCCGGAAGAACTTCGAGACTTCCAAGTCTAGTACCCAGTCGACCCAGCCGAGAACGCGGATCTGCCGCGTAACGAAAAACCACGCGAGCGCACACGAGGCACCCGCACTACAGCCCGCCAGGACCTGCTTGGGAGTGTGATAGTTTAGGTAAACGCGACTGACAGCCACTGCAGCAGCAGCGACGCACAACACAAGAGAGAGGAGTGCTCGGACCCCAAAGTGAACCGTGGCTGCTGGGCGGGTCAAGGCAGGGGAATGTCGGAGAACCAAGAAGAGTCCAGCGTATACGGCAAAAAAAGCCATAAACTGGGCATGCGACGATGGCATGCCATAACCCTTGCCGAACATTTCTGCGGCAGGCGTTAGTTAGGACCAGATATTTCATTTTTCTTTTTCCTTTTTGTCTTGCCCTGGGTAAATTAACTTACGTTTTGGCCTTTCTTCCTTGATGATACGCTTCAGGACAAAGTTCAGCGCCTCACAGCCCATCTGACCAGCAAACATCAAGATGACTTCGACTTCTCTGGACGCCCAGGCAAGGGTGACATAGGAGATGACCAGGGCCTGGGGCACTAGAGCAAGATAAGCGGATACATAGGAGAGCAGATCCTCAGGATTCTGCCTTTGTTAGCATAGAGCAATGCATAATCAGTTCTTCGAGCGCTCGTCACCCTAGGCGCCAAAGATGGGAACGTACATAATGGACATGGGTCAGTGATAAGGATGCTAGGGGGGCGTCCGCCATTGTGTTGTAGCTGTCGGCCTGTTGTGTTGCCGGAAACTGATATCTGGGAGATCTTCTTCTCAACCGACCCTCAATTCAGGCCAGGACAAGGTATGCTTCTTAAAGATGAATGAGATGATAGCAATGGACCAGCAGCGACTGTCCGGCGGAGTGACAGACCAAGTGATGACCACCTAATCACACAACATCGTATCGTGCAGGTGTCGAAAATCAATGTTCTTGGCGGAGAAGACTGTTGGTGGTTGTTTACACGAATAGTTTGAAGCTTCTCTCCAAGCCGATGTCCATAAGGAATAATACTTTCAATAATCAATCATTAGTTTAAGAATTCAAGATGTCCAGTCGATGTCCAGTCGATGTCCAGTCAAGGAAAAGAGAACGGGAGGCGGAGTGGGTCCGCAAGGGGGGAAAGCCAAGTAAGTCACGGGGGGGTTTGTTAAAGCGGCGGGGGAAAAGGAGGGGCAGGCAGGGCCGCAGGGGAAATCCTTTCGGCCTTGTCGCCTCAGGCTGGGTCGGCCGTAACTAACTTATCTCTGAGTCAGGTTTTGTTTTCAGTAACTTTCAACACTCCCAACACTAACAACCTGAACTATTAATGCAAGACTGGGCAGCAAAACCCCAGCTAGCTCAGTTCTCTATGCCTGACTCCCTTTCTTATAACTATTCTGGTTCCCACTCCTCTTTCCTCTGAGTATTCTAGCTCGCCTGCCTTGGTTGCCTCTACTTACTCTATTGCTGTACCACTGCTCTTCCTAATCCTATCCTCTCTTATCTCGGGCCCCAAACCATGACGCACTTCTCCTCACGTCCTCACTCTGATTCTTCCTTCTACATACTCTCTAGACGGCGAATAATACAAAACTCTCTTTGTTCCATTCATTCTCTGTCTGCTTCTAACTCTTTTGATTCCCCGACGGTTCCACCGCCCCCATAATACTAATTGTCTAGACCGCACACACGCCCGCACACACGCCTGCAGTACCTGAGAGGTCCGACCTTCCCGCCCGCCACCCTCGATAATCGCATTGTCTGATTGACTAATCCGTGGTTTAGCAGCAGAACTCTTCCCTCTTCTGTCGCCTCATCGCTCACCACCTGCCATTCAAATGTCTATGTAGGGAATGCATGTCATCGACGGTGGGCGCTATCAGACTGAGGGGCTTCGAATCGGACATTGCGCACTTCCATCGCGTTGACGGACCTCAATTGCCACCCGTCAGTCATCTCGCCATCCCAAATACAAAACAACCTGCGAACGATAACCCTCCACGGAAGACGTGCGTTGCCTCTGGGCTAGTCCTGCGGAAAGAACGCCCGGAACCATCATGACAGAGTCTGAGTCGGTTATAGAAGATGACCGCTCGGTCGAGCTGTCGTCTATCGCTGCTATCTTCCCGGAAATAACAATCGACCCCGTCTCGCCGTACAAAGCTTCGCTAGACATACCTGTCAAACCATCCAGACCCGTACGCGTGCGCTTTCAGCAGCAACAGCAGCAACAGCAGCTACCCGAGAACGTCTTTCCTGCTATTTTGACCCCTCCCACGTCCGTCGACGCCGGCGAAAACGGGTTCCCGTTCAAGGCCGAGGAGCAAATCGTTCCAGCCGAACCCGACAATGAAGTCCATATCATATCGCACTTCCCTCCTCTTTGCCTCGAGATCGAGCTACCTGAAGGCTATCCAGCCGAGCAAGCGCCTTTCTTCAATCTCGAAACAAACCCTGCCTGGTTACCTTCCTCGACATTGTCTGAACTCGTAGATGATGGCAAGCGTCTTTGGGAGGAGTGCGGCAGGGACTTGGTGGTTTACACATACATCGACCACCTTCAGCAGTTATGTGACACGGGATTCGGCTCTAGTGGAAGCTCCGACGGCGAGATGCAGCTCTCTCGAGACTTGAAAATCGCGCTGTTGGATTTCAACAATAAGGCTGAACAGGAAATGTTCGAACAGGAGACCTTTGAATGTGGTGTCTGCCTGGAACCAAAGAAAGGCATAAATTGTCACCGTCTTCTGCGGTGCTCGCACGTTTTCTGCGTTGCCTGTCTGCAGGACTTCTACAACGCCTGCATCACTGAAGGCGATATTGAGAGTGTGAAGTGTCTAGCTCCTAACTGTGGCAAAGAAACAGCTCTTACAGCCTCCACGGGCGACATACCAAAGAAGCGAAAGAAAATTGACCGAACGCTCAGCCCCAGCGAGTTGCTACAGATTCCTCTGGAGCAGGAGACCGTGCAGCGCTTCGTATCTCTCAAGCGCAAGAAAAGGCTTGAAGCGGACAAATCGACAGTATACTGCCCTCGTGAATGGTGCCAAGGTGCCGCTCGCTCAAAAAAGCACCCCAAACCCATGGACCCGATGTCTGACGACCTCGACGTGTCTGACGATGACGAGGAGGCGACCCGTGTCTTTGATCCCCTCGGTGATGAGGCTCAGTTGCCCCCCATGGCTGAACGGGTGGCGATCTGCGAGGATTGCAACTACGCATTCTGTTGCGTTTGCAAGAAAGGCTGGCATGGGGAACTGGTCCGTTGCTTCCCTCGGCGTGCAGCCGAGCTGACCGCCGAAGAAAAGGCGACCGAAGACTATCTGCGGCGGTATACATCCGCTTGTCCGACGTGCAATGCTCCCTGCCAGAAGAAGATGGGATGCAACCATATGATATGCTTCAAATGCGACACACACTTCTGCTACCTCTGCTCCTGTTGGCTGTTCGAGGAAAACCCTTACCGGCATTTCAACGATCCGGAGAGTCAGTGCTACCAAAGGCTTTGGGATCTGGAAGGCGGTGACGGCATTGACCCTGACGGGGCTGAAGCCTTGCATCAAGTCCCCGCGCAGCTCATAGAGATTGACGACGATAGTGACGACGAGGATCTGGTTGCCATGGAACTGGGTCAACATCCGCCTCCCCCAGCTCCGGTGCCCCCAAGAGTCAACCCTGGTCATGGCGCCGGGGCTCATGGCGAGCGCGGCAATGAAGATGCTGCAGCTCGGGCTGCAGCGGCCGAGAGACAAGCACAGGCACGAGCCATGGCCGAAGTCCGGCGTCGTCCGGAGGCCGACGTGGCCAGAGAAGGTCAACCGCAACGACATGCGCGGCCTGGCCTGCAACGATTTCTAGAACTGGTTCAGAATGACCGGGAAGACGAATGGGATAGTGATGAACTCGATGATGATTTCTAGGTACTTTTTATTCTCTCCATCTTGCCCCTTTTCCATCATACGTCACGTCATGCTATACACGTACGCGTTATGGGCTCATAGGACATTTCATGCCTCTCCTTGTTTTTGCACGGTGATGTTCATTACTAGAGAACAGGCGCACGGTGTCGTTCCATGATTCTGATGACCTGCGTCCATATCGTGCTTGCACAGCGATTTTCAAATTCAATTACTTAGTCAACTTATCTATTCAATGTGTCTTCCTCCAGATAGGACAGACCGCCGTGAGTCCTGTCTTTCATGTTCTGGTGCACACGGCCAGGTGCAATAGGCCTTTTACTCGGCACCAGGGGGGGGGGCAGTGCAATTCTTTACTCGGGGTAGTCTTGCCTCACCCCTAATAGATTGGACAACAATAATAGTAAGAACAAATGGTATCTGGCGCCAATGTAGTCAGAACCGGCGGCGGTACCTATCGTTGCAGCCACTTTCAAAGGAGGTTGGTATGAATTAGGGGTCGGACTCAGACTGCGACACAACAGAGAAGGTTGGGGTCCAATATATAAAGCAACCCGCCTGGTAGTAGACTACCTACTCCCTTTTGTGCTTTTTGAGCTGCCATTTCCTCAACCATCGTTCTGCAACCATGCCACCTGCATCTGACACAAGGATTTCCCAGCCCCGCCCCGTGGCAGATGGCACGGAGTTGATGGCATACTTACCCCCCTCGAACTTGTTTGCAGGGGTTCTGCCTCGGGCGTCGCCAGGAGACATGGATACGGTGTGGCAAAGGCTCGTTGACAATCAGGTTAACACAACAGTTCCTCCTGCTGGCTCGAGAATCCCCCATCTTCGTCCGATTGAGAATGGCAAGCAGCTGGTGGTCCATGGCCGACCATTTCTGGTCTTGCCTGGAGAGCTTCAACCGTCTTCTTCCTTCACCTCGCCTGAGTACACATACAAGGTGTGGCAAAAGCTCGTCGACACTCATGTCAACACGGTGCTAGGACGTGTGGCCTGGGAGGAAATCGAGCCATTCGAGGGCCATTTCCTTTTCGACAAACTTGACGAGGTCATCCTGGGGGCTCGCAAGCATGGTTTACATCTTGTACTGCTCTGGTGTGGCTCATTCCACGATGGTAAGCGCCCCCCTTCCCCTACCCTTCTCTCCGTGACATATACTTTCCACATTCTTGTTTTTCTTTTGCAGGTGTATCTAATACGGGCTGTGGAAAGGTATCTCAACATGTGCGCCACCATGGGTGAAGGCAGACATCAAGCGATTTCCACGAGCTCATTGGCGCAGGCGCGGCGGTGTTCTGGACGTATCGGAAACGCTGTCACTCTTTCAAGATGAGGCACGTGCTTGCGATAGGCGAGCCTTTGCTCGTCTCATGCGCCACTTGAAGGAAATTGACCGCGAGCATTCCACCATTCTGATGGTTCAGGTCGAGAACGCCACCGCCTGCGCTGCAGCTGGATTGCTTGCTGGGGATTCCCGCGACACCTGTCCCGCCGCCGAGGAACGCTTTGCGCAACCCGTTCCATCGGAGTTGGTGTCGTTTCTGACCAACGACTGGGACCATCTTCAAGCTGGGTTGCAGCGCACACTCGGCCATTTCAAGTCTCAGTCCCGACCATCATCCTCACTTATGCCTCGACAATCGTGGGCGGAGGCTTTTGGCCGAGGCCCGCACACGGACGAGCTGTTTATGGCCTACCACTCCGCTCTGTACGTCCACGAGATTGCCACCGCAGGAAAGGAGGAGTACTCTCTTCCGTTGTACATCCAGCTCGGGGAGGAAGATGACGTTGGAAAGGATGAGAAGGACGACATTTCCGCCACTGTAACCGGGGAAAACTACCACTACCGCTCCTCTGGTAACCTCCTCGACATCTGGCAGCGGTTTGCACCTTCCTTGGACTTTGTGGCTCCCAGCCGCTGTCTTCTGAGGAAGTCCTATGCGCGCGTCTGGGCCCAGTACCGACACCACGCCCAGCCATTGTTCCTCTCCGAGCCCCGTCGCGACGAGAACAGTGCCGGCCGAATATGGACAGCCTATGGATCCTACCAAGCCCTGGGGGTCTCTCCGTTAGGGATTGATACGCTGGAGCCGGCCACCAGCCCCTTCACCAAGCATTACCGTCTCCTGTCCTCCATCTCACAGACGGTCCTCCTGGCCCAACAGCTGCCCGGTTCATCGGTCGGGTTTCACTTCGAGGACGACGACCCGATGACCGGAGAAAGGAAGAAGAATGATCCCGTCAATGAGCCAATTGTGCGAGAGTATGGAGACTACGAGATCCAGATTGAGCGCTGCCCATCTACTGCTGACACTGCTGCTGAGAAGGGCCGGCCCCTCCTCTCATGCTCGGGCATGGTCATCCACCGCGGTGGCGGCAACTTCCTTCTCATTGGCTGGGGATTCCGAGTGCATGCGAAGGCCACGGGGGGCTCGAAGTCCACAGCTCCCCCCAAAACGGCGCATTGCAGCATCGAATGGGTTTGGGAGAAGGCGGTCGCCAACCGGACCTCGGGGCGATTAAGGCTCTTGCGCAGGATCGACCACAGCGCCTTCATGTTGAAGTACCGCAAACCGTCGAAATGCCACGGGGGATGCTCTGCTAGCGTTGATATGCCCGCGGGGGTGACGATTGCCGAGGTTGAATTCGTATTATTTTGATTCGCACTCATAGGAAGGTTGGAGATAGTTGGGGATAGTTGGGACAAAATGGAATCAAATCAGTATCGCCTCAACGCTTTGTCAGGTGTGAAAGGAGATGGATGTGCTTGTGCTATGTATACGTGAGTATAAACTATCTAGAACTATTGCAGGCACTGGCCAGGCCTCCCAGTAATGTGTTCCAGTCGCAAATATATCCAGTCTTTAGAAATTCTTTCGCGGAATGCCTGCTCCAACAAGCGCACCATCTTGCACAGCTTTTGATCATTACCGCCAGCCAATCTCACCAGGTCATACTCTATCCTAATTTGTTCGGCTGGCGTGAAATCCGTGGTGTAAGGAAGCCGAGAGTAACATGATGTGGTAAGCCGGTGTCGAGTATACCACAGCTGGTCCAAAAAGTTCGCATCATGCAGGATGAAACCAGGCTGCGACTCCAAGGCTTCTTGAAACGCCGCCTCACCGCGGCTGGTGATGCAGATCTTGACATGCCCTGGCCTGGCTCGCACCCAGTCTTTCAGCGCGGTCAACATCTGCCCGTGTTCTCCTTCATCGAATCGGTTTATCCCGTCGAGCAGAAGAAAGATCTTGCGGTCTGCCCATATCTTGTTGGATGCACTCAGGCGATTCCACGCCACAAACAACTCACTATCTTCCAGACTAAACAGAGGCCATATGGGCGGAGGAAGTGCTTTCGGTGTTGCCCTATGCTCGATCTCTTCTTCCCCTTTCGCCTCATCGTCGTCGTCGTCGTCGTCGTCCTTATTCTTCTTCTTCCAACAGCGTCTAGGAGTGGTTGCACGAGCGAGCTTCTTCAAAACCTTCGACCTCGAGCGGCGTCTAGGCTTCGTTTCAGGCTCCTCGTCCTCCTCATACTCATACCTGAGCGGAAACAGCAGCGGGGCCAGCTGCTCATCGGCTTGGATCAACGCCCAAAGAATCCCGCGCATCATAGTCTTGAGTCCGTCGGGGCCAAACTCCTCGCTGTAATCATAAAAGGAAACGCACCCCATGACCAGTTTCTTCTCCTTCTTCTTCGCCGGGGAGGAGCACCACTCCAACTGCAGCCGCTGGCGGACCTCGTCGGACGGCTTTTGAAAGAAGATCTCGCGGATCAGTTGGGACTTGCCGGACTTAGGCCGACCCGAGATATGGAAGAAGGCATTCTCGGTCTTTTGATCCGTCGCCGGCGACGAGGTCAGCCAGTGGTCAAAGGCCTGTCGGCTGTCCCACATGATGCGGCACTTGATCCGTGCATTACGACCGTCGTCGTCGTCGCCGTCGTCGTCACCGACCACTTCCGCGATCCGCTCCGCATGCGCCTGATCCAACAGCCAGCACTCGCCTTGCAGTGTCCTGGTCCCAGCCGGTGGGATGACCCCGAAGGCGTAGCCGCCCGTGAAATCGGTTCTCTCCTGCGGTCCGGGATACCTGGGCCGGAGCTTCATGCCTTGCAGTGCGCGCAGAAGTGCAGTGAGAGCGACTCCCCACTTGTGCTTCTGGAGGAGGTCTTGAGCTAGACGAGGATTCAAGCCAGCATGGAAACCAGCCGACTCGCCCTTGGCTGCACTCCTAGTAGGAGACATTATCCATATAAGCCCTTTCGGAAAGATATGGTCCAAGACTGGGCTGTTGGATCTCTCTCGTTTATCTTTTCTTTCTGTGCTGTCTCTGTGTCTATGTTGTTGTTCTCGTTGTTGTTCTTCTGCTTTCTTGTTGATTACTCGTAGAAATGGAATCCGAGATGCAACCCAATTTGAATGGCAAAGATCTGGCCATATTTATAGGCGATGAAAGTCCATGAAGGAGGAGGGCGGCAGCCAGTCCACAGGCAGCTCATCTCATAATGAGCTGTGCTTTCTTTGTGACCTTTATTGTTTCTTGAGTAAACGCTGGGCTTTAGGCGGCCACGGATCAATTTCCGGGGTTTATGCTTCGCCAAAGGCTGTCGTGTAGACAAGCAAGAATTACCTTTGTTCATAGGACTATATACAGGACTGGTAGATGCCCAGAGAAATTGACAAAGCATGGATTTTCAATGGAGCATAAAGGCTGTAGGGGTGCATATAAAGAAACCATCGGATACAAGGCCTTGTTCGCGATGGAGAATGATGAGCGTGGCACGTGATACACACTACTCAAGTTCATCTGACAACATGGGTAAGAGTCGGCCAACTACTCCGTACCGAACAACCACTTACACTTGATAATCAGGCAGTCGGATTTTTACTTTCAGGGGCACGTACCTATCATCCTTGGCCGACCAAAGGCTGTGGGTAAATCCTATATCATCGCTGCGTCGCCACACCCTCACCCCTTGGAGAAGTAAAGCCCCAGAGAGCTGGAGTTACCAACCTTCAACCTACTTTCATTGCTAAAGAGGGGAAACAAGGGGAGTTGCATCTCATAGCAACTGCCACGCCGAATTCTTTCAGCCCACAGCCCCTTACGATGTGCGGCCATCACCAAGACATGCTTTCTTTTTTTCTTCTTTTTTCCAGCTCTTATACGAGGTATGTCTCTCATTGTCCAGATCCTGACCAATTCTATAGATTATGAAGGTCTCAGTTTCGCTGAAGAGACACACACACACACACACACACACACACACATGAAGAGAGCTGGAGGGTGACCCCCTTTCTGCAGTCTTAGAGAAATTTTATTTTCTACCCCCCTCCCCCTCCGTCTCTGACCGCACAACATGATATCAATAATTTCACTCTGCTCCTACATCTGCCTCACTCATCACGTTAACTTCTTTGTCGTTGACAACACTTGACGCTTGTCGGCTCCACTACAATGGAGGGCCTATCCATCGCCAGCTTAGCCGACATCACCCTCACTTTCTTGCTCTTCCTAATCAAGTTGATCAAGCTAGCCCTGGAGATCTACGAGACCGGAAAGATAGCTGACAACGAGAGACTTCAGAAGGAGATCTACGTCCTGACGGGAATGGTTAAGTGTCTGCAGGAGCGAGCAGTGACCGGCGATAACCCGCTCACGGACGAAGAACGGATCCTGCACGTCCTCTGCAACGAGTGCAATGCCGCTTCGAACCAACTCCAATCCATGCTAGATAAGCTACAAAACGCAGGAGGCAAAGGCAAGATGTTTTGCAAGAACGTGTGGAAGAGCCGCGCCAAAAAGAAGCTCGAAGTTAGGCTCAACCAGTGCGGAGACGAGCTTACATCGTTTGTCACTACAACAAAGAGGTAAGAGGAAAGAACGAAACCCCCGGAGAGCAGCTTCTGGTAGTTACTGTACACTTTGGATAATGCTAAATTGCCCCTCTTTGCGACTTTCTAGCGCGGAAATCCAACAAAGGCTAGATGATATCAAGCGGAGCGACGGAATTTATGCGGCCAGACTAGAGTCTCTCACCACGGAGGTTTCCACGCTCGGCTCCGAAATGGCTCGCCACATCCACGACCTGGGTCTCCTACTTGGGATAGGCAATCGGATCCGGCAGGGGGTGCAAGCCATCGGGACGCGGATGGTCCAGAATGGTGCCCAGGTGCGGGCCCTCTCGATTCTGAATCGATTGGCCTTCGACGGCATGCATACCCGCTATGAAAGCCTGGCAGACGCTGAAGCGAACAGCTTCCGGTGGCTCATCGATGCCGATGTGCCCCTGGACGACAGCCCCCTCCAGTATCAAGCGCGCGAGGCCTTTCTGACCTGGCTCAGGGAGGGTCAGGGGATCTTCCATATGACCGGGAAGCCCGGCGCTGGGAAATCAACTCTCATGAAGTTTTTATCGGACAACATGCACGGGCGTCTGCAGGCCTGGTCCAGCCCGAAGACGGTGCTCCTGGGGAAATTCTTCATCTTCAAGCCCAACGCGCAGTCTGAGGGGGCCATGCGCGACTTCTGTAGAGGGCTGTTGCATTCGCTTCTCGGTCAGGCCCATGAGCTGATACCAATCATCTTTCCGCAGGAGTGGGAGGGCGATCTCCGAACTGAAGATGAAAAACTCAATCCCTCCCAGGTGCAATGCGCTCTCACTACGCTGCGTACCCTTGACGATATCTACATCAATCACCGCCTGGTCATCTTCGTTGACGGTATTGGTGAGTTCATGGGTTACCAGAAAGATCTGTGCCTGCTCCTGAAGGAGTGGGCGCAGCTCAGGCCTCACGGCGTGAAGATCTGCGTCTCGAGCCGGGAGGACCAGGATATCCACAGAACGCTGGAACCATCCGCCACGTTGCGTCTCCAGGATGTGACTTTCCCCGATATTCTCGCCGTGGTGCATGATCGACTAACGAAAATCACCAACTACGACACTATCGACACCCCGCGATGGCGGGCCTATCTGGAATGGTACATTGCGGAGCGTTCGGAGGGTGTCTTCTTGTGGGCCGCCTTGGTTCCCCGGAGACTTGCAGACAAAGTGAAAGATGGGTATAGCGCACGCGACCTGGTCAATGCGGTCGACTCCCTGCCTCAGAGCCTGGATGACCTCTTCCAGAATATCCTGGCGTCGATGCGCGACATGCGGACGACCTGGGCATTTGCCCTGCTCCAGATGGTGCTTCTCTGCCGTCGACCATGGCCCTTGTCTCGCTTCTCGTTTCTTTCTGACTATCTTCAGGACCCATATTTTACTCGCAATTGCACTTTTTCCCGGCGGGAAACAGCCCGGATGATCTCCGGGCACGATTGATCAAGGTCAAGGACATGATTAACCGCCATTGCCATGGCCTGCTCGAGATCCACGCGAAACAAATAGACAGAACCCTCGTGGTCGTTTTTACCCACCGGTCCGCCTTCGATTACCTCTCCCAGAACGCGGACCTCGTTGCCGGATTTGCCGCCTTCCCCAAGGGGCACGATGCGTTCGATGCCTTGTGTCAGACGATGCTGGCTGATCTCTGTGCCACGTTGACACCCTCCTGCCAGGAAGATCTCCCGCGGGTGGATCTGCATATTTCTTGTCCGTGGGGGTGTACGGCGATGGACTCGAGCATGACGCAGTCTGCCCGCGACTTCTACGTGATTTTCAAGGACACCGTAATTCTGTTGGACACGTTTGTGGCGCAGCAGATCCCTCCGCAGCGGCCGGAACGACTCTTTGGGTTTCTGGCCTCCGTGGCTCGCATCATCGGCGCCGCCCTGCCCGAGGACTACGACCTCAATCTGTGGCTGGACTGTCGGCTGGTCGGCAAACCGCGGGCTTCCCCGCTGCTGCTCCGCAACGAGGACACCACTGACTGGACTCCAGACCCTGGTCTTCGCAGACCGATCCGTTTGATGTTTCCTTCCGTATTTCCCGTTCTGGCGGCGTACAGCGGGATCCCTTGGCGCGGCAGCGATCTTCTTCCTCTTCTCCCAGCCGGAGAAGGCTCCGCGAGCTGGCTGACGCGAAGCGTGCCCTTCAGCGCGCTCACCCTCAACGCCATTGGGTCGGCCCGAAGACAACTCCCCCGCGCGGCCGCGGGATTCATCGAGCTCCTGGGCCTGTACTGGCGACATGGTTTGTCGCTGGACCAGCCAAGCGGCGAAGAGGTGATTGCGGGGACGGCCCGGGACCTGACGCACTGGGAGTTTTTCCTCGTCGAGGCCCTCGGCATGGGCACCGCGTGGCATGAGAAGCAGCGGCTGCTGCCGCTCTTTGCCCTCTTCCTGTGGCATGGTGGGGACCCACGGGTGGAGTTGGAGGTCCAGCTCGACGACCAGGCCTACAAGTGGGCCAGTGCGCCGCACGGCCCGCCGGTTGTTTTGGACCTCGTCCCATCCACAGGTGGCTATCACGACCCTTGCGTTTCTGTTGAGAATATTCTCACCGGTAGTCTTTCGGATGATTGCCCCAGTGGTCTCTCTGATGGTTCCCTGGATGGTCCCTCTAATGGTGGGTTAGGTGGTCTCATCGGTGGCCCCTCCGAGGATTCCTCAAATAGTCTCCCCGGTGGTCCTCCGGATGGTCCCTTGGGTGGTCTGTTTGGTGATCTCACCAGTGGTTCCCCCGATAGTTCTTCTAATGGTCTGTTTGGTGTTCCCCCCGATGGTCCCACTAGTGTTCTGTTTGGTAGTCCCACCAGTGGTCCCCCGACGGCTCCCCAAGATGCTCCTTTTGGTGCATGGCCCGCGGAAGTTGGCAGGATCTTCTTAAGTTCCCTGACATTGACAGTGGGAAGGGGCAAGAAGAATATCGAACTGGTGTACGATCTGGATCATCTTCCCGGGGCCCGCGCAATGAAGCCGCTTCGAGATCGGATGGGAAATGCGTTTTCCCTTCGTGAGCTCATCACGGCTCTGTTCCCGGCCAAGGCGGCGGCCACCCTTCACAAGCTGGTCGATTCGCCTCTCGCCGATCTCTCGCCCGCAGACCGAGCGTCAAGGATGCATGAGTTGGAACCAGAGGTCCGAGCCTTGTTGTGTCTCGAGACCATTGAGGATGCGTTTGGCAGTTGATCAGAGTGAGTTTGTTTGGGCTTTAGGACAAATGGCGGGAGAGCCTTATTCCAGGCGAGGGAGTTTCATCTTTTTTTTCTTCATGTATCTCCTTCTTACCCTTCTTTGTTCCTTCTTTCTTGTTTTTTTTTTTCGGTTTCTTTTTTTTTTCGGTGCCCTATCTTTTTTCACCTCCTCTCATCAGTCCCAATCACTAGCATTTACAAATCCTCTATGGGTGTACTGTACTGTACTATACGGCAATTATCTCTGCCCCAACCTCTAATCCAACCACGGTGGAACGGGCATTTACTTTTTCTTCGACAGCGTTGTAATATACTAGGTTGTAGTATTCTCTGCATGTCTTTCTTCCTAAGTATCACCGCAAATTCCAAGCCAACCTGGCTCTGGGAAAGAAAAAGCGACCGGCTTCGCGAATGATCTGTTCTCTCGGAAGGTGAATAATATAGCTGGAGTCGTGTGCGGGAGTTTCTACTTACTGACGTCACAATACATCCGAATAGAGGGGGGGGAATCTGTACACGTGCCCGAGGAATGCATTGACGGGTAGATAGAGCTCGGGTGTTTTTCTTTTGGGCCGAAAGTGATGCAAGATCCCAACTAGTACTGAGTTTGCCTTTGTCTGGGCAGCAATTGGGGTTAGGTAGGTAAGGGGCCCTGGCTGCCGCGGGCCTTTCTCGCATGCCTTGCCCATGGCAGCAACCGGAAGAGCTGAACGCTGCGAGGATCAAGATCCACCGGATCTCGGTTGGAGATTTTGTTGTCTGATGCAGAGAAGCAGAGAAGCAGAAAGGTAGTCAGGGGTTGCAGGGAGTGTATGGGTCATATTAATCTATATACAGGGACTGGGGAGATAGTGAATGGCTCGGTCGAACAGGGAAGTGCAAGTCAACAAACGAATCGCCGTCGGCCATCATAGGCGCCGCAAGCGGTCTAGCCCGTACTGACGTGCCCCTGTTCGTGTTGATTACCCTCCAGCGGACGATATGCGCCAGAGAGAGCCTTCTGACCTAGCCACAGCACGTCAGCAGTTCACAGGACGTAGTCCCACACTTGACCTGGCACAGCTGGGACGCATCGCCCCGATAGCCCGCCGTCCCCGTCGGCGCGGCAGGCACGGGGTCCGCCGACCCCGGCTCGGGCTGCACGGTCACCGAGTGGACGCCATAGCTGTGGAAGCAATCGCTCATGGTCTGGGCGATCTGGACGAACTCGGACACGGTCTCTTTGGCGACCGCGACATGGACCGATGCCAAGGCCTTCTCTTGGTTCAGTCGCCAAACGTGCAGTTCGTGGACAGAGAGGACGCCCGGGATCTATGGTCTCCGCATCCGAACGGTCAGCCGTTGAGAGAGGCGGGGAAACAAGGTAGGTATCCTGAGCGCTACGCACCGTCTCGAGATCATGTCTGATGTCGTCAAGGTTGATCCCGCTGGGAACACTTTCAAGGAGGATTTTGCCCGCGCTTCCCACTAATCAGGTTACCGCAGTTGGTGAGTTGAACGGAGACACCGGGTTTCTTCTGGGGGGTTAGGAGGGATACGGACCTAATGGTACGGACGTTGTGAGGATGACGATGGCGATAGCCATGCTAACAGCTGGGTCTGCGTAGTAGCGAGCCGGGTCCGTGGTGAGCCAGATCACCAATGCCGAGATGATGACCCCGACGTTATTGGCGGCGTCACCCAGCACATGGATCAGGACCCCGAGCATGCCAAGGTCGTAGCCCTTTTTGGATGGTTGGAGGTTGTTGTGGCGATGGTTGTCGTGGAGGGCGAAAACCTGGGCGGTCGAAGGTCAGCAATGTGTCCACAGAGTTATTGGAATGGGCTGTCTTCTGACCTGCTCTGTGCCACTTTCGGCATTCGTTCGGAGTTCCGTTCCTCCGAGGACTTCGCCGTGTGAATGATCGTGCTCTGGGAGACAGCAAGGATGGGCATGAGTCGAGGAGCGAGCAACACAAGTAGAAGGGCCAACACCAACCGTGAAGGAATGAGGCACTAATGAGATTGAGACCAAGCCCCACGCAGCCGATGATAAGCACCAGCTTGGGCTGTTCCACGACTGCAGTCTGTGTCAGTAGGGTTGTGGAATGTCAGTATAGGGAGATGTGCACTCACCTTGAATGGAGACAAAGCGTTCGATGGACTGGAGGAAGATACTGATCCCGAGTGCGAGAAGGAAGACACCGTTGAGGAATGCACCGAGAAGTCGAGACCGCTGCCAGCCAAAGGATAGATCTTGGGGTGAATCTGTCTTGGCTGAGATCTGGTTTTTGATAGTATTGTTAGAGACGAAGAACTCCGAGTTTTGCGGGCGGTGCCTGTCACCTTCAGAGCAGTGAATGCAACAATGAACCCGATCAGATCATTCAACTAGAGGGTATATTAGCCTCCGAGCGTACCGCGAGGACGAGAGAGGGGGCAAGGGCTGGCACATAATGGAAGGCGTCTGCGACGAGGGCAAGAGACCGTGTGTAGAATCCAACTAAATGATCAATAGTCAGAATCTGGTCGCCAGTTGGGGGCTGCGCTGCATTTGCTACCAGAGATTTCTGCAATGAAGAACGACAGGGAAATCAGTATCACCAGCTGCAAACGCTGGGACTGAGTCAAGTGTAACGCCATGGCTGAGTTCAAGTTTGGCCTATACTGGTCAAGTAAAGAGGGAGCGTGCTTGAGAAAGATAGAAGTCAGGCCGCACAATCCAACGTCTTTCTAGCTTGACTAGCGCGAACTTGCTCCTCGTATTTGAAAGCTTCTGAGTGGCGAGACCATAAACCCGGGGCTGTTATGACTGCTGCTCAGTAATTGGCGGATTCGGGTGGAAACCTTCGCAAGTAGCGGGTGCTGGCCCCTCTTCTACATCATTTACTTAGGCATCACGACCACACAATTTACCTAATCTGATTGTAAAATACTATGAGTTTGAGGAGAGTCTCTCTTTTTCGTGCCATGAGAGGTTGTAGCAAATGATTGGTTGTTTGCTCAAACCTGCCCCGGATATCTTTTTGCTTGTGTGGTTTATCGTTATGGTTTTTCATGTCTTCATCATTTGTGTTCGGAATAGTTTTTATAACAAAGAAGGCCAGATGATGCTTTAACTGAAGTCTCTGGCATAGAATGGCAAAAGGTAAGAATGCAGTGTGGAGTGTTTTGTTCCTAGCACTTAAGTTTGTAGTATCACAAGCAATAATGCTCCTCATTGAACTACTAAAGGCCTACTTTATCCAAACAACGGAAACTACACAGATAATTGAAACCAGCTAGGTCGCATGTCAACAGTCTACAAGTGATGTGAAGGCGAGTGCTGGCAATCACTATTCCAGAATGAATAACTTCCCTTGCAAACGCCGTGATGAGTGTGGCTTATATAAGCCTATTATCTTATTAGCGAAATCTGGACGAAGGGCAAACAATTCTCCGGAACGCTAACACATTTTGGCAGCAGAACAGGTGTGATACTATGTAGTACCACCATTTGCACGATGGGAGGGTATGCAATATGTATACAAACATAGATAGAGGTTCAGATAGAGTTGAATAAGCATCCTCCACAACACTTTAAGCCTCGTAGGGCTGCGGAGCCGATAACATACGTCCATTGGTCGAAAATTGAGCAGGTTTGCCCACAAGGTCCTCGCCGACTGGGTCTTACCCCCAAGGTCCTCAAAGATCGCAAAGTCACCGCCTTTGCTGCCATTGCTTTTTGATATGCACGATCATACAATCTCTCATCTGCACAGAGTTCTGCCTAACATAAAGCAATTTCAACATATTGCACTTCAACTTTTCCATATATTGCATCAAAGGATAGTTTTTCCTGGGTAACCGACTGTCTTTACTACCAGGCCCTGATTATCGGGTAGCTCCTCGGTTTAGGTATGTAGGTCATAAACCCATTATGTAGTGGAAGTCATATTATTTGCCTACTGGATAAGTGCTTGAATCAAGGAAATCTCTCTCCTACTTCAGAGTGGTCGTGATTATCTCCCAAGCCACCAACACGCAGTCAGGGCAAATAGTTGGAGCCACACTACCAGGGCAGGTAGCCCTTGGAACATCCAGCACTCAGCACAGCTGTTCATTTATTTCCAGGTAGCCAGAAGTTTTGTTAGTACTTACTCAAGTCACGATCATGATATATCCAGCACGTCTAGCATCAAATAATTCAAATTACCAATTCAACAGAACAGTCACCAGGGATACTCAAGTACGTGCTATATTAGCATGAGCATGAGGAGCGAAATAAGTTTCGGAAGCTTTGTAACGATGTCTTCAACGTGTATTTCTATCATCAACAGAAAGGTCTTTCAAACAAAACCACTTAGAAGCATATTATCGATTCCCATGTGAGAACTGCCCGCAGGCTGGAGACGAGCGTGTACAATAGGAGTCTTGGTAGTATCCGCTGCTTTTGGGACATTATGAGATAGGAATATGGTCTTATTGGTTGTCTAATGAAGCTTCAATCTCACAGTGTGCATTACCCAAGTAACATTAACATCTAGGGAGTCATGATGGGAGACCTTTCTCGAAGGATGGCAATGTACCAGTCACCATCTAGCATGATTCCGGGCTCTTGAGGAAGATTCACTAGAAGCCTACTCTTTTTCTTAAGATGAGATCACACTCTGTGCACATCTCTTCCTCCAACGATGTCCACCTCCGTCTCTTCTTTTACCATCTTCACACACACCCTTCTTCCCTCCTTCTTTCACCTTCATCAGGCACCATCTCGCCCGTCATCCTCGACTCGACCTGCTATCCCCTCAGCTATCCCATCAACAAGGACTGAGTCATCTAAGGCCCAGCAATATCATCACCATAAGAAACAACCGCCTGACCAGGTAAGTCCCCACCATATCTATAGCTAAGCAACGCAACAAGCCTGACGACCCCCATCTCCTCCAGCCCACA